AATCTAATGATATAAAGTTATATTTGTATAGTATGTAAAAATTTAAAAACAAGATATTATATAATTTTATAATTTTTATCAATAATAACAAAATTATTATCAGTTAACTCACATTATATTGTAGAATAAAGTCTATCATAATAATAATAAAATTGTATTTCCAATGATATTGTATTTTAATCAAAAGACAATTTTTATTTGATTACATTAATTCAATTATATTGAAAACTCTTCAATAGATAAAAGTCATTTATATACTGCAGATGTATTGCTTATTAATAATGTATTTTCAATTAAATAATATTTTTTATATATCTATAATCATTATGTTTTCATCCAAATGGATATGACTTCCGATCAAAACATATATCACATTAAATAACAGTCGCTACTCTTTTGTTTGAAAACTCAAAATATCACTCAATAAATCATTAAACAAAAAAATCTATTACTTGTATGTTATACAGTATTATATTTATATAGTATGTAATATATCTATAATATATAGTGGTTTATATGTTACTATAATATCGACAAAATCTATAACATAAAAATGTTAACAAAACAATTTCTCACAACAAAAATACAGTTACTAATGAAATAATTTTTCATTAGTAACTCAGTTCGATAATCATAACTATTTATTATTATATATACTGTATTTCAATTAAAAAAATTTGTTAAAATAGATTCACAAAACAAATCTCTATTATTAATAATAAAAACACAGTTCGTGTTTTAACTAAATATCATAAAATTAACAAATAATATTATAATTGAAAAACTTGTTATAAATTCAAAATTTTAAAAAATTGCATTTTTTCTTTTAAGTCAATAAATTTTACAATTATTTTTTAGTAACTTTGTACATATTTAATTATATTATAGTATTTAATTGCATAGTTACCAAATTTAATTGCAAACACACACACACACACACATACAGATATACTCTATATGCTGTATATACGGTACTGTATTTAACTTATAGTAGCAAATTATTTAATAATATATTAAATTTAGCAATTATAGTACAAAAAGTATGTTATGTATGTATATTAAATACATTATATCAATTTTGTTTTATATTTTAAAATATAATATTAAAAATGTATTTTATTTTAAATATTCTAATATAATACGTACAATAAAACAATGTTAAAAATTCAAATCTTGAATTTTTCATTACATTATATAAACAACAAACAATATACAGTTTTTTACTTAAAATTAAATCAAATAAATGGTTGGGAAAACTAAATTAAGCAAATAAAAATAGCGTAAAAACAATAAAGTGAAACTACAGTATATGTCAATATTTTATGTAAATTTAATTTTGAAAATAAAATAAAATTTTATTTATTGCTTAGATATAAAAAATATAATATTTATTTTTTCACATATAATATGAAATAAATTATATACACTATTAACAAAATTTGTTTATTAGCTATTGTTATGATATACAAATGTGTAATAATAATAATACATACATTTTAGATGAATGTTGTAATCAATAACAAGAGTTTTCAACGATATATTCAACACATTATCGGAGGTTTTGTCAAAATATTGACGACTTAAACATTTCAACGATTGCATTGCTTTTCCATATAAATTGTATCATTTATTTAACACAAAACTTTTCAATAGTTGGTTACTACTTATTGATTAAACAATTTGATCACAAAATTTATCTTAAATCTCTAAACCAATTTATCAAATACACACAAACTGTAATCAAATTAACAGTTATATACACGCAATGTGTTCACAAATTAATTGATTGAGAAATTTGAGGTCAAATATAATGTCAATTATATAATACACTGAATTTTGAAATGACAATTCAAATAACAATGTATTTTCTCTATTGTCTGTAAAAAATGTGTGAATCAATTGAAATAACTGTATGTTTAACACAAACGTTGAGTTAATTTCAATATTCTTTTGAATACACGATATCTAACTCTCTATATATAAATATATATTTTTTATTTATTATATAACTGACGATTCAAATGATAGCGTTTGTGTGCTATGCTGTATGTGTTGTTCCCCCACACAGACACACACACACACACACACACATACATACACACAAACACACACTCTCTTACATACACATACAACACATGCAAAAGTGGTCAGACCTGGGCTGAGAGGCTCAGTCCTACAAAATTAATCAAAAATAGCTTCACTCAGTCACTCATACAAAACTAACTGACTGTTCACAGACTCACTTATGTTGGCTTTGACGGCATAACATCTCAAGTTTCACAGTAAAGCAACATATTGTACGCAAACACTGAATGCTATACCAGTATTGTTGTCAATAGCGATACACTGGCAGCGCAAGTATGTCTTGTATGGTCCCACCCAATACATACACATCCAATCATACCATACAGTGTTTTGTATATGTCTTAAGGCTATGTCATTGTCTTTCAAAATTATTGATAAGAATGACCAAAGTTTTCAAAAATACATTGTTTTTTGGATTTATTACAGATATTTTCATTTATTGACATTAATTTAAGATATTGATTATTGAATCTATAGATAAAAAGTGATTGTATTGTACTTTATATTTATTAAAGTGTGTCTTAGTTTGTTATATCATTCAGAATATCCATACAAGTGGTTTGTATTTGTTAATATCAAATTTTAAATTGATCAAGTAAAATATTAATTCACATAAAATATCATTATAATACAATTATATATATAATATATATATATTATTATATATATATATATTATAAATAAAGTATTAGAATATACACATTAATGTATAATATTATTAGATTATTATAAAAATTAATTTGTTAGCAATCATTTATAAAATCCTAAAGAAAAATTTATAGTTAATTTTAAATAATAATAAAAATAATAATAAATATTTAAATATTAAGCCAATATAATAATTTAAAAATATTTAATAATGCTTTAATTAAAATTTATCTAAAGATTAAAAATAAATTATATATAGTATAAAAAATTTTAACAATAATAATATTATTATTATCATAGCTTTTAATAATTTATTTTATCTTATATTTATATGTAAAACTTATACAGTATAAGTACTGGTATTATTAATATGAACTGTAATTATAAATTATTAAGTATGCAATTAATTATTTATAAACAAATTTTAAGTTTAAATTATTTTTCTTAAATATTAAAAAATAAAATGTAATAAATTAAGAAAATTTGAAAACTAACAGACTGTATATAAATAAAACCAAATGATCTAATATTTAATTTATAATATTTTTAAAAATAGATTTATTTAATACAATATATTTTGATAACAAAGTTCCCATTTTATGAATACTCTACAAATTGTTTTAAAACTGTTGCATAATGTATTGTTTTAAATTTATTACATTAGAAATATCTGTCATTGAATGTATATAAACAATATATAATTTATAGTATATACTGTATATAGTAGTACTGTAGTATTATATAAGCTTTTGTTTTATAATAAAATTTGTTTGAATAATGAGATTCTAGAAAAAAGTTTTATCAATTTTTTCTATTTAAGATATAACTTATGTTTTTTATTTTCAACAACAAAAACAAAATTATAAAAACATAACAACAAATTTATAGAGGAGTATCGGTAAAATTTTCCACTGGGAATAATATTGACTTTAATGTTAATATTGTAACATAAATTGTAAGATATACTGTATTATTAAAAGGCAACCTTTTTTTCAATGTATATAACATAGAATATACCACTTCTTTTAAAGTGGTTGTTATTTACGGTAAATTCTTCTCATAAATGTCAAGAAAATACATTTTAGCTTAAATATTAACATTGCTTTTCACTGACAAAAAAAATCTTAAGTAAAAGTTTGGTAAAATTTTTTAAATATATATATATATTGTTTTCATTTTATTAATAAATTTTAGATTAAAATAAACTTATTTTTATACTTACATATCATAAAACCAGTTAATATTTATATATAATTTAGACGTGCAATTGGGTTTTTAACTTAATTTAATTTTATTTATTTCATAGTATATATTTTATACTATTATACATAATAAAAAATTTTTATATTGTATAAATTAAAGCATGTTACTACCTTTATATCTATATTTATACTATTGTTAAATCTGAAAATATTATGCCAATTAAGTGCTTATATATTCACTTTTATAAAAAAAACTAACTAACGACCAATAATTTAAGTTTGAAATAATAAAGAGACTTTAAAGTGAATTTAAGATATAAAATTATATGACATTATAATGAATTATAAACATACTGTACGTGATATTTAAAGTCTAAATAAAGTTAAATAATTGGGTTATATTATATCATAATACACATAAATGTTATGAATTATTAAATACAAATAAATACTTTATAAACAACTTATTTTAAAAATATAAATATTTTTTATCAGTTAGTGTTATAATAAATATATAACAAAAGATTTTTGTAATTTAGTTTTATTGATTCTGAAATAATAATTATATTATATCTAAATTATGTCAAATGTTTCATTTTGTGTTTACATTTGGTTTTCTATACTATCTTTAAACAGTATTTAAGTATCAATTTTTAAAATATAACATCAAATATGATGATTAAAGTGAAACAAATAATGACAAAAATACATATATTATATAATATGTTAGTACAGTATATACTGTATAACAGAATCTACAGAATAATTGCATTGATTGTTGTCAATAGTGGGCACCACTTGTATTAATACACAAATAATTTATAACAGTTTTGAATGTTTTGTATGACATAAATAATGACAAACATTTGATATGTGTTGAGAAACATTCATACGATAGGGTTAACCGGTTTTCTACCAATCATTTGGTTCACATAAATAGGTTGACAATTGAGGTCTCAAACAATTTATACATTATTTATAAAAAGCCCATTTGGATGAACATAAATGGTGTACAGTTTATGAGAAATAATTGTAGATATAATCAATGGTCACTTGTATAGTATTGAATAGCTTTGAAGTGAACAAAGAATATTTGTTAAACCAATTGTTTGGTCGGCACTCCAACACTGACTGTGACTCCCATTGAGATTAACTCCACGTTTGTGTTAAACATACAGTGATTTTCAATCAATTGATTCACACATTTGACAGACAATAGACAGACAATTACATTGATATTTGAATTGCATTTTCAATACAAATACAGTCTATTATTATTATAATTGTGATTATAATTGACCACAAATTTGTTGTCAAAATACGTTTTGCATGTTTAGTGTCATATATTTTATCTATTTTTAAGCAATTATTAATTGATTACCCGTTTGTCTAATAAATTCACATATTTTTGTCGGTTTTTTTTTGTGCAGAATTTTGTTATTAAATTGTTTTATATATATATTATATAAACAATAAATCCTTTTTTTTGTCTAATAATTATTATTATTAAGTGTTAACCGAAAAATAATTATATGTAAAAGCAATGCAATCGTTAAAGTGTTTAAGCCGTCAATTGTTTAGCAATAGTGCCGATAATGTATTGAATATATCGTTGAAAACAACTGCCATTAATAATAATATTCACCGAAAATGTATGTATTATTGCATTTTAATGTGATATTGATATAAATAATGTAATATATATTTTGTAAATTACATTGATTTATAACTTTTCCTAAAATAAAATATTTCATTTGTCATATTATTTTTTTTATTAAATTTATTTTAGTTTTTATAGTGTTGTGAATATTATTTTATAATAATCTACACATTTATTATTATACCGGTATATCATACATACATACGATACTAATTTATACATTAGTTATACAAGTTATACAGTATTTATTATATACACTACCAATACGTTATAATAAGCAATATTTGTTTATTATTAAATTTTTAATTATAAATATAACTATAATATATATGTAAAAGTATTAAAAACATTATAAATAGTGTTATAATTAGTGAACTCGTGACGACAGGACAGGGATGTCGTCAACTAAAACATAATATATTTTATATATAATATGAGATGTTTTGCCAACAATTTATAGCAAACTTTGTGTATTTTTGTTGAGTTTTCATATATTTATTTTTTGTATATTTTTAGTATTGCTTACGTAAAAAAATATATATTTTTATATTTATCATTTTATATTTTTTGTACACAAATTTGTTTTTGACATAAAATCTGTGAACCAAATGAAAAGTTTGATATTTTTTTAGGAAATCTTTTGTCATCACAATATGTCAACCATTAAAACAAACTAAATGTATAGACAATTAACAAATATTATGCTAATTTTTGTTATTGAAAAGTGCAACTGTTGTTATAGTTATAAATGTGGGAAAATGTTATAAATTGTTAGATACAGTTAATTAATGGTTGCATAAAATAAACTTAACCATATATTTTTTAAAATACATAAATTTAGTGATAATCCAGCAATTAGTACAACAAATTGATTGTTTTAACACCAGCTATGATAACAACTAATGCTATCGATAGCTGAAAAACACCTGCATTTCAATGACATCACATGTGTTTTAGATTAAATTATTGCATTACATATCATATTATGTTTATATTATGAATATTTATTATTAATTATGAGTTCAAAATTTTGCAATTTCATATAAATTGAGTTATCTATTAGTAATTTACTTTAATCAATTTATTATTTTTGTTATGAATTTTCTTTTTTTATAATTGTTTTTTTTAATAATAAAAAACATCAAATAAAACAAAATTGAAATTTAAAAATAGGTTTTAGATGCAAAATTGCGATCAATATTTAATTTAATGATTAAGTTGGCTTATTGTCTACATTACAATATATGATTAAATTACTTTAAATTGAGACTAATGGATACAATAATAGGATTTTGTATATTAGTGTATCATATTTTGAGTGTTGGGTAACACTAACTGATTGTATTATATAACTCCACATTTTATTTTAGGTTTTCATTAAAAATGGGATTTTTTATATATAAACTTAATTTCCTTTATTTATTGTTGCTATGTATTTGACAGTGTAATTGTTTGACAAAATAGAAATTAATTACTATTATAAATACAATATGTTATATATATATTGTATATACTGTATACCGGTATATACATTATGGTAGATGACATATGATTTAAATCATTTTTTATTTTGATTAATCATAGATTATACTGTATTATTGTTACATTAAGTACCAAAAAAATATATTTCCTGTAGTTAATGAAATATACTATATTATTGTTTATTTAGAAAACAAATTAAGTACTCAAAAATGTTTTTATAGATTTTTTAATTATATTTTAATTTATAAGAAATAATTATATTATATATATATATATTCCATTAAAATTTTAGATAATGTTAACCTTGAAAATGTAAAATATCAGTAAACCTAATTTTGAATGTTTTACTTCTAACTTTCTATGGTTATATCGCCAGTGATTATTTACACGACAAAGTTTGATATAAAATATTAGCTCTTATAAGTTATAATGTATTAACAGAGATATAATTTTATGAATATAAATATATTTTGAAACTGGATTAACATTTGTTATATTAAGATATTGGAATATATAGTGAATAAATGAATTTTTAATATCTAAAACATATTCTATAAATTAGATTGAATGCCCTTGGTTATCTTGGTTATCTTGGTTATTATAAACATTTATTTAAGCATTTCATATGTCACTTAGTTTGGCTTAGATCCATATCATTCAATTAATATACAATTATAATTTGTTTTGATTATACAGTATATTCTAGTTTATGAGTACAGAATATTAATAGTTTGTTAATAAAAAAAATAATATCATTATCATTATAAAAATGTAAATAATAATTATTTTAATTTTAATAATTAATGAATTTCCATTTAAAGATGGAACCGATAGACGAATCAAAGTGGACAATCCAGTGGTTGAGATGGACGGGGATGAAATGACACGTATTATATGGGAAAAGATTAAAGAAAAAGTGTGCTATTTTTATGATCCTATCAATTAAGACCCAGTTTAACCCCATTTAATTAAACCCTTATATGTTTATTTAAATATTAAAATATTGATATAACAATTTTAAATATATATATATACTGTATATAATTAACAGCTAATCTTCCCATACCTGGACTTGGAGTGTCTATATTATGATTTGGGTTTACCCCATAGGGACCAAACTGAAGACCAGGTTACCTATGATGCCGCGCACGCTATTCTTAAGTATAGTGTTGGCATAAAGTGTGCCACCATTACACCCGATGAGGCACGTGTTAAAGGTTTGTATAATTTTTAATTTATATGAATTTATAATAATATTTTGTTTAAATTATCTAAGAATTCAATTTGAAGCGTATGTGGCCCTCACCTAATGGTACCATAAGAAATATATTGGGCGGCACTGTATTCCGGGAGCCTATTATCTGTAAATCCATTCCAAGACTAGTGCCCGGTTGGACCCGAGCTATCGTTATTGGTCGACATGCTTTTGGCGATCAGGTAGGCTATCATTTAATTCATCAGTGGTTGATATCAAGTTATATAATTGTAATTTGTATTTAGTACCGGTGCCAAGATATGCAAATAGATGCACCCGGAAAGGTAGAGCTTATCTACACTCCCAGCGATGGCAGTGAACCGAAAATATTGGAGGTTTTTAATTTTGAGGGCGAAACAGCCTCTGGTGGTGTAGCTCTCAGTATGTATAACACCGTCGAGGTATTGTTGATGATAATCTGAAAATTAACTTAAATTAGTAATTGATTTATTAATGCTATATTTGATAGTCAATCACTGGTTTTGCTTACTGTTGCTTTGAGTACGCGCTTATCAAGAAGTGGCCACTTTATTTGAGTACTAAGAATACCATTCTTAAGCGATATGACGGACGCTTTAAAGATATCTTTCAAACCATTTATGACAAGTATTTATATTATTTTTTTATAACTTAATATAAAACAAGTAAAATACATTTATTTTTAATGATTTAGTGAATATAAAACCAAATTTGACTCATTGGGCATTTGGTATGAGCACCGTCTCATTGACGACATGGTAGCCCAGGCACTCAAGTCAAACGGCGGATTTGTTTGGGCCTGCAAGAACTATGATGGTGATGTCCAGTCAGATGTAGTCGCACAGGGATACGGATCGCTTGGTCTCATGACATCGGTGTTGGTCTGTCCCGATGGCAAAACCATTGAGGCAGAGGCAGCTCACGGCACTGTTACTCGACACTTCCGGGAACACGAAAAGGGTCGTCCAACCAGTACTAATCCCATTGCATCGATATTTGCGTGGACCCGTGGACTGGAGCACAGGGCAAAGCTCGACAACAATAAGGCGTTGTCTAAGTTCTGCAAACGTCTAGAAAAGGCTTGTGTCGAGACTGTAGACGACGGAGCTATGACTAAGGATTTGGCCGGTTGTATACACGGACTTAAAAAGTATAAAATTTATGCATTTTTTAATATAACGGAAATTAATTATTTTTTGTTAATTAATTAATAGCATTAAAGAAGGAGACTATTTATATACAATGGATTTCTTGGACGCTATCGTTGAGAGTCTAAATGACAAACTCGGAGAATCCAAGTGATAATACCTCTCATGTGATTATCGAGTAAATCATACTTTAGTTAATAAGTTTCATCGGATAATGTAATGGTTTATATTAATGAAAAGTGCAAATGTTTTGTTTTGAATTGATTGTCAACATTGATAAACATATAAAATATAATGCAATGGGGTTTAAATTTTATTTTTCACACATTTTAAACGAATATTTATATTAACTATTATAAACTATTTTTTGTCAAAAAAAAGTTCACACAATTTTTAAAATCATGAAATATTTTTTGATTTAATTTTTCTCATTCCACTAAAAATCAATGTAAAATATTTATTACTATTTTTTTGTGTTCACATATACTAATTATAACTATTATACTAATTTAGTCTAATTTTCTGCGGGTAATCTCTCATATTTGTGCCATAATTAAAGTTAGTACTAGTGCTCAACCATTTACAAAAGTATCTTAAATCGCAAAACTAACTGTTCATAATATTTATTAGCACAAAGTTATAGTTAATTTAGTTTCAATTTCTAGAGCCAAGTATTTATTAGTTTTAATTTAATTGTTTAATGAATTTTTTTTTAGAAAAATACAACATTAATTCAACAAAACATTTATTGTATCTTTTATTAATGAATGAAATAAAATGGTTATTTTCACAGATTTTTGTTGCAATTAATTTTAAATTATTGATAATATAATATGAAATACTTTATTAATGTTATCACTATAAATATGATAAAATCACATACAGGTATATGTTTGTGCCATTGAGACGACCTATTGGTGGGCAGTGCTGTAATAGCTGATGTCATTTCAGAATAAGTGGTCACTTTATCCGACATTTCGGGTCCACCCGATGTCGTTGGTGTTGTCACTTGTGGACAGTTGACTAATTCTCTCAAGTCTTTCCATTGACACTAAAAATATGATTAATGTTAATAATAGTCTCAAGTGATGGGCAATAAATAATAAAAGTATTATAATATAAAAAATTTTGTTATACTTTTATATCAAATTCGGCTAAATCTTTGCTTTCGATTTGTTTTTTATCGAAATCGCAATACTGTTGACCAGAGATAGCAATTACAGTCTTAGTGGAGTTCATCTGAAAGATGGCCTCAATTTTTGACACATCTTTTAGTGAACCACTAATAAAAAGGTCATCTTTGGGAACTGATTTTTCAGTCAAATAAAAAAATTTAAAGTTATATTATACTGTATAATGTATTAGTGTTTATATTTGTAAAACATGCTCTTAATTACACTTTGGCCAGTCGTCACTAATTAATGTCCGCAATACTTTATTGCCATGAAATAGATAAATAATATTATTGACTACTAGAGCGTCATTCAAATCGTATAGAAACCAATCGGTCAATTGGCCATCACTTGGCCACCAATTATTATTTGGTACTTCCGTTTCTAAAGGCATAGTAAATGAATATTTGTTATCGATTTCAATAATTTTTCTTAAGAATCGCTTTCTTTTCTAATCAAATTAAAAAAATATACAATTTTGTTAAGTTATTAATTATATAAATTTCTTATTAATTGATATTACAGTCGAAAACAAATATAAAATATTGTTTCCTTTATGATTGACAACAAATGATGAACTGATTATCTGTCCGGTCGGCACTTGAAAATAAAATCAAAACTTATTGACATTTCAGACAATTTTTAACACAATTTGTTACCTAAAAAAGTATCAATCGTTAAGCCTTTGGAAACTATTGACTTATTTTTGTGGTCAAATCGATAGACATATCCGCCTCTAAACAAATAAGTGATATCTTTATGAGTGACAGCACTGTTAATCACTTGACTGTCACAAAATTCTTGATAATCAAAGCATCTAACGTTCAAATATAATATAAGACATAGGATCAGCTTAAGTAACATCTTGTTTGACAATGTTTTTTATATCTTTTGATTTCAATGTATTGATTATAGTAATCATTATAATTCAAATTTATTATTGCAATGATTATTATTGAGTAAATACATTACTATATAAATGTTTATATAGTATATAGTATTGATATAATGATTCATTAATTGAGTAATTTTTTAAAAATATTTGTGTATATAATATGTCACAAAAAAATTGATCAATTATGATTCATAAATGATTTTTATTATAATTATTATAACAACAAATATTAAATTATTATAAAACAATTTTTTATTTTCAATAAAATAAAACAATATAATATACTATTAAATAGAGTATAAAACTAAATAAATAACAAAATATTATTTATTTGAACTGCTATTCTGTAGTTTGACTTTTTCTAGATTTAACTGTTATACCGGTTTGCGAGTCAATAGTCTTTATAGTTGTTTCGTTCAATGTTATACTTGACATCGGATCAGTTAATTTAGTACTCTTTTCTGGTAATTAAGTAATTAATTAAATTTTCTAATCATATCATATGTATGTATAATATAGTATAATCAATGGTAATAAATACATACTCTTTTGAGAAATGCCATATTTAAAACAAATGATTAAACTAAAAGCACACAATATTATTAAAACTATTAGTATTAATACTATCAAAATAATAGTTAATTTGTCAATGGATTGGTTTGTTTGGGTCACTTCATCATTATTGGTCACTTCAGTAGTCATATTGTCTACATTAAGATTATTCGTGTCAGTAGTACTTATGTCAACTGTCAATGTTGTGGTTGAATTCAATTGTGAACAACCAAACAGTTGTGTCACGTTTTCCCATTTGCACTAAAATTAATAATAAAAGTTAATTAAATCGTCTAAAATAATATTTTCATTATATTTAATATAATTATATATAAGAAAAATGCATACATTTACTGTAAAACTATCTAAAACTTTATCTTCAATTAGTTTTCTATCAAATATACAATATTTTAAATTCCATATAATAATCACTTGTTTGTTATGACTGACAGTAAAAATGGCATCAACTTTGGTAACTTCGGCCATTGATCCGCCAAATAATAAAGTTTTATTATCTATTTTATTAAAATTGTTTTTTAAAAAATATTTTACTTAATTATTTGAATTAAAATCAATATACCTTTTGGCCAATAGTAGTTAATGAGTGTATGAAAAACCTTAAACCTGCGAAACAGGAATAGCATATCATTGACTACCAGACCATCGCTAAGATGAGAGGGAAACCAATCAGATAGTTGGCCGGCGTGTGGATGCCATTTGTGTGGCACTAATGTTTTATTTCGTATTTTATTAACAGTCATTCCCGACTCACTTTTGGAAAGACTTCTCAAAAAATACATTTTGTCCTGAATTAAGCATATTTTTTAAAAAATATAATTATCACATAATTTTAATTCATCGCCAATCGCTTACCGAAAACATATACAATATATCTAAACCAAAATATTTGTGCACAAATGCAGTATTTATGATAAATCTATTGACTGGAAATTAGTGAACAAATAAGTATTTAGTTTGTGGTATTTCATATAGTATTCAATATTTATGGTTTAGGAAAATAGATAAATAAATGAAAAATGTTTACCGAAAAACTTTCTATCAATTGTTTGTTTGTTATTTACCGACCGATTGTCGTAATGGTATTCCCAGACATAGTCCCCTTGGAATAGATATGTTATCGATTCGTAAGTAAACGAACTATTTATTAATAAATTATCACAAAATTCTTGACATTTATGATATTGAATGGCAATACAGAAAAGTATAATCACTTGTTTTATCATAATTGACAATTGATTATTATTATTATTATTATTATTAAAGTTAAATGAATATATATTTATATTTAAAGTAAAAACTAAATTAATACAATATTTTTAAATTTAGTATTACTATTGATAGTTGATTTATATCGCATTCAACAATACAGTGTCAACTGTATGTAAAAAAAAGTATAATAACGGTTAGTCAACAATGAAGACTATTTGATTAACATAATTTAATTAATTTATTAATAAATTATGGAAAATTATACTGTAATTATTTTAACAAATTAACTGGAAAACTTAAAACATTTCAATACTAATTGTAATTGAAAAATTACTATTAAACTTACAATCATATTATGTTTTTAAAATATATATTATTAACAAATTAAGTAAACTTTACTAAATATTAATAGACTTTTGAGACGTTTTTTTCATGTGGTGACCGATAGTTAAAAAATAGTTACAATAGTTAATAATAACAATTATTATTTCATTGTATAATGAAATTAATGTTTTTTTAGAATTTTTTTTTGTAACAAAAAAATGAAATAAATAAATCATTACATCTCATGTATGAATCATTTTTATCCGATAACAGGAAAAGACAGTTACAATAACTTTATAAATAATTAAAAAATATTTTGTCATCCATAAGAAACTGATATTTATTCAAAATTTTCAGACTTTCACATTACATTAAATTAAACAAATGATGATATTTTATATGAAAATTGCTTATTTTATCGGATTACAGGCAAATAAGTTTTTATATAAAAAATTTAACACTTAATAACTTGATATTTTAAAAATAAAAATTTTTCACTTTAATTGGTAATCATTTTTACAGCATTTTTCACAGATTATCCATTAATTTTTTTTTTGATAAAATAATAATATATAAAATTAACTAAATAAAAAACATTAGAGGATAAACACGAGGATAACAGTATTCAATTTAACAAAAAAAACAAGTTTATCTGTAAAGTATGCCACAAATTGAAACTATTTAATTTATTAAAACATTTTCTAACATAATCTAACTAACCTAACTTAATTTAATTCAATTAAAAAAAATTGAAAATTTTATAAATTATAAAATTATACTTGTATTACAACATAAGTGTATATATATACCGATGTAAAATAAACTATATATATATTATTATTATCATTAAATTTACATTAACTCTAATGTTGTTTAAGATAACCAAACAAATAAAATTCTAAATATATTGTCCAAAAAAATCACAGAATATTCTTAAATCAAATTTTTGTATTTATTTTTTTAAAAGACAAACATAACGTTATTTATAACAACACAACATAAATAACAAATGTGTTCAACAAATCATATGAAATGATATTTACATTGAAATTAAAGTTTTTTTATACAGTAATTCAAAACATAATTAGTTTACAATTAATTTTAATGATATTTTAGAGACCAAACTATTGATAGGACAATGATTTCAGTGATCAATAGGTTTGTTAATCACGTGTTTGTCAGACAATGTTTGCGTCAAAACTCGTGTTCCGTGAGATGTCTTACAACACAAAACTCGGGTTTGTTTGCGCCGATTGTCAACTAAAGAGATTAATTCATAAAAGATTTATTGTTTTGTCTAATAAACAGATTTGTCAGCAATGGATGACAAAGAACTACAGTTTGAAGAGTTAACTGTTGAAACATTCAAAGAGTTGGTCACCAATGATACGATTGGAAACAAAATTGAGATAATTTTAAATGAATACGAATACGAAAAGTATACAACACTTCGGGTGCCAATCACTATCACGACTAACCAAATGCGCGATCTATTGTCGTTAGACAATCCATTGGATAGGAAGAGATGGTTTTCATATCTTCATAAACGACAAAAAGCTCGACAAAAGACAAACGATAAACGACGCGAACATACCGTCGAGTTTTGGGCACAGAAGTCACAGAAGTATAGCCCAAATGAGCCGCGAACTGGTTTTTGGGACCAAAACGGTCAACTAATATACGGCTTGTGGCACAACTCCCTCTTCACGAAGATACCACTGACAATAATTCGTCGATATTATATCCATCGTTTGCGGACAGCAGCCATGTTTGGCCAAAAGTTGGTAATTGATATGGACTTTGATCAGTACATGAAATTAGCCGAATGTCGACAATTGGTTAAACAAATTCAATTACTTTATAACTATAATCGATATCAAACGGTACAACCATTTGATTTGTATTTTACAAACTGTAAACCAGAAATGCCATCAATGAAGACGATACCACAGATACTACCAAATTATAATACTCCAAGTTTTATGGCACAGTTTCATCAACAGTCATACATTGATTTGTTTCCCAAAGACAGATTGGTTTATTTGACTCCACATTCAAACACAGCACTTAAGACATACAATGCCGACGATATCTATATAATTGGCGGTATTATTGATAAGACATATCACGAGCCGGTATCGCTTATTAAGGCCGAAAAAGAGGGCATCCGAACGGCCCGATTGCCGATTGATGAGTACATCTTATGGGGATGTGGTTCAAAATACTTGTGTCTCAATCATATGGTACAGATCCTCCACGACGTCAACATTGGCCACAATTGGGTTAATGCACTTAAGGATAATATACCGAAAAGAAAACAAAAAAGTGTCGAAGAGATTGATTATGAGGACAGACTTCGGCGACAAAAGTTTAATCGATTTAATAAATATAATAAACTTAAAGAAACAAAAAATGATTAAAAAAGTAGTCAATTGTATAAATTCAATATCACTTTCAATTTACAGTTATGTTATTACATAAAACATGATTTATATATATATATATTATATAAATAAAACTACAATTGCTTTTAAATAACAATAATTATTATATTAAAAAAAAAATCTGTGAAATGATTTAGTTTTACAAATAATTATTTGATATAATGATTGAAAAACTTTATATCAAATGATTGAATGTTTGACACAAACAGAGGGCAGAGTTTGTATTGCATTAGAAATGCCAGCCATTTATGCATTGATTGATTCAAACAAAACACACATAAGTTTTTGACATCTGTTTTGTTAGTGATTTAAAAATAAATATCAAATTAGTTAGTGATTGCTGTGACCGCAGCAGACACTGACCTCCGACACGATGGCCGACGACGACATGTTTCTCGATAGCGATAGACTCCAGAAGATGATAGCGTTGGGCATTTTGGACGACGACAAGATCGACAAAATGAAGAATATTAAAAACAGTGATCTCATTGACAGATCATTGCCGACGGCAAGACCAGCACCAAAAGATCCGGTCAGTTCAATGGATGGCCAGACCAACAGTTTCAGAGACGACCGACGATCACTGGGACGAGGCGGTCGAGCACCACAATCAGCCGACCACATTCAATCGGCAGGTGACAATTGGCGCGGGTTTGGAAAAAAGTTTCAGCCAATCAGCGACAAATTCAAGTGGTCAGTACTCGGCCAAAACAAACGGCCAAGAAGTCCATCAAGCGGTGAATTTGGATTCGGTAGCAATCATAAGATGTCATCGATGGAAATGGACAACAAACGAGACAATGACTACAACAACAGAGATCGATCTACTGGTAATTCTTCTTTTGATACCGATTTACGGATTAAATCGGATATCGATTTACGACAAAATCACGATATTAGACATAAAACAAATGATAACATTACTTCTGCAGCTAATGATAGAGACTTTAGACGCGGATCGGGAGGTGATTATCGCGGCCGAGGAATGGGTCGACAATTTAACCAACGAAACAACCAAAGACCTGGTTTTCAATCTTCAGTGAAACCGCTGGCAGACATCGATGACTTTATAAATGAGGCCACAATGAAACTCGGTGGCAGACCGTCTCCACAGAAATCTAATAATAGCGGCCATCGATCACATCAAGCAAATCGTGAAAGGGATCGTTCATTTAGAACAGATACCGATCAACGATCAAATCTATCGCAAAGACCTTCGGAAAATAATAGCTTTGCTCTCGACGACAGTGTTTTTGGCCTACAATCGCAATCATTTGACCGAAACGACGCATTCAGTCGACACCCGACAGATCGAGATTTTGTCGATAATAATAATTGTGAACCAAAAGAAAACACATCCAATAATTTAGATGATTTAAGGGAAGCGGTCTCTAAAATAAATGATTCAGAGTATTACTGTGAATATTGTGATTGTCGTTTGAATTCAATGGATGAAGTCAACGATCACGCGAAGACAGATCTTCATCAGCAACATATGGCCAAACAGATTATGAAAAGAAATGGTATTGACATTCACGACAATTCACCAAATTCAAGAAGAAATGATTCACACAATCAAAGACAAGGGATCAGACGTACTGTTGTTGAACGGGTGCCGTCAGGGATGTCATTTGTGGCCCAAATGATTGAACAGAAACAACAAATAACACTCAGATCTTTGATTGATATGGTATTGAATTTATTTATTCATTTTATTTGAAGAATATTTATTTATATTATTATTATTTATTTTTTTATAATATAATTATAGGACAGCTATGAAATTAATTCCGATAGCGAGGCCTCATTGGCCAAAGAGTTGGCCAAATTGTTAACTAATGAATTACTTAATTATAAAATGAGTTTAATGCCCGATAATGTTAAAGAGGTAAACATTTATTTTTAAAATGTTTTTTATATACATATTTACTAAAATAAAATTATATTTGTCTTAATTCAGGCTCTTAGACATCAAGGAATAGATGTATTAAATTCAATGCCAATGAATTGATTGATCAAATTGTAAATAAATCATTTTCATCACAGATTTCAACGATTGATTTTAAAAAATTTCATCAATTTTTTGTCTCATAATTAGCATTCCCTATGAAACCATAATATGCATGACTATCATTACTCTACAGTATATTACAATTGTTTTTACAAATTATTTTAAACATTTATTTACACATTTTTGTTTGAAATCATTTTGATAAATTTGTTTTTTTCAAAATTTATGTCAAAAAACAGTTTGCAATGGGTATACATAATTATCTTATAAGATAAATGTTTCATTATTTATCTTTACTCTAATTATAATATAACATATATTGTATTATATTTTAATTTCTTATGTAAAATAATTTAGTTCTAATAAAAATAATAAACTTTTTTTACTTAACAGTTGATTGCTTTTTAGATCGCATTAGATTTGTTTTAATTGATATATCGATTAGATTATTACCCAGAAAATAGTCACTGGAGACCACATTTGCACAGTCAGTCCAACCCATCCCACTATCCCAATGGAAAGCATCAGTTATTAGGCGATTGACATTTTGAGCCATTGTTCGCAAGCCGTCATACAAATCGATAATCAATTTGAATTTTTCAGCAGTCAATTGAGCCATTGATGAGACTAACTCTCCGGGAAAGACATCGCAAATGGTTTTATTAAAATAGTCGACCATTTCATTAACGATATCAGTGTTTGGCCACAAATGTTTAGTTTGTGGGAACAGATATTGTCGATCAATCAGATAATTATCACTTGTATAGCCAATGATTATTCGTTTGTTTTTAGCGATTAATTCATTGAGTTTAGTCCTGAGTCCCATACTTTTAGGTACCAAATATTTGAGAAGATGTTTGTCTAAAATAGTCCACACTTTTCGATGATGTCGTCTTATCTTTTGTTGTGATAATTCGTCTTTTGCAAAGCCTTTTTCAAATCGATGAAAATCAATAATAATCACCTCTTTTGGTGCCATTTCCATAAATCGTTTGATTTGTTGTATCACTGAATTTAATGTATGTTTCATAACTACCGGTCCGTGAACTATCCATACCCTTTGCTTATCTTCATTATTGTTATCATAAGCTATTCGTAAATCTAGAAATCTTAATATTATTCAAAAAATAATTTAATTATTATATTCACAAAGTTAGACAAAATTTAATTATAAATAGTATTTATTTCTATCCAATACCTGATACCATAAATCAATTGATTAAATATACTTTCGTCTTGACAAAGAGTGTATTTATTGGTAAGCGTATCCTCGTAGAGGTCATACCTATCAAAACTGCCACTATTATGAGTTCCCGGTATCATCAGATCCAATAAACTCATATTACCAATGATAGCCATATTTTTTTCCATCCAAAATGGATGTATTTTAAGACAATTTTTAGCAATAATTTTCTTATTTTTGATTAATGCGATCCAATATTTTAGACACGAATTGTTGAGATTTTTCATTGAAAACTTTTTGTATGGAAATTGTATGTAAGTTCTTGAAGTTAAACATAAACGTACAGTAATTATAATTTTGTTTGCGGTTAACAATTTAATTCACTTATTATATAAATTTATATATATACAGTATATATTTATACCGTATATCTCTACTAAATATAATTACCTATAACTTCCATTGTTTAGTAAATCGATATTAATTGAATCAATTGAATAATTTTTACCACTTTTTACGAGTTTTTCATTACTGGGATTTTCATTGAATAGTCCAATCCATTGATTGTGTTGTCCATCGATGGTAACTCGTCTCCAGTTGAGCTCAATTTGTCTTTCTATGGTTCGGTTAAGCTTTCTATTAAAATCGGCTAAAGAAGACACTGTTATCCAAACTTCAGGATCTTTGTCATTAGTATCGCTTATTGAACAATCAATAGTTGATCCAATGATAACAGATATTATCAGTTTCGATACAATTTGACGTAAATTCATAATTATTTACATTTTATACAAAATAGACAAAATATAGCATAGCTTTGAAAATAAGAAAAAACAAGTTTTCAACAAAAAAATATTAAATCTATTTTTAAAAAGTAAAACTAAATATATCTATATTAATGGGTCAGTCATTAAGTCAATTGAAAGTAAAATTATTAAAATTATAATTATAATTATGAGTATTATTTAAGTGGTGATTGAACTTAACTTGAGATACTAATAGTAATTTATTTTTGCAGACTTATATACTTATATGGAGACATCAATTATCGCAATTATTGTGATTATTGTATTTGATATTATTATTATTTAATACTCGTTCAGTTAATATATATAATAATATATTAATGGCATAACTCTAGCAAAATATGAAAATGAATAATTATATAATTAAAGATATAATTAAAATTGAAAACTGAATCTGCAATCCATCAGATATTTTGTTTTAATTTAATTATAGCTGTCTTTTGTTGATTAAAATAAATTAATATATATTTAGTAAAGTGAAGGCAAAAGATTTACTTATTTATAAATTAAAAATTTTATTTAACAATCATATGACAAATTATTTTAATTGTACAATTAATTAATAAATCAATTGTATTTAAGCCATTACTTATTTGATAATAATTACAAATAAATTGCAATTAAAGTTTTGATATATTTTTAGACTTTCATTAACTAACATTATTATTACTATAACTACAAATCAAACTCTATTTTATTTATCATTTATTAGATTTCAAAATTACAAAATAAAAATAATATTAATTTATTAAGATTTTAAAAGTTGACTACTTTGACAACACTTATAACAATTTAGTAAATTAAGTTAATTTTTAAAAATAATATTTTTTTTGTGATATATTTTAGTCACATAATTTGAACATCAAATATATATATATTCAGGGTTAAGTAAGGGGGAGGGGGTAAGGCTTAAATACCTCCCCTAAGATCAAGATTTTGGGATTTTACCCCCCAGACTTGACTTTTTGACCAAATGGGAAAAAATATCCCTTAAAAACGAGGAGAAATGACCCCCCTAAAATTTATAAAAAATTTTATTTTAGTTTATACTATTTTAGTAAGTGTTTTTGTTTTTAAAATTTATACAAATCTAATTATTGATTAAAAAATAAGTAAAATAGTTAAAATAACGTGAAAACTCATGTAAAAATAACATTAATTTAATTAAAATATTAAACTAAAAAATTAAAAATTACTTATTTGTTGAAAAGAATAATCATATTTCAATTTAAATAGAAGTTTAAGAAAGTTTAAAAAGTTAGTATAACAATAAATAGTTTTTCGAGAATTTTGTAAATTTCACCCCAACCTACTCCCCCTAAAATCCAAAACCTTGCTTAACCCTGATATATATACATTGTATATCATAATCAATTGAATTATCACGTGAGTTGTGTCCCAGTATTATAAGTACTGTATATTTAGTTTATATAAACAAAAGTATTAATTTATACATTCATTCATTCAAACAAAAACATATAAATAGTATACAATTACTAAATATAGTATCGATTTATAAATAACTCATTGATCACTATTTTGCTGAAACATTGTAAAAATTTAGAAATCCTAAATATAAACAAATAAATTTTTAATAATAACTTTAAATGTTATTGTGATTGAAATTTCCTGTTATGAAATACTCACCATATATTCAATATATACTGTACTGTATATATAATTTATTAAAGAATCTCATAATTTCAAACTAAAAATTATTCTTGATCAACTTTTATTTTTTAACTGTTAATAGTAATAATATTGTTATTATACATAAAAAAACATTTTAATAATATTGAATTAATAAATGGTAGCATAATTTTGAAATGTTACGATTGATACTATGATTTAATTGTTATGTACTAAATGTATATCATTATGGCCTTCAAAACACATAATCTTGTTTATGACTCATAGAAATTTATAATACAGTATTACTATAGTATTAAATGTAGTATAATATCATTTCATTAAAACTATCATTGATTGCCTTTTGGCGACAACTTTAATGATAATCAATGGATAAATGAGAGGATGATTAACATTGGCATTATATTAGTGAATGAGAGTGAGAAAAAAATTTTGATAAAAAATATCAAAAATATTGTTTAGTGGGATAACTCACGGATTTATTAAATAAAATTGTTTTTTTAAGATTTACTATTTATATACTGGTTTTAATTTTCTAAATAAACAGTATATGTTTTTAAGATTTTAAAAATTTACAACAAAAAACATTTACATTAAACAAATTATAGAATAAATAGTTTTATTTAAATTCATTTTTAAAATCTTCAAATAAATTTTATTGCTTTTACTGAAAAGTTTATTTGAATTATATACTTAATATTATGTTATGTTATTCATAGTACTTAAAAATATTGAAAGCAATGATCGGATTTAAGTATTTTTTCATATATTATATAAATTTAAGAATTTTTTTGATTTTTTAAGTCTTAAGATCAAAACTTTCTGTAGAGTTAAAGTTTTTTTTACAAAAACCTTAGTTAAACAAAGAAAACAATAAACTTATCAAATTCAGTGTTTTTTTAAATAAAAGTTCATAATTTAAGTCCAGATATTATTTTTTATCAATTTTTTAAAATTCTTGAACATTCTTTAATTATTTTAATCTTTTTTTTGGTATTTTTAAAATTTTATTATTTATTTTATTTGTGTTTGTTTGAATTGTATGTATTGTATTAGTTTTTTTTGTAAATTTGCTTTTGACTAAATATTGTTTAAATTTCAATCTTCTTTATAAAAATGAAATAATATTTTTAAAGTGAAGGTAATAATAATAATAATAACTTACAATTTTATATATAGTAATTAAAAAAAAAATCTGAATACTATTTAAAAACTAATTATAATTATATATAAGGAGTGTCTTTTGACAGCCGGAAGTTTTAATTAAATAAATTTTTATTTATTTGTATAGTATTTTCCATAATTAGTATATAATATAAAATTTGTATGATATAATCCAACACACTTTTATTGTATTGTGAAACGTTTGAAATATTCAGTAAATAATAGTATAGTGTAAACGTATATTAAATATTCAATAGTAAATTTGACATTGAATTATCATTAACTAAAATTTTATATACTATTAAAGTATTTATTAAATACTACAATATAAAATATAGTATAATCATATAATCATATTTTAGCAAAACGGATCAACAATTAGGTGAACCAATGAATTAATTTTATCATTCAATGGCATTATTAGTAACAGTTGTTATAAAGATAATTAAATATGATATTAACAAATAATTTTTTATAACATTTTAATAGTCTTATGAATGATCTCAACCATCAATTAAAATGTATACAATTAACTATTTTGTAGCAAATATTGTAAAATAATAAAATTATAATTATGATGATTTGTTGACTTGAAATATTAAATTTGATATTTTCAAGAAAACTATGTATTATAATTAAATAAACCAATTCATGTTATTTAATTAAGCCATCAATAATTTTCATAAAAAATTGATTACTATACAATGTTTTATATCATAAAAATAATTTATTAGATTATGTAACAAAAATAATTATTATTTTATTATTATACCAATTAAAATGTTTGTTAAACTTATTTTTAAAAATTGACAATTTTTTGAAATAATGCAGTAATATAGATATAAATAATAAATTATCTCATAATTTTATTATAATGTAACTTTTTAAATCATCATTTTTATATAATAATTAAATTTACATTAATCAATAAAAAGTTTATATAATATCAATATATTTATATAAATATTAATAATCTATAAAACAATTCATTTTTTATCAATAGAAAACAAGAGTTATTAGGAAAAAACACTCTTAAAAACTAAATTTTATTTAATAATTTGATGTGTTATTTGCATTTCACACATTTAAAAGCTATTATTTATAACAAGTATAACCTTTTTATGGCTCATTTTTGCTAACCTGTGATTTATTTATTAAGAAAAAAACCCGAAAAAATCTATTGTAATAAATGCTTTGGTTTTTATTTTATATGAAAAAAAACTTATTTCTAGTTTTAAAAATTTTAATGCAATCCATAAAAAGCGGTGTAATGATTTGTAAACACATTTTTACAATGAATTGCCATTTACAACCATACAAGTAAAATAAATTATAATAAAAACTATTGGGAAAACTCTACACACACACACACACACACACACACACACACACATACGTTGGACAGGTATGTTGAGGACTTTTACATGTATCTACAGATACTATAGATAGAACTTTGGACTCTATGTTAACTGTGTGTAACAATTTTTATATTTAGTCCAATAGGGTGTACCCAATATCCATGTGCTGTTGCACTGGTATTTGCCCGATCGGTGCACTTTTGCGTAGTCGTCACACGAGACGTGTCCGTCGCGGTCACAATCGTGAGACCACTTCTTCATATAAGCGTTGACCGTCTCAATGGAGCACTGGATGTCACTCATACACGACTCAAAGTCTTTTAATATATAATTTTTTTTTATAAATAATAATAATTTAAACATTTATTAATATTTATTTCAAAATGACTAAACATTTAACTGTAACTAATGTCTGAAAGAGTTATTTAATCCTACGTTAAAATTAGATTTAAAAAATTAAATAAATATTTTTAGTGTCACTTGTTGTATGTCACGTAAACCATTAAATTTTTAATAACTTATTTTAATAACTATGAAAAATTGTATAGTAGTGTAAGCTTACAATTTACTAACCGATTATATGATAAAAATAATTTTAATAGAAATCACTTTTATTTACAAATATTTTTTTTGCAAACAAAAATGATATCAAAAATAAATGAATAAATAATTTTCTTAAACTAAAATAATAATAAAATATTTTAAAAATATTTTATCATTAGATTTTCATTTTTTTCAAATCTAAATAAAATATATGTCTTTACGTAAAATATTTGTTTGTAAGCAATTTTTCAGTTCATTAAATGTTAGCGAAAAAAAACAGTAAGTATTATATTTCATTGAAATAACTTAAATATATATAAAAATATAAAATGTTTTATCATCAAAAAAAAGTTTATGATTAAACGAAGCAAACTTTTATATACACTATATATAAATTATATTTATAATCTTAATATTGATCGGTAGTAAAATGCGATGATTTATTATTTTTTTGTTTGATGTCTAACTACTATCCACGACAACTATAACTACAAACAAAAAAAAGTGATTCAATTGATGACTCACCCAACGGGTCTCGTTGGTCAGCACCGGGACTTCCGGCATCGTTCCAATAGTTGACATCTATCTGAAACGGTCCGCACTTGTAAACAGTATCGCCTTCGACATGACAGCGCACTTGTGGGTCGCACTCAGAGCTCGCCTATAAATTAATGACACGAGACTCAAGTCAGGACTGTATGCATAATATTCAACTAATTTTCATATATTTAATGAGACTTTCGTTTCTTAAGAACTTAAGGACGAAGTTTTAACACTAAAAACAGAGTACTATTTGTGGAAAACCGTTAAAACTTAAACTAAAAATTAAAAACAAAAACTATCGTAAAAACAAATAGCAAATCACTCATAATCGACAAAAATGTTAATCGACTACAAAAAAGTGATTATTAATTATTAATAGATTGATATATTACATGACAAATACAACGAAGACAATCGTCGCTTAAAAGTGATTCAGTTTTTATGTCCGATTCTGACGGAGAATCGTCGGTCAACTCGGATGACGATAGATGTTGACCGTTGTAGTCATCATCTGATTGTATGCTATCGTTGTACGGTTCGTCCAACAAGAGTGGCTGGTCGTCATCGGCTGTTTGTGACAACTCGGTTGGCTGTGAGCCATGAGTCGGTGCCGGTAAGTCCATAGGAGTCTCGACATCAAAATTTTTGCGCCTCTCATATATGCCATCAAATGTTGGCTCTTCTTCGTCATCTTCTTCGTCGTCAATTGGCTTTTCATAGTCGGCTTCATATTCATTGTCGTCATCTAATGGTGTCCTCTCACTAATGAATTGTTCTGCCGGTCTAAACGGGTCGTCCTCTCTATATCTGGCCAGTGATGTCGATATTAATACAAAATTTAAAACATACTTTAAAAGCATTATTTCATATAAATTACTGACGATATAGAGTAAAATAAACTAACTTATAGTTTGACACATATATATATATATATCAAAATGTTGTCATTATTTTCAATACTTATATAATTTATAAATTTAACGGATAAATGGCTAATATTTATAAATAAAATAATATAAAAAAGTTGTTTTTGAACGATATTTCTTAAACAATGTGTACGTCAAGGCTTCCCGTTATATAATTCAATGAAATGTAATTTTTAAAATAACTATTTTTTTATTAAAAAAAATTCAGATATTATTTTTGTTTAACGCATGAATAAATATTAATATTATTTATAGCTTAAAAATGCCGATAATTTTTGTGACAAATTTTTAACAAATTATTTTATTATATTTTATTATTGATTTGTCTACATTATGATTGACATATTTTTTTTTTTAAAAAACTTATTGTATAATTAAGTCACATTTATAAATAATTATGTCAATAATATTGGAAAATTCATTTATTTAAAACAATAACTACTGTATAGATATTATAACTTACAAAATAATATAACTTTGTTTTAATCAATTATTATATGTTTTAAATTAAAAACTTTTTGTTGATTAACTCATGAAGTAGTCGAGGGGTTAATGACTTGTAATTGAATGATTGATTAAGTGTGTCTCAAATTGAGATTTATAATGATTCACAAGCCCTTTATACAGCCCTTTCCCAATTGTATTTCTAATCACAACATCCCTGTGCTGGTGAGCATTAAATGTTATGTATCTCAAAGCACTTGAAAAAGTTTAAGTTTCATATAATATATACACTTTTAACGGCATTTTAAATTGATTTTTTTCTGCTGCAATGTCATGTGAAAAGTCTATTGTAAAAAGTTTATATAATTTTTTTGAAATATATAAAATTAGATATATTAGAAAAATCAACATTCAAATGGAGCATATATTTCAAGGCAAACACAGGATATAAATATTAATAAATACTTAATTGAATTTATACAACAAATTTATAAATTAATGAAAGTGTAATATTTGTATAATAAACTTATAACAATAATATTAGGCCCATAACCAGTACACTAGTTACCGGTTCCCATGAGAATCAGCGGCTATACTATTATTATTATTACTATTGATACAATCGCCCACTCTATTATTTTGTACTAAACATGCCTTTAATTATCTTTTTTTTTGTGTTAAAAACATTTCATTATAATGTAATTTTTAGCGCAAACACAAACAACTACTTGTTTATTTGTGTGTATGTGTAATAGGCATTATGTATGTGCATTATGCATGTGTTTTTGTGTATGTATGTAGCATCAAATAAATAAAAAACTAAAATGATTATTATTAAATTATACTTTATATTTATTTTGACAAATCATTTAAAGTAAATTAACTGTAGCCTTAAACATAGTAATACATGTTAAAGTTTAAACACAGGACTATACTGTTTATTATAGTAAATGAATTTTAATTTATTTCTATCTTCACTAAAAATTACTAAAAAGTTCAGTATTTAATTATTAAAAAAATTTAATGTACTATTTAACTATTACTATAATTAAATTAAATATAAGATAATTCTAGCATTAATACACATGAATAATAATTTCTATACGTTTATTTAAACTATCGATATTTTAGACAATAATTATCTAAGTTAACTACTAACTTGTAAAAGTTAATCAAATATATAATAAATAGTGGATAAGATTTAGTTAATATAATATTGAAGTGAAAATTGTGAGTTAATATAATCGTGAGGAGACACCAACTATTTTAAAAGCTTTCAAATACATATATGTTTAGGTTTTCTGAGAAATTCAATGTTAAACATATAGTATTTTGTGTACACATTTTTGTATATAATATATATTGTGCACACATTTGTTTGATGTGGAGGCTTAACTACTATTAGTATTAATCATAATATATTTATAATACATTTGGTAAATCCTTTATTTCATGATATAATTGTTTGTTTGAAAAATTGGATATTATAAAGTGTAGGTATGTTTGTATGTATGGTTTCAAAAATGTTTGTGGGAATTGCATATTATGGCAGCAATTATAATTATAGTTAAAAAAAATTCACAAAAAAAGATTATCAAAATATTATTATATTATATATATTGTATATTTAGATAGTTTATTCTTACTGTATCATATTAAAATTATATATATATATATATAGTTATAGTAAATTATATATTTTATAATTTATTAATTTACAGCATTACAATAATATCATATGAAATATGTGTCCGTTATAATTTCACAAACATATATAAGTTTACTTTAGTAATGTGAGCATATTTTAGCTAAATAATATGCCACAAAAAACAACCAATTTTGTTTTGTGCTCAAAAATACAGTAATACTGTATTTTTAATTATTGTATATTTGTTTATTGTTTAAACATTAATAACAACTAATTTTTAAAAACCAAGACATTATTTACCTTATTATAAATAACTCAGAAAATTAATTGTAGTTTTTTTTCAAAAAGGGAACATTAATTTCAGTGGTGCCGACACTAAAAAGCACTCTAAGGCCGTAAATATGGACAATAAAACTTGAAATTAAATACAATTTCCGGATGATTTAATTGTTTAATTGTGGATTTATTCACAAAATAAACTTTATTTGATGACCTTTACTAAAGTTAGCTAACTATTCATTCAAATAAATTTATAATATTATAATTGTTTTATTTGTTGTGTCATTTGGTATCTGCAATGACCGCTAATCTATAAAGACTATCACAATAATTATGTCTTAATCTCAAGGCTTACATATTTATTATATAATTTATATAAAAGGGTTATTCATTAATCTCGCGCATGGGGTTTTTGCTATAAATCTTAAACGGAGTGAGATATATTAATTTTGTAAAAAGTGTATTAAAATATGATTTACGCGTGATATCATAAAATATAAAATTTTTTATTTTGATAACGTGATCATATTTATGATAAACCACTATGTACCTAACCTATAAATGATAGAATAAAATTTCAATAGCAATTTTTTAAAGCCTGACTTGGAAAATTATGGGAAGAAAAAATTTTTAAAATTGGTCGAAAAATAAATTTTTTATGGCTTTTCAAACTTGTGAAAAAACACATTATATAAAATTGTCAAAAATAAAATGACGTTATTTATGGATAGTATACACTTATAAGATAAAGATTTTAATACTATTACTTATTCTAAAAACTAAATTTTTTTATGTCAAATATTTTTTTAGATATTAAAATTACAATAAAAACATAGCATTATAATTTGATAATGTAATTTAATTTTAAATTTAATTATCTAAAAAAATATTAGACATAAAAAAATTTTGTTTTTAAAATATGTATTAGTATTAAAATCTTTATCTTATAAGTATATACTATCTATAAATAACGTCATTTTATTTTTGACAATTTTATATAATGTGTTTTTTCACAAGTTTGAAAAGCCATAAAAAATTTATTTTTCGACCAATTTTAAAAATTTTTTCTTCCCATAATTTTCTAAGTCAGGCTTTAAAAAATTGCTATTGAAATTTTATTCTATTAGGTTGTGACACATACAATTTAGCCCGTCATAAATATGATCACGTTATCAAAATAAAAAATTTTATATTTTATGATATCACGCGTAAATCATATTTTAATACACTTTTTACAAAATAAATATATCTCACTCCGTTTAAGATTTATAGCAAAAACCCCATGCGCGAGATTAATGAATAACCCTTTTATATAAAACAATCATAATGTATTTATTGCTATAATAATGTTTATATGATAATATTACTACATAAACTTCACAAATACTATATAAACACAAAATGTTATATAATATAAACATATGCGCGTCTATTATAAAACTAATTTAGACATTAGTTTATTATTTATGTCATTTGAACCATAAATTAGTTGATTCTTATCAGTTGTCAATTTTAAATTTACTTTTTTTTCTTAACTTTTATACAATTATATAATATACAATGTATATAATTTTAAAGCAATTTTCAAATAGATAGACATTATCTCAATTAAATCCAAAAATTTTTCGACAAAAAAATTATAATAATTTTTTTCAGTGTTAAATATGTATTTTATGTAGTGAATAGACTACTGTATACAATATAGTAATTTTTTTAATTAAAAAACTAAACTAAATTTTAAGTTAAGTTACTTTTTGCAGTTTTTACTAAAAATATATATAGACAGAGCTAATTAGTATTCGGTTGGCGTTATATATTTGAAATTAAAAGACATCATTAAATAGTATTCAATTAAATCAATTCTCATGAATCACACAATTATTTAATTAACAAATCTGTATTCAAAACAGATTTTTTTGCTTTAATTTACATTAAACGCAAACCGTTTTTAATAATTGCCGTGTTTTTCGCATAAAATTGATTAAACAATTATAAAACTATGTATTGTTTTTTGTCAAATAAAATATGAATACTAATTTAAATGATTTAAAAATTAATTTATTGATATTTTTGTTGTTATTAAATATAAATAATATGGTAAATTACAATTCAATTAATCGGTATAAATTACATATAATAAGTGAGTATAATATTTAAAAATATAAAATAAAATATTATTTTTTTTGTACAATAAATTATATTTAAAAATAATGGCACATAATAATGAAGAGTATTTAACAGTTAAATATTTACAAAAATTAAATAAAAAATAATTTTATATATAACTTCATTTTGTATAATAAATCTAAACATGATTTTAAATAAAAATCTTGAGATTATAATTTTCATAAAACTTATAAATTATTTACATACACTTACAATGAAAATACAAATAAAAACAAAAAATCTATATAATAATAAATTATAAAAATAATAAAATTAATAATAATTTAATCACCGATTAGAGTGGACTCAATTATCATAAATAAAATGTCATTAATAATGATAATAATGTTAAGATTATAGGGTTTCCGTTTGGCACCGACACTTGGACACAATTTGAACTTTCTTGCGTTTGATGGCCGGCACCGAATCGGGACACTTGAGACGTACGGTTTGCCATCGGTAGCGTCGAGGCAGACAAAAAGCACACGAACTAAATGGCAAACTGTCGTTACCGTTGGCCGGTATGAAAAACGAGTTACACGAGCCATAACAGTAGGCATTCAATATTGTTCTCGATATGCATCCCGGCTCTTGAATTTTTTGCTTATACGGAACCGTTTGGCAAAAGTTTCGCCGCATGTTTGGCACCCGACCTATGGCCGGACCCAATGACGACCGAAGCGCCAAAAATGCTGATCTTTGCAGAGAGTTTTGCTGTGTTTTTCGTTGTCTTGTTTGATGATTTTTATGGTCACGTGTGGGCAGTGAGCATATGGTCACCACTAATAAAGACAATAAGCATAATGTGGTCACAGTTTGACAACAATAGGACTGAAGTCCACTATAGGCTACACTTTTAGGTCGCATCGTTACACTCGTGATGTGAACTAAGAGAATGGTTTGTCTGATTGTAAGAACAGACCAGAAATACAGATCCACTGCCAACACATTGAATGAGAAAATCAGACACTCTTCTCACTGCTCCTCACATACAGTCGTCTTCTGGCTCTCCCCCAGAAGTTTCTCTCCCAGTGCTCTCTCTCTACGATTACTATATGTAGTCTCTTTCTCACTCACTCACTCTCTCTCTCCTTTTCTCTCATATCCCTCTCTGAGGTCTCCGTGAAGGCTCGGCGCCGGCCTACTCTGTATGACGGCTTATGACGGCCACGCCATGTAATAGCATTTGGCGTGTTGTTTGATGAGAAACAGGGGTGCACTCACTCGTATATACATACATTCAATATAAGTACTTATAAATATATCAGATTATATATATATATACACGTATATGTTTTAATATAATAGTGTTTGATAATTTAACAATAATATATTAAAAAATAAAAAATACATGCATTTATAATTGCTTTATTAATAACAACATTATTCAATCATATAATATATAAATCAATATTAATGATTTGAATAATCACTGTTTGTTTGGATGCAATTTTATCACAACTTTAAAAGTTCAAATACTGTGTTCAAATCATTGAGTTATCATTGTGTGAGTCTATGTGTGTATTAATTAATGATTTTAAAACTTGGTTATATTGCAAATGAGAAGAGAGAGAGAGAGAGAGAGAGAGAGAGAGAGAGAGAGAGAGAGAGAGAGAGAGAGAGAGTTTAGTGAGAGGTGTGAGTGAGTGTTCATTGTTAACACTTCACACGTTTGTTATATTTGGTGCACATGTATGTCATTGTATAGTAATATAGCTATTGTCATACTGGGGTATGTCTGGAATGTTTGTTCTGGTGTGGCGTAAGGATAGTCTAAATAGGTTTTAAAATTGGTACTAAAGATACCAATACGAGTCAAATTGTATGAGAGATACCGGTGCGGTAGATAATATATATAATATTATAGATTGTACTGTATATATACAGGTATATGCTATACCATTATGGTACCGGTGCCCTGTGTTCCAACACTGTTGTGCCCACTCATTCACTATTATAATAATAATAAAAGTTTTTATTCTCTAAAAACTATTATAACACCTCTGGTGTGTGATTGAGCCCAACGATGTCAAACTCACACACTCACCAACTTTTCATCCCTCTCTCTCTCTCTCTCTCTCTCTCTCTCACGTCAATTCATGGTCTCTCTCCGCTCCCTATGTATACCTGTTTGTCGTTTCCCAATAACGAGTAAACTTTTACACGTTTGTAACCGCAGTCACAACTTTTTTTCACTGACTTTCCACTACTACTTGTTTGTAACGTTTAATAACTTATTAATAATAAGTATAAGTCTTATACACATTTCTCAAGAGATTAGCCGCCCATAACATTCACAAATAGTGAGTGAGTGTATGGATGTGTATGTGTGCGTAGAGAGAGAGAGAGAGAGAGAGAGAGAGAGAGAGAGAGAGAGAGAGAGAGAGAGAGAGAGAGAGAGAGAGAGCATTGAATGTAAGTGTCAGTATTTGCACCTCGAAAATGACTGAAAATGCTTTACTCCCGAAACCATATCACATATAATAAGGATTAGTAGATATAGCAGTCATTAACTTTAGTAATATATGGCTTTTAAAAAAATGTTTCAATGCTTCGCACAACACAACAAACGATAGGAATTTTCATGTATTTACTGAACACAAGAATTTTAGACTCAATTCTGATTAAAATTAATGACATTTTTCTGTCTGTCTCTTATTTATTGATTAATTTATTGGAGAATCCAAATAATGGCAAATATTTTTTTATTTGTTAAATATTTTAATTAAAAATTCTTTTAGCATTTAAAGGATTTTTTTCAACAAAATTGATAAATAGACATATCACATTTATATAAATTTTTCATCACTATTAGTGTATAAAAATTACTTATTATTTAATTTATTATTTATATTTTGTTTTTTAGTGGACATTAATTAAGAAATACAATGTATTTACTGTATGTATATATATATATATATATATATATATATATATTTATATATATACTGTATTTAATGTTAGTTTTAGCAAATTATGAACTCAGAAGTTACTTAATTAATACCGGTATTAACAAATAAGGCAATCAAATATGAGTAGGCAATAACCAAAGCACACACACACACACATACTTGTCCTCAAACATTAACTAACTAACCTCATGGGTACGGTTTGACTGCTTATAACAAATTAATGTAAAGATTATATTACATAATATATATATATATCTAAATATATATTAAGATTATCTTTTATTATTTTCAATGAATGCTTATATTAATTCTGGTTTCATGACTATAGATAGAGATATTGAGATAAAATGCAAATTAATTTTTCAACGTTAAACCAGACATCACAGTCGGAAACCATATAATTATCGATACATATATTCATGCGTTGAATAGAAAGTCCATTATCTTAGGCACCATTTCGGGTACCATTAATATATAAATGAAACCCTATTATTATTATTTATAATATTATAGTTTTATTCAATTCAATGTCTCATTTGCCTTTCAATCAATACAATTATGGTTTATAATTTTTTATATAAAAATTATTCTACTTATGAATCACTCGCAACACACACACACATACACACACATACATACATACATAATACCATATCAAAGGTCTTATTAGTGATAGACTTGTGGCAACACTAGCCATGAATTTCAAATCCGTTTTAATTCAATATATATTTGAATATTCTTTTCATCAAAATTTTCTTGAATTTAAAATTTGTTACAAACCATCAAATACAAGACAATAGTAAAGAAAAATATATATGCAATGCATATTTTAACATCAACTTTGATAGTGCTCATGTATTTTCATCTAAAAATAGCTAAATATATATTTTTTTAAACATGTTTATCAACAACAATATCATAATTTTATTATTATATAACTCTATTGGCGCCTAAATTCTAGGCTCGTTCTCAGTCACTAATTATAGCGATATTAAGTCAATAACTTTTGAGAAAAAAGACAACTGAATTGAATTGAATGTATGAATAGTAAGGTTTGTATTTTTCAATGAAATACTTATCAATGAAGTACATCAATAATATATATATATATACTGTATATATAATGTATATTTATACATACATACCATTGAAGACTTTGACTCAATTAGGAAAAATTGATATTTACTTTGACAATAGCATAGACATCAACACTAACATTGAGGAGACATATGTTTGATAAATTTACATATTCAGAGATAAGATATGATTGAATCCCTGGGATAGACAGTAATACTGTAGTGTAGTGTTATAATAGAGATGCGGTTCATTTGTTAATGGACTCACCATTTAGAGGAATGGGAGACAAAGAGATTACAATTGCTTAGTTAGAGTATGGACTGGCGACTCGACTCTCGAGAGTCATGAGAGAAAAAGAGAGAAAAAACTTGATTTATTTGTAGCTCAAAATGTTAAAAGACTCATTAGGTTTGCCTATAATAAGTATTACTTAAACCAATAATTTTTCACTAAAGACACGTGAGTTCACTAAAGCTATACTTATTATATAAAATATTCAAATAAATACTTTTTACTCTTTTTTTTAAAAAAAAACTTGATTTTCAATTAACAATCCAAATGCAAATTAGAAAATAATTATATAATTAGCGGCAAATAAATTACTTAGTTTTTTACTACATGTTTGTCTATATAAATGTATAATTACAATAACAAAATTTATACGCTAGTTAATAATTATATTTAACTCTGTGTATATGTAATGCATATTAATAAATATTGAACCAAAAAAAACAATTTTTTTCATAAATATGATGATCAGTGCAAACTTTATTTTTCCTGTCCGCTGTTAACATTGATAAATGTTACATATGTTAAGAGAGAGAGAGAGAGAGAGAGAGAGAGAGAAATTGGCACCAATATAATAACGTTGCAAATATTTTAAATTCACCAATGTCAATTTTAAATTTATCTAACATTTGCAAAGTTCTACAGTATATTGAAGTCACATTTTTAAAAATATATTATAAAATGTTTGCCATTACATTAGTTTGATTAAATTAATTAAATTTACAAAATAAAGTATCATTTAATAACTTTAATATACATATATTCTGTTATATTAAGTTATTATGTCTTTCATTTAATATAGTCTTTACATTTCATTGACTTATTTATTGTATAAATGTCAGAGACATACAAATATGTATACAATAAGTGATTTGATAGGAGTTTTCTCTTATAAAACCATTTAAAAGGCATTAGTTTTGGTGTAAATCCTAAGTATTTAATGGAAACACTTAATTACAAACTGATTAGCCATAAGCTATAAGTGCATCAACTTTTCACACAAACACAGTCTATATTTAGATCCTATTAGACATATATTTATGACAACTTCTATAATCACTGCCACAAACCAATTGTTTTTACATTTCTATTACTTATAAAATCTATATCGAAAATACTGTACTGTATTGCACTGCATATCATAACTGCAACTATAACTGCATATTATTAAAATAAATTTAAGATATTATTTATTAATTAATTAAATGTTATAAAAATATGTATTCAAAAAATGTTTGAAAAAAACATTTATCAATACTATTAATAAAAATTCATTTTATATACATTAAATGACAAATCCATTATTTATGTTTTTTCTAAAAATAAAATAAAATATGTGATATTTTGAGAAAAAATGACTTAATACTAATGATCTAATTAAGTAAAAGTTAATCAGTTATATATATTATACAATACTGTATATTAAATAAATTATAAATAAATTTATTTTGCAAAAAAAAATTGTTTAAAATTAAATAACTAATAATAAATTATTATAAAACTTTAGTGGCATTATACAGGTATAATGTACTGTATATGTTACGCAATATTAATGTAATCTCATTAAAACTAATCAAAAATTTAAATATTGCATAAAAAACAATAAGTTTTAAAAAAATAAAAATATATAAACTTTTATTATTTGAACCAAACTTTTGTCAAATAAAACCTAATGTTTGATACACATGACAGGTATGCTTATACACAACAATCGTTACCTAAATCATCAACTATTGGTGACCCCTTGTAATTGTTTTGTTTATACTTTAATGTGATTTGTTAGACAACACTATACTTTCAAATATGACACGTAATGTCTGAATGTTAATGTTGTATATGTTTTGCAATTATTTTGAAAATACAGTAATGACTTGCAGTTTATGTTTTGCAAACATAGTGTTTATGTTTATATTGTATTGCATTGTATTGTAAAGCATTGTATTATTGTTGTGACTCAGCATTTGACACATTGTTTTGCATATCATTTTAGACCACAATTTATGTGACTATTGTTTGTATGATTCAAACGACGCTAACGATGACTAAGCGAAACATTAGACGAAAGCAGCCATTGGTGGCCAACAAGACATACGACAACAACAACATCAACAACACATCCAACACGAGAGCCAACAAAAGGACAATCAGTCGGACAGTTGCTAACACTCGACGAAAGACCAGATCATCCATCAAAAGTGTGACAGACTTTGTCGACTCGGGTCTTGACTTAGACACCAGTGATAGTGAGTTAGTGGCCATTGCCCGCAGTGTTGACATCGAGTGCAACAAAAGTGATACAAACGACAGCATGGAATCAAACACATCGTCCGGTGGCCGACACGGACTCACCGACGATCTGTTGGTCACATTGTCTGTGCGTGAACTCAATCGACGTCTTAAGATGTCTGGTCTGTCGCGAGCGGATGTCATCAAAATGAAACAAAGGCGCCGAACACTCAAGAACAGGGGTTACGCCGCCCAGTGTCGCAACAAACGACTCGAACAAAAAGGTAAGCACCGGGAGGTCAACCATTACATTGTGTTGAGACCAATCAGTCTTATAGATTAGTTGTTTATTTGGTTAACTCAATCAATTGACATCAATTGTATTAGTCTTATAAATTGAATGAACAATTATTTTATATCTGTTGACTTGTCTGAMGCTTAGGTGATCTCGAGACCGACAAAGTGGTAGTCGTGTCTGACATCCGACACCTGAGTGATGTCAACAACAAGATTAGAGAAGAGGTGATAGACTTGAAGCAAAAGTTTGACGCAATCGTTGAGTTCGCTAACAATAATGGCATTGAATTACCGCCCGATTTACAAGAGTTTGTTGATTGTCAACATCTGATGCAATCATAGACTCTTTTGCCAATCATTTTACCATAAAATTCATCAATTGTTATCTTATTTAATATTGAAAACACTTTGTTACTAATTTAATAATTAACTTTGTATTTGTTTAATTAAATTATAATATTATATAATAATGTATATATACAGCAATGAAATGATAAATTAATTTATTTTAGTAATATTAATGACACTGAAATGTACTGTTGATTGCAGTGTTAAAAAATAATAAACTTTTTATAATGTTTAAAAAAAGTTTGTGTTATGCAATGTGCATACAATATATTTATACAGTATATATATTGCTATACTTTATATATTCAAACGCATATTATCTATACTATTGTGTAGTGTATATGAAAAAGGCAACGATGCTTACCACTGATTGTCTGTCTGTGTCGGCATCAGGCATATCGCGGGCCGACTCCTAACTCCCAGTGCGAGCCATAGTTCGTAGGTGTGACCTCTGAACTCTCGTGATTTATTGTGGCGCCGACTCTCTATTTTATGGGTGAGAATAAACGCCAAGCAATTAATGATCACAAGAGAGAGAGAGAGAGAGAGAGCCATTCACTCAAAGAGTGAGCACTTGTTTGTTGAACACATGAAGTTAAGCTCTGAGAGAGGAGTTTACCAGAAAAAAACCACACATCACTACAATAACTAAAAAATATATATTTATCTTTTTACACGAAAAAATTGTGTTTAATTTTTTTGACTACATTTGAAAAAATATGTTGATTTCATTTAAATAAGTTAAAACTAAGTAATTCACGCGTGTATTGGAGATAAAGATTGAGATATAAAACTTGAAATAACAACAAAAATAACATTTTAAAAATCGCATAAAAACACTTAATGTATATACAGGTATGTGATGAATAGGTAAACATTTTTATGGTATATTTGTCATAAATTTCAAGAAAAAATATGAAAACTGAACCAAAAAAAATATAATCTATGATTGCATTAAAAAACAATATTATTATTAATTACTAATGTCCTATAGATATATATAAACCGTATGTCCATTTGAATCATCGGCCAATCATTATATAATCTATGCACTGAAATATACTGTGTTTAAAAAATATAGTTATCTCTCAATACATAACTTTGAATACAAAAAAATATTTTATTTTTTAAAATTTGTTTTGATTTTTGCCAAACATTGGTGGCCAGTGTTGTCGTCATTGTCGCCGATAAACAAACAAATAGTACCACAACCGCCGGTAGTATTACTAATGTTGGTGAACAACAAGACATATCATACGTCTACAATGGTTACGCACCGCTCAGTGTACGACTGGCCCAATATCTGGAACATCCAGGTTGGCGGACCATACCTGATGCCCCCTCAAGCTGTTACCCGAACCGATTATCGAAGAAACCCAACAGATAGCGGTCGGTCTTAGAAAACGCCGCAATTCCGGTGCATCCATACAGACAGTTGGCGGCGGTGATGGCGGCGAAGATAAACTAATTGCCGTTTTTTTCCTGGACGCCTATACCTATTCGGAGATATCGGGCCTAAGATTTCTATGTCAAAAACATGGTTTCAATGCCGACTTTATTATCATTACCACCAATAGTATCAATGGTACAACATTTTTGAAGTCATTTTGAAACATTTACCGCCGCAGCCGGTAAACAAACCGACCGGTAATTAGTTATACAGAAAAAAAATATTTATTTATTTTTTAAAAAAACAAACAAATGTTTTATAATTTTATAGTTTATAATTGTTTTACGGGATAATAAGCTATTGATAAAAAAATAAAATAAAAACCAATTACCGTATCCGCGAAATTATTTGGTAAAATTTATTGTATTTTTTTATTTACCGCTATATAAACTACATTATACGGTAATAATAATAATAAAAATTTGTGACAATTATTATTACCCGTAAATAAAATACTAAGTAATTGTTGTTACACCTAATAAATTTGATAAAAAAAAATTTTTTTAATAAATCTATCGATAAGTTTATAATTTATTTATTTATTTAAATATTTGATTTTTATGTACATTAAAATTCTGTGTGTGTTTTTAAAGTGAGAAAACTGTTTGAATAAAATATCAAAAACGAGATATTAAAATATCAAATAAAATACAATACAAGAAAACAAAATGATAGATGAAATACATTAAATAATAATAATTATTATTATTATAATTAAAAATTAATGTATTATTTGAAATTATAAAAAGAAAATTGTAGTAAAAATAATATTTAAAAAAAACAAAAATTATTAAATATAAAACTCGACATTTAAGATACGATAATAATAATAATTATTATTATTATAATACTATTTTATATAATTAAGTAATCAATTTTGATATTATTCATTACGAGATAGACATACGATAAGTACTGTTCAATCATATCATTCAATCAATCAATCAATCAATCATTGAATCAATTCATTGTTCAACAGAAATGGTACGCTTCTTCTGGACTAAAGCCTGGATGCGATCATCAAAGCTGAACGGCTTGAATGTTGTCGTCTTTTTCTTTTCGCCAGCGGTTTTCGGTACAGCAATCGGAGCGCTTTTCTTAGTAAAGTCGGGCATCGGATTAGCTTTGAATGCAAACGGTTTGATATTTTCAACGGCTTTTGCCGCCCGTTCCAAATCATTGGCTTTGGCGGCCCGAACTTCGTTACGGCGGACGGTCGAAAAATGCAAATCCACAGCTTTAGTCGGCTCTTTTGTCGACCGAACTCTGGGAATACCCGAAGCAAAACGTGAATCAAATAACTTCTTGCGAATCGGATTGGCTTTGAACGTGTATTTCTTGATTTGCGACGCAATTATGTCTTCGGTTGGTCGGGCAGGTTGTCGATGACGGCTAACGGTACTGAATTTCGGCGACTTTGGCATCGTTAGCGATGTTAACGATGACGAACGAGATCCACAACCGCCTGTGTTGCGGTGTTCGGTAGGACGCGACGGACGGTCACAGCTTCGCATTTTGGTCTCGAAATCGCGCAATTGTTCGGCAACTGTTCGATAGTTGTCTTCACGTTTCTTGCCGGTCGAATAGAGTCGCGAAAATACCGATGAAATACTAGCCTTTCGACGGGAACCGCTCATAGAAGTCTTCGACAATACCGGTGTCGTTGACTTTTTAGTCGACGATATCTTCAATGGTGTAGCTTTTCTTTGTTTAACCACCGATGATCTTCTCCGTGTCGACCAATTCTTGGCACTTTCTTCCGGACTGATCAATGTAACAGACTTTTTCATTGCGGACTTCGGCTTTACCAATGATTCCGGTATTTTCGAGATTGTATACGATTCGCGTCCAGTGATTGTCAGATTGGCTGCCGATTGTTCATCAATTGGCGCACTGTTTCCATTGACAAACACGTTGTCGTCATTATCATCATTTTGGGCATTGATTAGCACTACTTGTTCATCGTTGGTCTGGCGGTCATCATTGATGTCATCGTTGTTTTCCTCATTTAAACCTACCTTTTCTTCATAATAGGTTTGATCATTGAGATCAATATTTACCACATGTTCTTCTTCATCATCATTATCATCACCAGCATTGACCAAATCAATGTTGTTAACAGCTTTGGGAGTATTGGGAAGCGATTCAACCAATTGATTCATTTTAAACACAGTCACACACTCTTCGTCGCCATCATCAGCAGTCTTGTGTAGTTCTTCTTCAACGACAACTTTGACACTATTATTCACTATCTGTTTCTTATTCTTCTTCTTTGAACTCAAGCTAATCCTTGTCTCTTTCAGCGGTGTATTTCCATTGTACTGAAGCAATCGCATTGGTGTCGATCGTAACTTATAKGATAACTTCTTAYGGTTACCGCCGCCGCCGGAGAAGTACTTTTTGGTCGAATAGAATATCTCATTGTCTTCTTCTTCTTCGTCCATATTCTCCTTGTTTTGCGGTGGAGTCGAGTAATTATCATTGATCTTCAGGTCATCGACTTGTTGTCTATTGTTGTTGTTAACCATTAATGGATCATCACTTACACCATCATTATCATCGTTATCATGTCGTATATGAAAAAACTGGTCAATGCTTGTCAACTGATCCGTCGACTCAGTGGCCGTTAGATCGCAATACTGTGGACACAAAAAGTCCCATTTGTTACCATCATTACCGCCATCGATGGCGGCGGCGCTCATCATATTGTCCACACAATCACTGGACCTAATTATTTTCGGTGACAACAAAAACAAGAGATTATAATCTGAAAACAAGTCTTACAAAACAATTAAACAAAACTTACATTTTATTAATTATAATAAAAAATAATTATTCAAACAATTGGATCAATTGATTGATTGAATTATTGAATAGTAATTCAAATACTAATAGTAATAATAATAATAATAATATTGAAGACAATGATAGCCAATGACTACACAACACAACTGTTTAACCGCTTTTTCAGTTCAAATATATTATTATAAAAATGCTTTCAAACAGTCGTTTCAAACATACAAATAAAAAAACATTAGGTAGAGGTGTTTGCCGAGTAACAAGACAGTAGAGTTTATTACATTTATGCACTGTAGTAGTAGTAGTAGTAGTAGAGATGTACACAGATTTTTATTTAATGGTTAAATTACGGGAAACTTTTTTTTGATTGAAATTAATTAATTAATTTTATTTTTATTATTATTATTATATATTGTATCTATAGTTTTATCTACAATGACGACAACACTGGCCACCAATGTTTGGCAAAAATCAAAACAAATTTTAAAAAATAAAATATTTTTTTGTATTCAAAGTTATGTATTGAGAGATAACTATATTTTTTAAACACAGTATATTTCAGTGCATAGATTATATAATGATTGGCCGATGATTCAAATGGACATACGGTTTATATATATTATTTTAATCAATTATATAGCAATAGTTAATTAGTCAATTGAAATAAAATATTTTAATTTATTGTCAAAATTTATGTTTTTTTATTACAGATAAAAATGATAACATAATTAAATATTAAACAAAATTATTAATTAACTATTTTTTTAAAAAATAAGTAAATCCTAAAAAACGAAAGACTCATTTTGTGGTTGAATTATAATAAGCCATTAAAGCCTTCTTCGGTGGTATTAAGTCATCAGTCAAACCGACTCTTTTCTTGTTGTTGTTGCTGTTGTTGGCCGTTGTTTTGATAACTTTTGAAACATCGATAAAGTTGTCGTCTTCGTGTCTAAACCGACATCTGTTACCAAATTTACATTTCTTGTGTTTGTGATAATTCCAACAGATTTTCTTTGCCGTTAACTTGGGATCAGACGATGATTGACCAGAACTGCTTGTATTGTCACTCATCTTGACGTGTCTCTCAAGCTGTTCCATCTCTTTCATCTCTTCCTCTTTGAATGGATTACTAAATATCGATACTTTGCTGCTCTGACCAGTAATTTCGGTAATTGTATTCTTCAAATGTACAGATGGATGGACAGCAATTGGTTTCGGTAATAAAACTGACGGCAAATTATCACTGAATTTTGTCATATCTTGTGTTCGGTAATCAATTGCTAGCTCTTTATCGTTGTCCGAATCGGAACTCAGTTCATAATTGCTGGCCTCAAACGGGTTGGCCATTGATTTGACGGCATCGCTGACTTTGAGACAGTTTGTGGACTCGAGTTTATTGTCCTTTGGATGTCTTTCGCCGCATTTGTCGACCACTTGTTCTTCATCTTCATTGTCATCACTGCTGCTGTAGTCGAGTCCGAGCATAATATGTGTCCACTCTTTACATATCGTTAAACACTTCGTGASATTTCTGAAGACAAACCAACAAATGATTGAATGTTTTTGTATTGAATTTCAAGACAAACACTGAATGACATCATTAGTGACATCTGTTGTCACAACAAATGTCTTCAAAACATTTTACATGTGATTCTCATATGAATACAAACAAGTTGTCAAAGTGTTGACCAAATTATCGGTAATGCGACCAAAAGTGTGACCAATTTCTGGACCGACGACTGCAATGAAGTTGAAGGCATTGGAGTCGTTGATGCAATCGGTGGATGAGTTTCAGTCACCAAAGGTATGTTACGAACAGTACTCGACATCAGTTCACATCAGTTCCCGAATGCTGTACACCATTGACCACACATTTGACGACTTGAGATACAAATGTGTGGCCGATCTCGGCTGCGGTTCCGGCAGACTGACCATTGGTTCTGCACTGATTGGTGCCCAATATGTGTTGGCTATTGACTGTGATTGGGATGCCGTCCAACAAATGGTAGAAAATTTAGAAGAATTCGAGAATATTACGGCCAGTGTTGACCCGATTTGTGCCGATATTACCGATGAAGACATGTGGCAACCGTTTCACAAGCGTTTCGATACTTGTATTTTGAATCCTCCGTTTGGCACAAAAAGAAATAAAGGTTTTCATCAATTTTGTTGTTTAATCACTGATTGACTTAATTTTATTTGTAATGATTATCTTATTGTAAATCTATAGGAATTGATATGATTTTCTTGAAAAGAGCTCTTCAGTTGTCATCAAACGCCGTCTATAGTCTACATAAGACATCCACTCGAGAGGTATTTTAAGTTACAAATGTTGTCATTACTTAAGATTTGTTTTGATTTCATTTGTCAGCACATTCTCCGTAAAGCCAAAGAATGGTCAGTTGAGGCCCAAGTGTTGGCAGAGTTGAGGTTTGATTTGCCGAAAGTCTATAAATTTCACAAACATTCTTCAGTCGACATTGAAGTTGACTTTTATCGCTTCCAACACAAGACACCAACACTTAAATCACAACAACAATTAGGTCTTTGATAAGTATTTCGTTGAATTAATTTTTATATAATAACATTGTTTTTATGAGTTATTAATATTGTCAACAATTTATTAATTTTAATATATAAATAATTAATTTTATATTTAATAATAATATGAATTATGTAAATTCAAACTTTGAATAATTAATTAAAAATAAAGGATCGATAAATTATTATAAATATTTATGTTATACTTGTATTTACTGTATTTATTATTTCAGTATATTTTAATAATTTATAAGCAATATTTGTAATGATAGATAAATCTTATTGTTGAATATTACATTAAAGATACTATAGTTTATTTGCAATTATAATGTATTATAATTTAAGGTAAGTTTTTGTATAATATTAACTTAGATAATACAGCACTTGTAATGCCATATACTGAATATTCAAATTAAATTTAATATAAGGTATGTATTTTTTCAATTATCAGTATTTATAAAAATTCTAGTAACTATTTGTATAACTATTACGGTATTATTTTTTTATATTGTATTAATAAATTAATAATATACATGTTTGCAATATTAAATTTACCGGTGTTTAAAATTTTGATTGAAATTATGAAATTTGCATGAAATTCAAGTATAGGTAATAGATTAGATCAAAATTTTTTATCTTAAATACTTGTATATCGTATTTTACTAATTGTTATAAATATATGATACAAGTACAGTATATTACTATATTATACAACTAAGTTTATTACAGTATATATTGATTGTAATAAACTTAGTTGGTTTTTTAATAAATATAAAACAATTTATTAACTATTATAAAATAAATTGAACTAGAAGTTTTAGAATTAAAATAAATTTTTAAAATTATATGATTTATCAATTGCTAAACATTTGCTAACAAGATATCACATAACTTTGACTAATCACAAATAACATTGACACAATTTCAATGTCAAATAAATTATATTATTTACCTGAATTACAATTGATAAATTATTAGAAAGTGATAAAAAAAACTTTGATTTTACCTAGAACAAATAATTATTATATTAAATAACAATTATTGATAACAATTAACAATAATTGAACTTAAATTAAGTTCTATTGAGATTTAATAATTAGAAAACATATTTAATTTTCACACGTTATTCAATTAAATAGGATATTAGATATAATAAGAATATTTAAAAAGATATAAATTTGCTTATTATATATACATTTGTTTTGTCGACCTATTAAACAAAAAATTAGTTTTTTAAAAATGGTTAAAACAATAGCAGTAGTTTCAATCGTTTTGATTTTATATATAATTAGTAAAATATCTGCCGATTGTGGTTACGAGTCATGTATTCAAACTGATTCACATAAGTTAAACATTCATATCATATCTCACAGTCACGATGATGTCGGTTGGCTGAAGACGGCTGATGGCTATTATCAGGACGACGTACAGCATATCATTACAAATGTTGTCAACGCATTGGCTAAAAACCCTAAACGACGTTTCACTCAAGTGGAGACCTATTACTTCAACCGGTGGTGGTCTGAACAGAACCAACAGACCCGTGATTTGGTTCATACTTTAGTGAGTTCGGGTCAGTTGGCATTTGCTAACGGAGGCTATACTGTCAATGATGAGGGAAATGCTCACTACAATGAAATTATTGATCAAATGACATACGGTCTGAAAATTTTGGACAATTTGTTTGGCAAATGCGGTCGTCCACTCATTTCGTGGCAAATCGATCCGTTTGGCGCTTCTAAAGAAATGGCATCACTTTACGCACAAATGGGTTTCGACGGACATGTATTCAATAGGGGTGTCGAACCAAAGGGTGAATTCATATGGAATGCCAGCCCTGACTTGGGATCCAAAAGTGATATCTTTACGACTATTCTTCACAATCATTATAGCGCTCCAAACGGCTTTGACTTTGAATCCGGTATTAATTATTATAAATTAAATAACACATTGATCTTTAAATGTCTTTTAAATGACAATTAATAATTGTAATGATAGGAAATGATATAAATCCGACAAATAAGAAACAAAAGGCCGATTCAATTGTAGCGATCGGTAATCAGTGGAACAAAGACTTTGGCGGAACAAATCACGTGTTGATTACATTCGGTGATGATTTCAAATACAATAACGCAGATCACTATTTCACAAATCTCGACAAACTTATTGATGCGGTTCACGAGTTTCATCCGGACGTCAATATATTTTACTCAACACCCATGTGTTACTTGAAAGCAGTCAACCAATTGGGCCATACGTTTGAAAGCCGACAAAAAGATTATTTTCCTTTTATTACCGGTTTCTTCACAAGCCGTCCGTCACTTAAACGTCAGGAGAGATCGATAAACAGTTTGTTGCAAATAAGCAAACAGTTGGACGCAATCACCAGAATACCAGAAGTTGAACCATTTGTGAATGAGGGTCGAAATGAAATCGGAGTTATGACACATCACGACGCCATCACCGGTACATCACCACAGGTGACAATCAATGATTACATATCAAGACTTTATAGCGCCAGCGATGCTCTCAGCGAAGTCATTAACAGGACATATAAAAAACTTTTACCAAAACAAGAGTCCATTAAAACAATACCCAAACAAGTGATTTGCGACAGACTTAATATTAGTCAATGTTATGTATCGGAAAATTCAAATGAATTCACTTTAATTATCTATAATCCCATTGCAAGACCTGTCTCTCAATGGTTCAGAATTCCTGTTAATGCAAATGATAATTATGAAGTGTATGACAGCAATGGTACCAAAGTTAATGATATACATGTGGTTCCCGTTTCGCAAAAACTGATTAAAATACCTGAGAGAACCACTTCAGCAAAATATGAGTTAGTTTTTCGCGGAAATCTCAATGCTATGGGATTTGTCACTTATTTTGTTAAAAAATTAGGTAATTATTGAATTTGACTACAAATTTGTTTGAAATTATTAATTAGTTATTAATATTTAGGAAAATCATTAGAAAATTCAAGTGCTTCTCAACGGACACTAACTGAGAATACAATTGAAATGAAAGGAAAAGGTTTTACTCTAAACTTGGATTCAAATAATGGAAATATATTATCAATGAAACTAAACAATGGCAAAGAGTATCCATTGAAACAGTCTTTCAAATATTATAAATCAACAAAAGATGATAATTATGATTTTTGCGCCGAAGGAGAGGTCACTGATATTAATAGAGATGCGGTTAGGATAGAGTCAGTGACTATCAGTGGATCACTTCATGAAGTAACACAAGTCTGGAACGATTGGCTCACACAGACTGTCCGTGTCTATGAAGACGAAGAATATGTAGAACTCGAATGGATTGTCGGTTCCATACCGTCTGAAGACAATATTGGTAAAGAAGTGATAACTAGATTTGAAACTGATCTCAACACTCATCAAGAATTCTTTACTGACGCTAACGGAAGACAAAATGTAATGATTTTTACGAATTGTTATATTAATGCTAAATATATTTAATTATTTTTTGTCATTAAAAGATTAAAAGAGTACGAACTTCTCAACTGAAGAATTGTGGTCAATCGAAAAACAGTATTTCTGCCAATTATTATCCTATTTATGAAAGAATTTTCATAAAAGACAGTCAAAAAGATATGCAATTAACAGTTATGACTGATAGAGCACAGGGAGGTTCTAGTGAGGCGGACGGACAGATGGAGATTATGTTTGACCGAAGGCTTTTCATTCCCAAAAATCCTGTCCCTCTCGATGAAACAGGTATTGATGGTAAAGGTCTTGTAATCAGAGGAAAACATTATTTATTATTCAGACCAATCAATGAATCTGTAAATTTATACCGAGATTTGAGTCAAAGACTTTATATGGAACCGTTGATAACATTCTCACCACTCAAGGAATCGCAGGAAAGCTATAAAAACAATTATAAGACATCCTATTCGGGTCTAAATAATGAATTGCTACCAAACGTTCATTTGTTGACATTAGAAAAGTGGTCACAAAATAAAGTATTAGTCCGTTTGGAGCACTTCTACCAAAAAGAAGACAATAATCAACTGTCAAACCCAGTAGAGGTTGACTTACAAAACTTGTTTAAAGATTTGATAATTAAAGAAATACAAGAAATGACTTTAAGTGCTAATCAATTGCTTACAGAATCACAACAGAAGAAATTCAAATGGAATTCAAAGACAATTTCAAATGATATACAAAATAATAGTTACAATAATATTATTGATATTAAAAAAATTGGATTAAATCCACAAGAGATCAGAACTTTTATTATGACTGTTGAAGATTACAGCCAAAGAGGTATTCAATGTCTTTTTTAATTGAATTAATTATTTTATATAAAATTCAAAATTATTTTTTTCAGTTGACTGTTCTTTACGATGGGTATCGACATCCGGCAGCAAAATCCCAAGCGATGCCATTATTGGCGGCTTTGATATCGACTCTTCACCGCTATATATATGCCGACATAAACAAGTAAATGATATAATTCCCGGCAAAGCCAATGAAAAGTTGGGATGTATTGTTACATTAGGAGGAAAGTCATATAAAACTATGAATAATTATGAGGTATTAGTCGGACACGGCTTTGATTGGGTTCCAAGACATGGTGCCGATGCTGTACCCGATCGGTCATTTGTTGCCGGACACGATGGCCAGTCTAATCCAATTTATGTCGGCAAATGTGACTTATTTTTTGGTAAAGTTGAGACAGTAGTAGTCGGTAAAGTGCATCATAAATTTTATTACGGTTGGGGTGATTGGGAAAAGGAGGACTGTTTTAATCATCAAGTGATGGTTTGCTAATTATTGAATATTAAATCATAATAAATAAAGTTATTTATCTTTAATAAGCTTTGTTTTTATTTAAGCCTATCTATTTTGAAAATAACGCATAATTATGTACTGGTATACACCCAGTATAAAATTTACACCCGGGTGCACTTACTGTATATGTACCTCACATGGCCATCATTTGTTTATCATAACAATTTTGAATATTATACTTGACATGTTTATATTTAATTGTTTTATTATAAATTATTTTATGATTTAATTTAGTTATCTTAAAACTTCTACATAAAGATGCACCAGGGTGTAGTATAGCTACGGTATCATATAGTTTATTAAAATCAATTATTATTATTCAGTTTATTAAAATTACAAAAAAATAATGTCTACAAAAATTAAATTATTTTATTATTTAACTATTAAATAGTTGGTTATTACGTAATATTGTAATAATTATATTGTACATCTGATTGTATCTAAACAATAGTTTTTAACTATTGATATTACAAAATGAAATATACAGATATGTATAATACTATTTATTATAACATTTAAAAAAATTTATAAAATATTTTTGATTAAATGTTTATACAAAAATACTGTACCTGTATATGTATTAAAGTGTGGTTAAGTAAGATTATTATAAATAGTAATTTTGATGATATTTCAAATTTTTAAAAAATGCACGCAAATAAAGTGTAAAATCAGTACATAATTTTATAATACAAGTAATATAATTGGTTTAGATTTTTTCAATAATATTAAACTTTTATACAATATCGCCAATATTTATTTGAATACTTGATTGCTATATAATTATAAATCAACCAATAATATATTAATAGTAATATTTAATTATTTTTATATTGAGAGTACGTTAGGGTGCGATGCGATTACCGATAAAATAGATTATAAATATAAACATTTAAATTTAAATACGTATTGTGATAAGGATTTTGTTTAAATATAGATTTTTTTATATAAATTGGTATATATTTATACTAATAAAACTAAGCAACAAATTATTAATAGTAAAGTTTTAAAATAAAATAATATAATATAAAATGTTAAAAGTTTTAATATTAACAATTGTCGTCGGAATTATCGTTTGGTATAAATGGAGAAAACGATTGATGTCTCAATTGAAACGAAATGGTATCCCAGGACCAGAACCGCACATACTTTGGGGTAATTTTAAAGAATATCAAATTAAAGGTTACGCCAAATGTCATGAAGAATGGATCAAAAAATACGGTCGTATTGTTGGTTATTATTTGGGCGGAAAACCGTTTGTATTGGTAGCCGATCCGGAACTACTAAAAGTTATACAAATCAAAGAGTTTCACGAGTTTTCCAAACGTCAACTATTGCTTAATGATAGCGGTTTGAATCCAAATCCACGATTCAAACACAGTTTGATCTCTTGTAAAGACAGTCGTTGGAAACAAATGAGAAGCAATCTGTCGCCGACCTTCAGCGGTGCCAAACTTAAACAAATGACACCAATCATTGAGTCAACAATCAATAAATTCTTGTCGAGAGTGGCTGATAATGAAAGACAGCGCCAAGAGTTTGATATCTATGATCTGTTTCAAGGCTTGACTATGGAAACGATAGCCAAAGCGGGCTTCGGGTTTGACTCTGAATCTCAAACAAAAGATGAAGACGCCGTCATTGAGGCCGTTAAAGCCGTATTCAATGTAAGCGTCGGACAGGTATTGCTTTTTCTATGGCTAGTGTTTCCCGAATTTCGGTTTATTATAAATCCAATCAGAATATTGATAGACAAAGTCAAGGATTACTTTGGTTATTCAGATCACGGATTTCTCTTAAAGATTAGCGACCAATTGATTAAACAAAGAAGAGCTAACAATGGATCCAATAATCAAAGAGATTTGTTGCAACTCATGTTGGAGTCTGAGGCAAGTGGTATGTTGTCTAACGATAAACTATCTATAAGTAGTGATATGAACGATGATAATGATATTGAAGTTAAAGAAAAGTGGTCTAAAAAGTCAAAGATGACCGACGATGAGATTTCAGCCAATGCTGTCCTGTTTTTTGAAGCCGGATATGAGACAACCAGTACAGCACTCGGCTATTTGATGCATATTCTAATCAATAAACAAGATATTCAAGAAAAGGTTAGGCAAGAGGTTAAGGAGTTAATGGAAACGGAAGGAAAGTTAGACTATAATACTGTAACAAAACTGAAATACTTGGAACAAGTCATATATGAAACATTGAGAGTCTATCCACCCGTCACTACATTTATATCGCGAACCCCACGAAATGATTTCCACTACAACGGACTGACTCTACAGAAAGGAGTTGACATAAGAGTTCCGCTCTATTATCTTCATAGAGATCCAGAACTGTGGACAAARCCGGAAGTGTTTGACGAAAATCGCTTTTCTGATGAAAACAAACATTTGGTTAATCCAGTAGTTTGGCAGCCGTTTGGTGTCGGACCGCGTAATTGTATTGGTATGCGGTTTGCATTACTGGAAATTAAATTAACTATTGCTAAGCTATTAATTAAATATAAATTGATTGAATCAAACAATACTGAATTGGGAGACATTCAAAGAGATTTCAAAACTATATCAATGACTCCTAAAACTGGTGTCTTTACTAAAGCTGTTCTCATATCAACTGACGATTAATATTATATTAATTAATAACCCAATTATATGTTTTCATTTTTTATTGTCTTGTTTTTATTGGTGATTATATTATATACTAAAATTTTTTTTAATCTAGCATTATAATTATCATTTACGCAATATTAAATGTTGCTAAAATAGTTTTTTTTGAATAGAAAATAAATTTTTAAAACATTACCGTAATTACTAAATATTAATTTATTATATTTACTTTTTTATTAAACAAGATTTACCTATGATTTAATTTATATTGTTTATTACATTTACATTATAATAATAATATATAATTTTTTAAAAATCAATAATGAGATAATTTAATGTTATTCATGAGAATCTTAATTATTGCTCAATTAGTTGCTGACAATTGTGTATTTAAATTGTTTAAAAAATGTTTGCTTTATAAGTATATATATAAATAAGTTTATATATATATAAATTTATACTATATATACTGTATACTGTTAATGACTCGGTTTACTTTTTAAAAGCAAAGTAATCACCAGTTGGGTCCTCCAGCCACGGGTAGTTCTGGGGACACTCGGAACAAGTGTGCAAACGGATGGTCTCTCCGGGCAGCTCTCGAGTGCTCGTTGGACAGTGGTTCGGGAGATTACACAGAGGCTGACCCTTGACATCACACTTTTCCTTCCACGGGGCAAAGTCCTTGATCTGTGTCAACTCAGTCGGCGATTGCATCCATTGCAACACTTGTGTCATTGTGACGAAGTAGACATCATTTTTGTCGAGTGTCTCATCAATCCATTGGATAAAGGCGTCCAAGTATTCGGGATTAAGTTTCAGCCAACTGGCGTGGAAAAAGATACCCAACGGTGCTCTATTGGTCTTATAATGTCTGTCAAGATTATGATTCAAAAAGTTGTAAAACTGGTCGCCTGTAATAAGGTTAGCACAACTGTCAACCATTGAACAACCGGACAACTCTTCATCAAAGTTGGGATCATCTCTTCTGTCTAATTCATTCATAACCATTTCCCAGACAGCGTGTGAACGGGTCGGACAATTCTGTCCATTTCCGTGACATTTATGGGGCATTCGGAAATACAAAGTATACGGCCATAGAGGAGGATTGCTGAGCGGTGCGGTTATAGTTGAATCATAAAGGAAAGCCTGCTCTTCCATCATAAAGAATTGGTTATTACCGCCGACTCGCAGATAAGGGGCCCGAACGCCAACAATAGAGTTGTCGGTAATGTTGGCGAAGCGCTCAACGATAAGCCTGACTCCAGCCATCTCTTTAGCCCAGGTCTCGAGGTTGGCTTCACTCCAGTATTTTTCGCTTGGATTGTGACTATAATAAGATAAATAAAATGATTTTTTTTATTATACTTATTGTTTTAATGACATACGTTATGGAATGGGCGGCAATTTCGTGACCCTTTCGGTGCATTTCCTGAACGGCCGAGTAGTTAGTATACTTGTGAGACACGAAAAACGTAGTCTTAATTGAACAGCCATTGGGGTTATTGCGGCCGTCTTTGAAAATTTTTTCGTAAATATCAATATTATTGTTATTGACGGCGTCGTCAAATGATATCATAATCATTTGCGGAACATTTGTCGGCTCTAATTTGGCCGGAATTTGTGTGCCGTCGGGGGAACAAAAACAGTCGGGAAGGACACACTGACTTTGATCACAGGGAGGGGCTCTGTTCGGGTCTTTTTCGACCGCTATATTAAAAATTATTTATTTATTAATACAAATCCAATCCAATCCATACAATATTATGGATTACTTACTGCAAGCATTTTCATCTGATCCGTCGGCACAGTCAGGATTGCCGTTACAGAACAGTTCCTTATCAATACAATCTCCATTACCACACGCAAGTTTACCCGTCTCACAGATGGGATCATCGGTGGCGAACAACGGTGTGGCCAATCGAGGCTCTATATAGTTAGATATAAAGTTAAATTATGAAGAATGTGGAAATCAATTTGTGGATCAAACAAATAATTAAAAAATATTAATTACTCTCGAGTTGGGCACAATTTTTCACATTTGATTTCCAATCACACGTTTGTTTGTCGATATCAAATGCAAGACCAGATGGACACCGAAGTGCAAGCAATCCCTGAACAGAACACCGGACGACATCGCGACAGTCCTCATCTGCGGTCAACCGGAAGTATTCACTCGGAGGTCGGCCTTTGCAAAGTTCGGCGTCATTCTCATCGGTTTGTCGTTTGGCAATAAATGAGCTCAAAACTGATTGTACAAAACATGTTACGTAAGAGACTTTTATTCATTTAATTTTTGAAATATTATATTTTAGTTTTTTTTTTTGAAAATCTTTTTATTTCAACACATTTCCCGTTAAAAAAGTATGTAAAGTATTCAAGTTTTATATCTTGATAATGATTATTTAATTTATGATATCTATCAAATAAAAGTGTGTATTTGACATAATTTTGCTTTTAAAAAGTTGATTTTTGGACTATAAGTCCACTTTGAAAATAATATTTAATATATTTTTTTTAATAATTAAATCTCTAAGAGTTCCTTATAAATCCTTATATCGTTAACTTTATATTTTGAATAAACAATTGTTTCTTAATATTATAAAAGCGAAAAACTTTTTTATTTTATTTTTGTAACTTAATGTAAAATTTTTATATAATAAAAATTTATATCATAAATATTAAATTGTTTTGCATATTATTTATAAAGTACTTCCTAACAAACCTAATTCACAATTGTTTAGGAAATATACAGTTATTTTAGTATTTTCATAATGATCTTTAGTGTCAATGTTTTTAAAAAAAAGTTAAACAATTTAAATAAATATTGTGTTAAAAATTAAATGAAGTATACATTATAGATTATTTACATATGATGTGCCAAACTGTCAATAATAGTAATTATTATTGTAACTAAATTAGTGTCAATTTGCTAATCAGTTTGATGACCCATTTCAGGTCCCAGGTATTAGGTCATCAACCTATACATTACATAACTTATACAACCAGAAAAATGTTTTAAATGTCGTATTTTGCAGAAAAATGGTCCAAAAAAATATTTTTTATTAATTTTCCCTGTTTTGGTGCTATAATTGTGATTAACACAATATAGTTTATTATAATTTATAAATAGTATATATTTTTTTTGAAAAACAAGTATTTAGATAACAATAATGTTATTTAAAGCTAAATACATATACAGTTCTATATATTGCATAAACTGTGAATTTAAATAAAACTTAGATAATAGATAAAAATTAAATAAATAGTTTTGCAATTTGGAGAACTAACTAATTAGTAACATATATATATATATATATATATATATATTAGATATTAATTAAAGTTATAAATTTATACGAGACATACCTTGATTTATAAATAAAGATGCAAATATTACGGACAGTAATAAATGTGAGAAAACATACATTTTTATGGCCAAATTGTTTCAATAAACTATACTAAATGACTGTCCAATAAAGCAGTGCACGCTTTCAATAAACACAATTACACACCAGTTAAAAGCTAACGGTGCTCTCACACAAAAAAAATAATTTTTGTTCAAACTTTGTTACTTAAAAAGATTTTTTGTAGTCATTTCATAAGAGAAATACCTGTATATATAAGTGTTAAAACTTTTTAAGCAATGGATCGGAATAATGCAGTTCCTCTGCAAGAATCGGCATATGTATTGCCCCTGACCTACATATCGTCCAATCGAGAGAATTGTCATAAGACTAGTTCCCTCCAGAGATCGACTCCGTGGGCGCCATATTCGCACCGTTGGCCCAGACCTCAGACCACCGCAGGCGTTACGATTAGTAAAGCATACGCTCTCTGGAGGAACTGGTTTGACAACCGTTTCAAAGAAGTTATACACCATTTATATAACAATACTTTCACTTTAGAGATATCTTGGCATAAAAAAACATGTGATATCACTAAAAACCTCTTAATAACTAGTTTTGCAATAAATACAACAACAAAAACTTTCATCTTATATGTGAACGACAGAAATTTGAATTTATTTTTATCCAAATTCATTGCCCACCCGTGCTTAGGGTGACTCACATACATACTGGAGTCGGACTAATTAAATTTTGAAAACAAGCCTTAATTTTGATGATATTTCACATTTATTATGTTTCATTAAAAAAGGATTAGTACACTCACTATATTAGTCATACCTGTGCTTAAGTTAGAAATATGAGTATAAAAAACAATTAACATTAATTTATCAAACAGTTCACGAAATTATAATTGAAACTTATAATTAAATATTAACTTTAATGCAATCATCTCTATATACTGTATATACAGTACCGTAAATGCTATATAAAGTATAATTACTGTATTATATTATAAATTATAAAATATACTAAAATTCAATTCCTGTTCTCAACAATGAATTGTTTGCTTTAATATCGACCTCAATCTTATTATGTCTCGTAATATAGCATTTAATATATTATATAAGTTTTTTTGTAATTAAGTCCTTGACATTCAATATAACCCAATAATTTAGGCAATAAATGACCAGAAATTAAAAAACTCTTCAATAAATTTTTTACATAATTTTTCAATACATAGTTTTACAACAACAACAAAAACTATTGGCAAATCAATTATTGTTTTTAGTCACTAAGTTATAGTCTGATTACAATTTGGTTGATTGAGATTCATAATCCAGGTATGTTTTTTTTGTTATATTTCAATGCAAACTAAATTCCCATTTCATACAAATGTTTATTTTATTTTTTATTTGTTTTTTTAGTTTTTATTTTGTAAATCAATTAAAGCAACTGTGACTAGTTTTAAGAAAACATTATAATAATGTACTTATTTATTATGTCTTTGAAATATTGTTATTATATTTTATTTTAATTTATAATTTTTCTTGTTTAACCCTTTTTAAGCAAATAGAAAAAAATCAAAATAATTTATAATTTAGGCTATTGAAAACAGTATAATAATAATAATAATAATGCATAAATCAATATATAAATTATAATGACATCAAAATTATCTCATAATATATAATAATAATACTTGTAATCATTATACTTGTAATAGTATATAAATCAAATTATATTATTATATAACAAATATTGGTATTTAATTTGTATAACAAATTGATTTTTTATTAGACTTTATATATTATTTTATTTATTAATATTTTTTAAAAGTTATATAACTTATTAATTAATTAAGAAACATAAGTTTAAATATAAGTTTTAATATAACTTCTTTTCATAAATAGATATATAATAAAATACATAATTTAGTTCCGGTGACACCCACTATACACTAAAAATTTAGTGCATTTTATTCACCTATTAAGCACTTAAAGGTATAACTTTAAGTGTTTAGATTACACTAAAAAAATGATACAATAAAAATGTTTTTTTTTAAGTCTAACCTAAAAATGCTAAAGAGTTTAAAATAAAACAATAAAATACTAAAAATCTTTAAATATTTATTTAATATTTGAATCTATAGCTGAATAGTTTATTTTAATATATAAAATGTATTTTTAAAAGCAATAGTTTTTTTTGAATAAAAAGTGAAGAAAATTAAATTAAAAATTATACAGTAATTTGTCTATAGACATAAAAATTTCTCTTTTTTGGTGTTATATTTATAAAATAAAAACTTCAAAAGTTATTGTATATTTATTATTTAATTGTAATTATAATTTTTGAATACAATATGAATAACTACAACACTATAAAATAATTATAATGATAGTATAAATTATGTATAAATCTAGGAAAAAGAGTTAATTTACTATTATTTGTATTCATGGGTGTCATTAATATTTGCTAAAATTTTGACTAAAATTAGCCCATTTGTGGCAAAATATTGTGTGTGAGTGTAATATATTTATTAAACAATGAATATTAAAAACTATTACATTAGTAATTGTATAGTATATGAAATTAACTATAAATCTAAATTTATAATTAATGCTAATATTTTCAAAAATTCATAAGATATTAAATAAGATAAAATAAAATTCATGTAAGTTAGCAATTTAATTTATCTATAACCAGGAAAAGTTATAAAAAACAATTATTGTTTTAAAATTTATGGGATTTCCCGTTTAAATAATATCAGTGAACCCCTTGGTTAGCATTAGTACTGTACATAATATGTATCACATATATTTAGTATTATAAAAATTGTTAATTAAATTATTTTATTTCATTGGAAAATAGTTATTTAGATTAAAATGAAATTTTAATTGTTTTTTAATAAAGTTTAGAAATACATTTTTAAAAATAACTTAACAGTTATTCATAAACACTTTATAATCAGTAAATAAGATATCCTTCAATAGCTTTATTTAATGTTAGTTTAATACTTTAGAAACCTTCAAAAATTGTATAATTTTGTAATCACTAAATATAAATATTTTTGTAAACCTTAATCCATCAATAAATATATTAGATTATATTATTACATCAATAAATAATTTTATTTTAATTAAAAATGTTTATATAAAAAATTATAACTTAAAATTCTATTCTTTTTATGTAAAAATATTTATTATTCAATTGATTTTTTTGAATTAAGTAATCTATATATAATAATTCATTTATTTAAAATATATAATTTATTTAATTTTAAATAAAAATCAAATAAACAGTTATATTTCATAATAAAATCTATTAAAATGTTGGCATAATGACAAAAATCATTAATGCTATAAAAATTTTAAAATACTTATTCTATGAGTAAATAATTAAATACATAAAATTAATTTATATATCAATTTTTAAAACAGTTTAAGTTATATTACTTTACAGTATTTAAGATATAAGTTAATTATAATAATAAAAGCTTAACATAAGCCCAACAAACTCCTGAATATATTTCATTTGACAGAATTTTTTTTTTAAAAAATAAATTATTACTTTAATAAAGTTTATGTTAATCTAATGGTAATAAATCATAAAATATAAAAATTAACACATATTTCAAAATAAATAAAATATAATTTAATAATAAATTCAATTTTTCAAAATTTCAAACAAATGGCTATGAATTAGAAGATATTTTACAAGATTTGTTGTCATAAGTCAACAGCAAATGTGAGTCCAATATATAAATTGTATGACTATTTGCCTTTGCGTGTAATCCACGGATGGTTCAATAAGTCTTGACTAGTGATGCGTTTGCCTTCATCTTCAGTCCAGCACTGGATATGTAAATCTCGACAGTCTTGACTCAATTTGGTTCCCAATCGTTCCTCGATATACTTCTTGTCCTTTTGTTCTTTGATAAACTTTTTCTTGTCGTTCCAATGGAAAGGGAATTTGTTCTGAAGCATACAGAAGAGGACGACACCCATTGCCCAGACGTCGGCGGCAAACGCATTGTATGGAACTCTGGCCACAATTTGTGGACATTCGTAGGGTTCGGTACCGCAGTAGGTCTTTGAGAGTTCCATTTTATCCTTTTTTTCGTCCCAACAAATCTTAGCGAATCCAAAATCAGTCAGTTTTGCCATTTGATTTTCAGTGAGAAGAATGTTATCGATTTTGATGTCCCGGTGCGCCATATGAAGATTTTGGTGCATGAAAGACAATGCCTGAGCCGTTTGGGTGAACCAGAAGCAGGTCTTTTCCTCACTGAGCGCTCCGTTCTTTTGGACGTAACCGCTGATATCACCGCCGCCGCAGAACTCCATAAATATGTATAACCGATGATTAGCTTTAATGATATCATATAATTCACACGTGTTTTCGTGTTTAACACCAATCAGAGCGGCCATCTCTCGCGGCAGAAATTTCTCTTTGAATTTTTCTCCTACTTTGTCCAAATTCATCACTTTTACGGCCACTTTATCGCCAGTCTTTGTATTCTTTGCTTTGTAAACCTGCCCGAAGGCTCCCTCAGCCAACTTCTTCTGCAACTCATAACCTTTCTTCTTGAAGACGGCTTCAGTTTTGGGATCCAAATTAATGGTCTCATCTTTCTTGTCTTCGCCACCCATTTGATCAATTAGTTTGTATGTATGGGTTCAATGTCTGTCAGATCAGCCGCCGATTTTTAGGTTTGATTTTCAGATAACGTTTTATATTTTAATTAAAGTTAAAATAAATTTATTTCAAAAATTCAAATCACAATAATTAGATTCACGTGATTTAAAGTAACTGAAGTAAAGAAGTGGTAAATGATTTTAGAAAAGATTTATTATTATAATGATTGCAATAATTTAATGATAAGTTGACGCGTGATATACAGTCAATGATAGTTATAAACAATTTATTGATTAATAATATGATATATGTATTGAAAAACAGTTCAACAAATCATTTCATTTTAATGTCAACTCTTGCAGACACTTCTCGTAGTGTGTCTTCACTGGTCTCGCAATGCGATACTTCTTCTTCTGTCCACAATTTGGACACCGAGTGATCATAAACTTGCGTTTAATTCTACAATTCTTGTGGTCGACAATAGAGAAACACTTCCGACAGCGACGTTGTTTGTATTGATGGCAACCCATTGAATGGATCTGATGTTTCAGTGATATCTCACGCATCAGATGACCGTAAACTGAGACCAATCGATGATTAGCCAGTGATTGGCCGTCCATCTCGAGTAGACATTCGCTAAATTGCTGCAAATACGCGACCCGTTTAAAGATATCCATCGATGGACACAACGGAGTGGATCAACAAAAGTGATAACAAATTGTATTAAAAATCACTGAAAACTTTACATTCAATTATTGCAATGTTTTGTGACATTACATCACATTTTATTTAATAATAACATAAATCGCTTACGATTTTAAATGCCTTTTTTAGATATACTAATTGTGTAGAAATTCAATATAAGTTTTACTATATAATAAAGTATATATTCTAAGTATTATGTTTTTTCCAATTTTATTCTATGGTTATAATATGAGTTCACTATATGTGACAATTTTATTGACATTTCAATAATAATTTAATGTATTTTTATCCACAAAATAATTGCAATTTCCACGTGTTGTCAACACATATGACATTATTATTATTATTATTATTGAGTTTATTGTTGACATCGATATAACATTTTGTTGACCACTTGAGTGGACACCCGATTGGCCGACAATTGACAACAAAATGAGTCAATCACTTGATTCGCTGTTCAACTCATCCAATATATTAATTAATGACATCCAAGAAGTACTGTTTCCGCGACTCGAGTCGACGATACAAATCGGTGACCAAAATAATGCGCTAACCGTCGAGTCGGACATCGAGTCTAAACTGAAACAAATTGAGACCAATTGCGACAAAATGGATATCTATGTCAATAAATGCGGACCCAATGATAGACCACAACAGAAGATGCGTTTGGATCAGTTGCGGTACGACTCGAGACATTTGCTGTCTTCGTTACGCAATCTTCATCACCGACGTGTCCAACGGGAACGGGAAGAAAGAGAACGAGAAGAATTGCTGACCAGACGGTTCACCACTAATACCGAGACCAACATTGCAATGGATAACTACTTTCAGGACGAAAATAGCCGACTCAATAGTTTCCACTCGAATCTGGACGATATGATTAGTTCGGGTTCGTCCATATTATCGGGTCTTCGGGATCAGAGAGGAGTCTTAAAGGGAGCACAGAAACGACTCATTGATATCGGCAATACATTAGGTCTGTCCAACACTGTTATGCGTTTGATTGAAAAGAGAGGAAAGGGAGACAAATACATACTCTTTGGCGGAATGATTGTCTTCACAATACTAATGTTACTCATCTGGAAATACTTGACATGAGTTTTAAGTCAAGACTTTTTAATTATTATTAAATAAATTGTTATATTTTTAATTAAACAAATTTCAATTTTTTATATACTCGTGTTGTTTCCATTCAATTGACATTATTTTTTTATTACCGTTAATATACATACTGTTTGCTACATATTTATTATAAAATGTAATTATTATTATTTATTTATTTTTAAAAAATTATTTATAAATAAATTTATACTCAAGTGTTGTATGATACAGTATATAAATATATTGTACTGACATAAAATCAGTAGTATTGTTATGTTACATAACTTATGTTAATATATTGTATATATTTCACAGATTTATAATATGTATTATTATTTAGAAATATAAACTATTTGAATAAATTTCGGTAAATTATAAAATTATTTGATACAAACATCAAATTCATTAAATTGATAATAATGTTATTTATGAATTCATACATAAAAATATTGAAATTACATTTGAAAAATATTTAATTGAATTTCCATTTAATATACGCAACAAAAGCTAATACAATGAATAATATGAATATTAGCCAAACGTCCCATTTTTTACCGAAATATTTGCTGACATCGAGTGCAACCATAATCTTGTCTATGGTTTGCAAAAATTTGACCTTTTGTTTTGCAAAAAATACCGCAATTCTAGCGTCGGTATTGATTCGGGCGGACATTTCATAGTAAATAAGTGCCACCGAATAGTCCTGATTGACACCCAAACCCTTTTCAAACATATAACCCAAATTGAAGAGAGCTTGCGATGAATACTGAGACTCCGATGCCTTACGATAATAGTAAGCAGACATCTGATAGTTGATACCACTCGACAAACCATAGTAATGATAGTCACCCACTTTGATCCGGGCGTACGATAATCCTTGAGCTGCAGATTGTGCCCAATATTTAAGAGCCAAACTGTAGCGTTTGTGGCCATCTTTTATATTCAATTGGTCGATGTCATAGTTTTCAATAATAAAAGCACTGTTACTCTGAGCGCACTCGTAGCCCAACTCGGATAGGAAAGCGTATGCAATGAGAGCCTGAAGAAACTTATGATTATCAAAGTCATGGTTTGCTTGTGTTAACAATTGAGAAATGACACCCCTTTCGGCAACAGATTTAAAGTAAGAGACGGCGGTTGGACAGGATTTGGCCACTCCGTGACCCCCGGCATATAACTGTCCGATATTATAGTTTGACAGCAAATGCTTTGATTTTAATGTAAGAGTTAAGTAACGAACTGCTATTCGATAGTCGCGCAAAACACCCAAACCATTAATATACATAAGCCCTAAGTTAAGCATTCCTTCAACCCATCCCTGACGTGAAGACAGTGAAAAATATCCGATTGAATCCTCAAAATTAATGTCAACACCCAATCCGTATTTATACATAAGTCCCAGTTCTGTCTGTGCGATGGGATTCCCGAATTGTGCCGACATTTGAAACAAATGCAATGCTTTCGTCAAATTCTGTCGCACAGAATGACTGCCCTTTAAGTGAATTTTACCCAAAAATGCCAACGCATTTGCATTTCCCGATTTGGCCGCTCTTTGAAAATACTGAACCGCTCGGTCAACATCTCTAGGAACTCCATATTCTCCGTAATAATACAATAAACCCAAACTAACTATAGCACTGATATCTCCTTTTTTTGCTAAATGTCGATAAACTTCAACGATATCTTTATTCAAGATTTTTGCTGATATTTCACTTTCATCCCATAAATGTCTTTCTTGTAGAAGACTTCCACCAGAAATTTGAGATTCGTCGACAACATCAGTGGCCACACTGTGATACAGATCAAGAGCTGTCGTACAGTTAATGACAACACCAAAACCATACATAAATCTGAAAGCAATTGCCATTTTGGCCAACGGATGGTTCAGATTAGCAGCCAATTTATAGTGTATTAAAGCTTTCTTGGGATCTGCTTTTACACCTAAACCTGATGAGTATATGAATCCCTGATATAGATGAGCACTAGAGCTTTGATTGATGGCAATATTCTGCAGATACATGAGCGCAACTTTCGGATCAAATGGCAAATTGTTGGCAAACAGATGCTCTTTGGCCAACATTTCACTGGCCAACGGGTGCTTCAATTCTGCCGATTTCTTAAGGAAATTGTATGCATTTTTGTTGTTACTTTTGTCTGACTTTTTCAACAATTTCAACGCCTTTTCATATAAATCATTGGACTTTCTATAGACTCTGTCGTTAGGAAATGTTTTACTGGATATCTGATGATTGTCTTGTCGTCTATTCATCGATTGACACATTTGTGTGCAACCATTACCACAATGTGTGCTATAGATTATGATAGTTATGATAGTTATAACAATTGCCGATACCATAGTTTGGATGAAATTGATGTTAACCTTATTTTCTAACTTATAATATTGTTTATTTGAAATTATGTTTTAATATTAGACATAATTAACTAAATAATATCGCGTGATTAATTTTTAATGAAGTTTATTGCAATTTCACACATTTTCCTAAATTAAAATGAGATGTACTGTATATTATGCTATTGTATTGTATTAATATAATAAAATGGGAATTTTAAAAAGTTTTTATCAAATATGAAAAATATAACTTAATGAACAACTTGAATGTTAAATAAATTTTATCTTTTAATTTCTAGTATCAGTTGATTAAATATTTAATAAATTTTAAGCTCACAAGAAATAGACTGCGATATGATTATAGATAATATCTTAAACAATATTAAATTTTAATTAAGATATTCAAACAATGTTTAAAACTACAGAGTATATCAATGAACTCTACAGTAGATCCCAAAACTGTTGTCAACATAATATTATATAAAAAATTATTTAGTATTTTCAAATGGTATTTATATACATTATATATTTAAATTTATATATTTTAAAAACATTAAAAATTATAATTAATTACTTTATTAAATTACTATTAAAAGTTTAAACATTACATTAGTGGTAAAATCAACATTCAAGTAATACTGAATATGTAAGAGTAGTACATAATATATGCTATTTTATTAACTTTTAACTATAAATAACTATTTAATGACTATTTAATAAACTTAACTTTACATATAAATACTATCAATCATTTAATTTATTGTGTTTTTAATATTTTACATTATATATGTGTTATTATTAAATAATTATTGATTGATACAATTTGATCCACGACAATCTATTTGGTAATTATTAATAATACATTTATTAGTTGCTGACAATTATATATTTAAATTATTTTATTAAATAAATAAAATAAATTTAAATGTGAACTCAGAATAACTTGGGTTTACTTTATAACGACCAGTTGTGTCATACAGAAGCCACAGATAGTATAGTTTTGCCAACACTTGGGAAGTCATATGCAATATAAGTACTGTTTAGATACTGTATTAATGTTATATAATTTGTGCCCATTTAGACCAAAGTTTGTTGCCAATATATTGCTATTATTAATGTACATTATTTTTATATAAAAATTGAAATTTGCAATGTATAGTGACATTCAATTATTATTATTATTATTACTATTGAAAGTGTTATAAATGTTAACTATTGTAATATATTTTATAAACTATAATTGAATATATAATAGATTAACACTTTTTTTTGACAAACATTAATGTTATAATTGAAGTGTTATTGAATAGAGTGAACACATATATACAGTGTGTGACCAAAATTGCCGCTAAATTTTTGCTGTCATTTAATGCTATCGTTTTATTTTTCAGTGCATTGAGTGCTGACGTGGACTACAGTACCAAAACATAACAATCAATTTAATAGTTTATTATTGAAATAAATAATTAATTAATTATATGTTTAATTTCGTTTGTAATTTAATTATTTGATTGTTTTTTATCCACACATTCAGTATTTAATATTCAATGAATTAATTATTTATATTTATATTGTTGTTAATTAATAGTTTAATTATACAAAATCTGTTTTATTATTATTATTTTTTTGCTCAATTTGTTTACAAAATTATTATATTTTTCAATTTATTTTGTTGTTTTAATTAAATCTAAATTAATTTATAATATTAAATATTTATAAATTATTAAAAACTATATCATATATATATACAAACCATATGATTAATTAAAACGATGAGATATTTACGGAAATTATCCCAAAAATGTGATTATAATTGTTGTGTCAAATGTTTACTACTATTTCTGGCATTGATTGCAAATACGGTGACCACAAGTGATGGACAAATTGTGTCCAAAATCAAACTGTGTGCCGACCAGGACTGCAAAGGTATTACCGTATGAGTGATGGTCTTATAATTTGTTATTTTTTTGATGAAAACATCTATTTTTTTGTTTACCATTTCAGAGCCCATATCAATGGGAAGGACAACCTTGAAGTATCCAAAAGGCTCTAAGAATATGCTATCATTTGGTCCCAACCAATTGGTCACAATTTACGGCATAACTGTAGACAAAAAACATTTGGATGTCGAAGTATACGACAACTAAATTATTATTATTATTGTAATAATATGTTTATCTTTTATCTATAGATTGATAGCAAACGAGGATTTGTTCCGAGTTTTATGATTAAAGTGGAGAAAGACTTGATTAAAGACCCGAAGATTGAGGTCATTGTTAATTTGAATCTAAACGACAGTAAAGATAATGTTATCGATAATACAAGTGTTGACCAAAAGTTGTCTGATGTGAATAGTAATAGTGATAGTAGTAATGATAATCAAAGTGATAGTGTATTGGCCGCCGTCCCGAAAGACCCGACAAAACTTGAGTCGTCGATCAGCAATACTCTATACGAATCACATACAACACCTCCTAATGAGGAATCGACAGTAATCGATGGCACCACCTTTAAAATGGATGGCATGCAAGGCGTTAATATTGAGCCGACCACTTCTGTCGAGTCAGATATGGCAACGGCCACCAAAACTATTACCATTAAAACGGATACTAATGTACCTGAAGTTCATCCAACTGGAACACCAATGTCTATAATTATTGACAATCAGTCTGTGGACAACTCGTCAACAGTTGTGACTACTGGACTAAATGATGATATAAAGCCACCAGTGGTAGCCACTCCTTCAGAACCATTGAAGGAAACAAATGATAAAAATGATAACATTATTGTCGATAATCAACAGACAAACGATATTAATGATACAAATGATAGTAAAAAAGATGAACCAAATGAAACATCGGAACCTTCAACTGATAATAATGAAAATAGTTTCGTTCAAACAGATAGTGTTGAGTCCATGACTAACACTACAACAACTAATGATGCTATAAATACAACAATAGATAATATTAATGATAACAATCAAACAATTGATAGCCCAGTCAATAGCACTAGTGATATAAATGGAGATACGATCTCATCTGAACCAGAAATTAAATCAGAAATAGTGAATGCAATCAATACAAGTAGTGGTAATGTTGTTACCATTGATGAACAGTCTGATGATGAGACAAGTAATATTAACAATTTAAATTATACTCAAATTGAAGATCAAAATAACATACCAGTTTCTTCAAATGGTGATAATAATAATAAAACTAACGAAAAAACTGATGATAATGAACAAGTGCTTAACAATACCATCGATGATGATAATGAACAAGTGCTTAACAATACCATCGATGATGATAATGAACAAGTGCTTAACAATACCATCGATAATGTTAATAATCAAACAGTTAGTGACAAAGTTACTGTTGTCGACAGTCAATCAGTGGATATCCCATTAGCTGATAACACGAGTCAACTAAATTTAGATCCATTGGATACCTCATCTTATGATTATAATAATATTTCTAGTGATGTAAATATAAATGCATTGGACACATCAACTTTTAACATCACTAATAATGAAAATACAAATTCCGTAAATACTTCATTTGTTAATAATGCTAGTGATGTAAATGTAAATCCATTGGAGACTTTAACTATTAATAACACTAATAATGTAACTAAAGATTCCGCGAATACATCATCTTTTAATATTGCTAGTGATGTAAATGAAAATTCAGTGGATAAGCCATCGATTGTTTCTGAAACTGTTGCACCAGCTGTTGATGAAAATGAAGTTTTAAAGTCATCAATTTTATCACAATCTCCTTCACAACCATTGATTGAAGTCAGTGATGATAGTTCTGTGAATAGTAGTGAACAAACTGTTAATACTGATGAAATCAAAGACAAAAATAATAATAAAGAAAGTAATAACAAAAATAATATAATAGATTCATCAAAAAGTGATAATACAGATACTTTAAGGGATAATATCAATGTTAACGTTGATGAAAGTACTGGTAAAGTTGATGACGTGTATAACCCCATTGTAAACGACATTAACGTTGACGATAACATTAAAGTAATTGACGAAAACAACAATAGTATTAATAACACAATTGTTGGCAACACTGAAGACACTATTGTTTTAAAAGCTGACGATATTATTAAACCAACCGATGCTTTGCCAATGTCTACAAACATGATGTCTGAAATTATTAGTGGACTCATTCCCGACGAAATTGAACTATTTCTCTATGATTTAGGCATTTCGGTTAACGCAGCGATCATTACATTTATTATTGCATTTAATTGGTGTTTAATGAGAATATTTATCTCTGTTTTCACTTCTTCGCGAAAAGAGTCCGAATTAAGAGGTAAATAAAATTATTAGTTATAATAAATTGTTTAAATAATATGTTTAAAACTATTATTTTTAAAAAAATTTATTAACTGTAGAGATATGTACAAAATCTCAGCGAAAAGTCTACTATTTTGAAGCCGAAAAAGAGAAATTGCAGACAGAAATTGACAGAGAGCGTGAAAATGTATGTATTGATCAACTATTTTAATTGATGATTAATTATTTAACTTACGGTAATAATTAATTTTGTGTCCAATTTTAGGCCCGTATTGTTGAGGAAAAACTACAAATTGCTGAATACAAAGTGATACCATTGGAGAATGAATACGAAAAATATAAGGTTAGTTTTAAATCACTTTTTTTAATCAACAAAACCATTATTTTCAATAAATAATTTGCTTAATTAGTTAATTAATTAATTTTTTTATTAATATTTTAAGAGTGAATGCCAACTATTGCAGCAAAAGATAAAAGAGTTGGAAACAGAAGTAGAGAAGAATGCAGAATCGGAAGTGGAGGCCAACCGATTGCTTAACGAGTTAGTCAGCTCACAGAAAGACAACACTAGTCTGAGCTCAACTGTGGAAGATCTTGAACAGCAAATTGCTAAACAAACAGAATTGGTGACTAAATATGAGGACAATGCCAAACAACAACAAAAAGATGTATTGTTTTCTAATTATTCAATTGATTTGTATTTTTATTTATATTATTTATATATAGAATATTGAGTTTAAAGAAAAAATCGAGAAAATGACCGAAGAATTAGAAAGCCTTAAGAATGTACACAAAGAGACAGAAAAAGACTTAGAAGTGGCTCTCAGTGATAATGAAGAGCTTAAGATATCGAAACATGAACTCGACTCGAGTTATAATGAATTACAACAACAATATTCTAGTCTTAAAAACAAAGTCGACGCTTATATTGAACAAAATGATTCACTTTTGGATGACTTAATGAAGTTAACTAAAGAATTGGAAACACTTCAAGAAGAGAGATCCAACAAAGAGCTCGAAATCGAATCGTTGAAAGAGATTTTGGCAAATCTTAATAAACAAAGACATAGTTTTAATGAGAGTCACGGAGAAAATGGAATCGACGACCATTTAGACGGCGAAGTTAACTATAATTCATTGACAGATATCTATGATATCGTTGAAATGGATCTTAAAGTAAAAAATTTAACAAACGATAGAAATGATCTTAAGAATAGGTTCGACGAAGTGTCACAAAAGTATGAACAGTTGGCCGAGAAATTGGTGTCAATTGAAGAGCAAAATGAAACACTTTTGACTGAAAAAGAAATTGCATTTCAAGACAGACTTAAAGCCCAGACTGAACTGGAAGTACTTACGAAATACTATAAGGAAAAGGAGTTAGAAATGGGTAAAGAAATCGGTGTTCAACACATCAAAAGACAACAAAAAGAAGAAGATGTTAATACAATGAGTTCTCAATTGACTGTTTTTGAAGATGAAAATGTTTCGCTGAGGAATCAGTTACAGTCAATGAAAAAAGAGATCGAAGATACTGAACGTAAATATAGGACACAAATTACTCAATTAGAAAAACAAGTCCACGAAAACTGGATCCTCGCCCGCACTGCTCAGCGATCACTTGATGAGTCTAAGGCTGAGGCAGCTGTTCTCAGGCAAACTCTGACGATGTCTGTTAAGTCACCGGTGGATGGTTTTGGTAATGATTCTTCATTTTTGGATGATTCGGCCAGTTCTGTGTCTTCATTACACGAGTTTGGTTCAGTGATGCCGCCGCCACCTCCACCACCGCCTCCCCATCTATTTAATCCAATGTTACCACCGGTGCCTCTAACTTATGGAGAAGATTCTTTAGATTCAATGAATTATTGGAGTCACAATCAAATGATACCACCTGTTCCACCCCCAGTGTCTCAATACCAAACAGTACCCAACAATTATAATACTACACAAAACGGCATACCTATGACCAGTAATGCAAACATATCGTATCCGTCATATAATTCTACGTCTCAGTCAATGACTTACGTGCCTTCCGTACAGCAGTCGTGGGATCCAAATACCACTCGTGACAGCAACTATTCGCCCTCATCTCGTCGGTCAAACGCATCGCCTCATTCACAGTACAGTTCCCTATCATATTCACAGGCAAACAATCACTACTCGAGTCCAATGTCTGCTAACCAAACTTTGAACCAAATGTCAAGTCCGATACATAACTCAATGAATGAATCATATTATCAATCAAATCTAGCAATGGATCCAAATATGACTGATCCGAATCTTAATACTAATCAACAACAAAATTCAACGGGAAATTACTATCAGACAAATACAGCAAATATCAACAATCCAACAACAATGGACACCAATGTTAACTTAGTTCAACAACAATCAGTGCAATCAACAAATGTATTGTCAAATCCCGTACCATCACATTGGGTACAACAACAACAACAACAACAATCAAACGGCAATATAACGAACTTACACTATAATGAGTACAATAATATTAGTAATAATAATAATAATAATAATAATAATAATTACAATAATAATGAATCTGAAGCCTCAAAGAGAATGACAGCCAATACATCTCTTCACACGTCTATTGTTTGATTTTAATTAAATAAAAATCATTTATTTTGTTGATATAATATCTTAATTAATTAATTAATATTGAATATATCTGTGTATATTTATTTTTAAAAAAATTTTATCTGTAAACTATTTAATAACAAACAAATTATTATCTATAGGCATTTATAAAAAATTAATAAATTTTGATTAAATAAATTCAATTTTTAAAATTAATTTGACACAATATTTTTATTTTTAAAATGATTATAAAAACAATATTTATGTGAATATACTATTTATATATAAAATTTATATATAAATTTAAAAGAAAAAATTTGAAACAATTGATGATATTTGAAGCAATGATATTATTAAATCAATGAACTATAATATATATTATATAATGACATTGTTTTTTCATAATATTTTTATTAAAGTGTTTTACGTGTGGTTTAGCCGATAATAGTGACGATAAACTTGACATTCAGTGCTCTATTTGTTAGGCATTGTGTGTTTGACATCAAACTTATCGATTAAAGTCATCCATGCATTCAATAAAATCATTGACGAATCCATTTAAGAGATTATTTTTAATATTTATTTATTACTATAGTTTCATATTATGTAATTATGTATGACTACTACGCTATCAAGTATATATATATATATTGTAATATTTTAAATATATATTGTATATAACATATTATAAATAATATGTTAACATAATAGTTATTTTTTGTGACAATCATTACCGTTAATCTATCATTTTATCGATCATAGAATCAATGGGTTAAATAACTTTCAAAAACTATTTGTGAATAATAAAAATTATTTATATATTAATATATACATGTATTTGTCGTTTTTTTGGGTAATTAAGTAAATCGTTTAAATAATTGAAGTTTTGTTATCTGAAAAAAATCATTATCTTTAACTATTATTATATATATATTTTGTTGTCAATTGTCATATAATTCTAGTAGTTTTTTTAGATATTGATTATTAGGACACAACATGTTTTGAGATTATGTTATAGATTTGTTAATAATATTGTAAAACGATAAAATTGATGTGACTTTGAAAATGTATTTTTTTGACAATTTTTTTTAATTTATTGTTTTTATTGTGTTTATTGCTTATATTTTATTGTTAGCTTCAAATTAATTTTGAGTAATAATAATAATGTAATACTGTATATCATATAGTCTTTTATAAAATAGTTTAGAAATTTTTATATTTTACACAAACTTCATGTGATATGGATTTGATTGACACCAAAGTAATAATTTTTATATTAAGTGTTTTATCATTTAATAATTTTATAAACAGTTATATGATAAATCCGTTAACCAAATTGTTAACTAATAATGTAATTACAAAAAATCCAATCATACCATTAACACAGTTACTATTGACGGCAAAACTTATGAAAGACTACTCAAAATCGGACAGTTATGGTGAACCAGAAAACAAATATATGGTATTTCTCGGAAAAGGTGATATCAATTTGCAAAATCATCATTTTAATTTGTAAGTTATTTTTTTTTTTTGAAACAAATAAATAATTTTATGTTATTTTATAAAAATAAGTTGTGAAATATTTGACAAAAAAATAGTTTGTAAATTACGAGCCATGAAAAAAAATATTTGATTATTGTTTACAGTAAATAAAATTGTTATTTATTATAATATATTTTTCAATGAAATTTTGTAAGCAATTTTTTAATGTTGAAAATAGCATTTATATTTTTCAGTAAAATTAATTAAAATTAAGTTATTTTTAGCCTAAAATATTAAACAAATTATTATTCATAAGTAAATTTTAAAAATAATAATTCTTTTAAAAAAATTAATTAGTGTATAAACTCACTATTAATTTTTTTGGCATATATATCAATGATATTTATAACAATTTATGGCTAATAATAGTTTTAAGTAAAGTTTAATTAACTATAATTTGATATTTCAAAAACATTGTTATTGTGATTCATCGTATTTCCAATAATACAGTATTCAAATTGTTATGACTTTTTTTATATGTATTTTTGTTTTTTTTAAATCAGTTTTATGCTTAATAAACACATTTATATAGAAAAATAGCAAAAAAAAGTTATTTAAAAAATATTTTCTAATAAAAACATTTTATTTAAGGGAGAATATGACGGAACCGATAGAAGATGAAGAAGTGACCACAACTGAAGTGTCGACAGATTTGGCAAAAAATAAACAATTATTAAAATTTGTGGCCAGAAATGGTTATGACGTTTGGAAACGATTACAAATATCGCCACCAAATGATGATTATATTTATGTCAATACTAATAAACATAACATAATAAAAACGATTGAATCTCAGATCAATGTCACCAAAACAGATGCCAATAGTGTCAACAAATTTCCATCAAAAATAAAGTCCAAAAAACATAAGAATGCCATTAAATATGACAAAAATTTGGTTAAGAATCTGAAAATGTTATATAAACCGGATCAGCAAATGATTAAAACAAATGATGGTTATATCAGACATGAAGTGAAAGTACCGAAATATGTTAAAGATATCATCACAAGTGAGACCAAATCGTCGACTAAATCGTTACATAAGTCATCAAAAATACCCCAAAAAGTTTTTAATAGTAATAGTAGTTACAGTACTGATAGAAAACAAATACAAAACAAAACTAATAATAATAATAAAAACATTAAGAAATCGTATGTTAAGATAATATCAAACAATAAAGACAACAATAAAATAAATGTTAGACGATATAAAAATAATAGTAAAACAAATTTAAGTTCAAAAAACAACAACAAAAAGAAAAAGACTTCAAAGAATGTGAATATAACTATAAATAATAGAGTTATCAAAAAAAAGATTTAATAATAAAAACTTAAATATCAAATGACAAAACAATTTCAACAATAAAAACAAAAAATTGTTTTCAAATCTCTTTTTAATAATAGTTTATATCACAGAATCGCTTCTTTACTTATCTCTCTCTTCTTAGAATTTGACGATTCATTAAATTATAAGATTTTAGTCAAATTCTTAAGTGATGACTATATATATGTATACCAATTATAGTAAATGTACTTCAAATGAAATTCATAGATTGTACTTAAATGTACTCATATTTGCAGTTAAAAAATCAAAATAATAGATAACAGCAAAAATAAATAAAATAAAATATTTTGTTTTAATTTTTTAAAAGTATAATTTATTTTAATAATAATAATAATTACAATATGTAACAATACAATATATATATATTTAATATACAATTACAATAGGTCTCTTAATTATTTTTTTCAATTAAAATTATCATTAAATATTTATAATAAACTCAACAAATCACAATGAATTAATTAATTGATGAGAATTTTGGCACAAAATGTATACAAATGTTTATCCAAAAAAATATCTCATTCAATGATCTTTTAATACTAACAGAATATTCTTAACATATAATAATTTCGATATAAACCAAACTTATATACATATATGTATATAAAACATAATGTTTTATGAATTACTGGCATATAGTACACATTTGACACTCAACAACATAGGATCTAAATATCTTATTTTATATAACAAAAAATTTTGAGTCTATTTTTAAAAATACAGTTGTAATCCTAAATGCGGGGGAAAACGGTAGGTGTGGTTTGCCATTCGGCCGAAACAGACAAACATGTATATTAAAGGAAAGTCATGAATGCGATGACATGTAATATAAAGGAAAATCCCCGCAACTGTACCCAACAATTAATAACAATAATTTATAAATACATATGTATTATATGGTTATGTATATAAAATGTCATTTGTATATAACATTATCCGAGTCTGAGTTGGCCCGCATTTGTGCCAAAAATATTATACCCATCTATTCATAGATTGATTCATTGAGTTTATTATACACCAAATGTGTGGTTTAATAATATGTAAACATAAATGTACTGGTTTTGTGGCCAGAAATAATTGTTTTTCAAAAATAAATATAACTATTTGTGTTAATATCATCTTATAGATAGATATACAGTAGATATAGAGGTATTTCATTAAACTCATTATAATTTGTAATCAGATATTTTTGAAAAAGATAAAAATATTTTCACAAAATATTATTGAAAATTATTATTTAAATTCAGTCGTATTGTAATTTGTATGAACTCTTTATATATTGAGTATATTAATAGCTATTGTTTTGGAAAACTATAATATATTATTTAAAGTCTAAGTATGTCTACTAAATCAAGTTATGCTAAAATTGAAGGTAATATTAATAAACAATAATAGAAACTAAAATACAAGTGATTTGAAACCCGATCCCAAATTCAAAATAGACTAAATTACAGTTAAATGTAATTTTTCATTTACATTAATAATAAGTTTAATAATAATATTTATGAATTAACTAAAATTAACAAATAATTTATAATAAACAAATAGTTTTTTTCTTAATAAATATTACAAGAATAATAACTATAATAATATAATATAACAAAATATACAGTATATTACTATTTATTTGGTCAAAAAAAAATTAATTAAATATAAATAATTTTTTAAATAGCAAATTTTAAAAATATAAAATATTTAATCAAAATTGTGCGTTATTTGTATGTTATTTGGATAATAAATGAATTTAATTGTGAAATCATGTATAATAAGAAAAATAAAAGATAAGTACTAATAATACACAGCACTTGAACTAAATGTTTCATTTAATTTAACATTTCTGTAAAATATAGATAATTAGACAGCAAAATGTTAAATTGGCAAATATGCTATTTACATAACTAACTTTTCAACAAAACTTACTAAAAAAATTATCATTAATTATAATAGAAAAAATTATTGCGAAATAAAGGATGTGTTTGATTAGTTAGAAATTAAAGAAAATTAAATTTTAAATAAATTTCATCATTTTTCGCAGTTTAACAAAAAAATATTGTTAATTAATAATAGAAATACTTGAACAACATTTAACTACAAAACTTTGCAATAAATATATTTTTTAAATTTATCAGAAATGAGTACATAAGTAGTATAAATAAAAAAGCAATTAATAATAATCAATATATGTCTATTTTTGGGATTTAAAATCGAGTTTTAAATTTTAAATGTGCATTTTTTTTAATTATAAGTTAATTAATTAAATAATTAATCTATTGATATATTATAGTATGAATAGTGTATACAATTATTTTGTATACGGTATTTGTTTTTGAGAGCTTTATATGTAATTTGTTTTTTCTATTTAAAACAATAAACAATTAAATTAATTATCACAGTATTATTAATTTGAATACAATGTAATCTAATTAAGGCATAGATTTATATATATTTATATATCATGTTTATATATATATATATAACATGTTAGCTAATGTCCTAATAATTATACATTATATTCGATCAATTATTATACTTTGGATTTTATATATAAAACAACTATATTTTATAATTTTATTGATAATTTAAATTAATTTAACTGTATTACACATTTCAGTTATTTGTTCCATAGTGTATATATAGAATATTTTTGTATCGGAATATATATATATATATTATTTATATGTAATTTAAGCTCAATTATTTAAAAATATATATAACATATTATATTATCCAATATATTCTCTCTTTATGTATACAAGTGATTAAATTTGTATTTCATTGAATAAATAGATTTCTTCATATATTCTGTAATAAATATATATGTTCTCTCTATTTATTACTAACTATATATACTAACTATAGGTAATTTTTTTGAACATTGTTTAAACATTTGATTGTATATAATAATTGTCTCAATAACTTCAAATTTAATATATACATGTATTTACTATGTGAATAGTTTAATGTTTTCATTATTAAAATATTGTTTTTACAATAATTATTAATATATGTTTTATATAAAACATATTTGAAAACAAGTCATTAATTGAAACAACCATTAAATTTATGATAGGATTTGATAGTCAAAAATCAATAGATAATATACATAAGTATAAAAATTTATGTAATATATATTTTTTTATTATTTTATATATAAAAATTATATTCAATATTAATATTTTATATTAAAAAAAAAATCAATTTATAAAATTTTAGCTATAAGTACCTATTAAATTTATACATTATATAAAATTAAATAAATTAAATAATTATAATTAATTAAAAAATTGTTAATCTTAAAATAACGAAAATATATGTCAAAAATTAATATATAAATTTTTATATATATATACAGTTAATATAAATATGAAAAATTGTTATCAAAAAATATTCCAATTGTATAAACATTGTAATAAATTAATTACATATAGTGTATAGCGTTTGGTTTATATGAATATTTTGTTATATCTATTATTTTTTTTAAAAAATCGTTTATTGATTTTGACGCAAATCCTACCATAAAATTTATTTTAGTTTCCAAATCAATGATTCATTTATTTATATATGTTTTATATAAAACAACAGAAATAATTCGTATAATTACTATTGTTGTCATTAATGTTAATTTACCGGTAGTTTTATTTATGATCTATATTTGTTTTTAAACTAAATATATAGTTGTTTATATTGTTTGTTAAAATCACGTTTTATTTTCAAATAGTAAAATATATAGTGACTAAAATCATTTTAGGTCTTCGCCTATAATTGAATTCTTTAAAGAATTTCATCAAAAAATTAGAGCACAAGAATAAAAAATCCATAAATTCTTCTATAGTTTTAACATAAGCTTTGGTTTATTATTTATACTCTCTCTCTCTCTCTCTCTCTCTCTCTCTCTCTCTCTCTMTCTATCTATCTATATATATATAAATATATATATGTGTGTGTTTATATTTGATTGTTTTCATCTCATTTTTTTGGTATTATTATTATTTTTTGTCAAATACTGTTTTTTAAAAAAAATCAATCAAATAAATCGTTTAGTTTTGTACTCAATTTGCGGTATATGTTTAACAAAGCCTAACAACAATTTTGTTGGCTTACGTCATAGCAATGTCATTGCCGTCATCGCTGTCTTCGGTGGCCTCTTCGCAACTGCGGAGATCGGGTTCTCGTATTTGGTTTAATAAGCGAATCAAATTGTCGAGACCAACAATAAATCCATCAGTAGATGACTGACTTGAGAAGGAGGTGTGGGCGAAATCAATCATTCGTATGTCAACTCTTTGGTTAGAAAACTGACGGCTCGAGTGATCACTTTGGCAAACATATTGTTGGCGCCGATTTCGTGCATCTTTTGTATACTTTCCACAACGCAATTCAATACTACTGTCCAAACTGTCCATCGATGAGTCGTCGTCTTCACCACTGCTAAAATGAGACCTCTTTCTAGTGAGTGAAGCACTCCGTCGGCCAACACAACCTTCGCTAACAATGAGCAGTGATGTGGAAAAAAAGCGAAGAGTCGACCGCAAGTCGTCGATAATGGATCGCAACTCTTTCAGACGTTTTATTACATTTGAGATCAAATGAGTGCGTCCTTTGAAGTAGACCTTCATATGACAACATATCAGACAATAAAAAAAAATTCATAAAACAAAATCAATAATAAATGCATTATCCATGTATTATATTACTGACCTCCAGTTCCCTTTTAATGCCTATTTCGCTATTGATTTTACGTCCATAATATTTATCGCATTGATATAATGAGTAAGAATCGAGATTGTGTTGATATACTTGCATTCCACACAACCGAAAACCTTTTGTATTCAATTTTTTTTAAATCAAAATTTTAAAACATACTATTTATTAATCATTATCATAACAGACACCTACCGAGACTGGCCGAAGTACTGGCCGCACATTTGGCCATTTGTCGGTGACGCTTCTCATCGCTGGCATCGTCACCGTGTTGTCGGGTACCCATCTTTAGGTCCAAAATACACGGCAAATGATAATGAGTTGTAATGTTTTCCAAAAGCATAAAATCTATTATTAAAAATAGTTTGGTTATTAATAGTTAGGTAGTGTGTCTCGCAAATCATAATTTATCATTTACTATGCGTACAGAATTTGTAATGTAAATAAAAAAGTTGACAAATTTTTTTCAAACTCTGTATATAGTGTTTCGAAATATTCTGTGTATATAAAAAAATAATAATAATTGTATGTTTTTAAACATTAGTAAAAATTTAATCTCTTTTTTTACTTCGCCTAATTAATTTCTACTGTTTTTTAAAATAAATAATAAACAGTAAATAAAACTATTATGAAATTTAAATTATTAAAAATAGAAGCCATTTAAAAGGTATGAAATATATTGTAGTCTATAAATAAGCGAATATAGTAATAAACAACTATATTTATATTAACCTTAAAATTATACGGTATTAACTAATTTAATATTCATTAAATAAAAAATTAGTTGCTAACGAAAGATTATATTAAATAAAATAATGTATACAATATTAAGGTAAATATATTTTAAACTATAAAAACTACTACTACTACTACTACTACAACTAATAATACTAATGATAACTATATTAATAGTAACAATAATATAGCAAATAAACTATTAATAAATTTATCAATTTGACATTAATTCAATATAAACATACACTAAACCCACTAAACTAATGGAAAATGTCATTAATTCTTGAATTCTTTCACAAGAATTTTTGTTAAATAAATATTATGTTTAACTTTTTTTGTTGGTTATTGAAAAATGCTATTATTTACAAAAACGATAATATTTCTAAAATTGAATATACAGTTTCATATACATATACATATACATATACATATACATATACATATACATATACATATACATATACATATACATATACATATACATATACATATACATATACATATACATATACATATACATATACATATACATATACATATACATATACATATACATATACATATACATATACATATACATATACATATACACACACTATACATAGTATTTTAGTGAGTCTAATGTAATGGTAGTAAAGGTGCTCTTGTAATAAAATACAGTTGCATTTGCTTTTTTTAAATGATATTTAATTATAAAATATTTTTATTTCAGACATATTAGACAGACAGCTATTTAAAATAAATTATAAGTTATGTAATACTGTGTGTTATATAATAATAATTATTAAAAAAAAGTAAACGTATAGAAAGTTTGTAATGACTTACATCTTTGACTCGGACGAGAGCTATAGCTCTGATGGTTTTCTGGTCGGCCTTGAGTTTGGTTCAAATCCTTCTGCAATAGTCGTCTATCATTACAACTACAGATCTGAACCCTAATTATTATTTAAGAAGAACAACAAAATTGTGGTTAAAGTGGTTATCAATTGAAACATTGCTGAAGATATTCAAACATACTTTAACTCTGAATGTGTGTTTGCCTCCGACTCGTCGGCCATATCGTCAGTGGTCATCGTCTCAACCAATTGTGAGCCACGTATTGGATGGTATAGTATTGGACAGCCATCGGGCTGATGGACTTCAACCACACCTGAAAAATCAATTAAAAATTTAATTAAATAATCCATTTATTTCATATTATTACTATTAAATTCACGTAAAATCAAACAAACCTTTATATTTGGGAACAAATCCTTTGAGTTCTTGAGGAATGTTTAAATAAAATGATAACTCTTTGGGAACTAATGGCTTGCAGAGTGTACTCTTGTCAAGAAGCATAAGTTGTGTGTGTCCGCCCACCTGTTCATCAACATTGTGGTCACATAAATACATCCAAAAATGGTTTATGTCTTACCTGATGATCAAATGGATGAAGAACTGTATTCTTGCAGTGATTGGCGAGCGATTCGTTTGTCTTATGATTGGCCATCGATGGCACTGAATGGTGTGCCTCTGAGTCGAGTACTACTTCGTTCATCGTTAGTCCCGTTGGTGGTGACGATGATAATAGTGACGCCAATTGGTGATCGACACATACAAATTGGATCAGTTTGTTAGCCACCAAACAAATCAAACAATTATTACAATTGATTTGTTAATCAAATCAATTGTTTGGTTATGTTTTGTCTGAATATTTCAAACAAACTATTCGTATATAATATATATTATTATTATTCACTGCTTTACAGCTGATTGTGAATTGTGTTGAGCTATAGCTATGACTCTGTGTTTAAGCGTTTATATTATAGTCATATAGTCTGTCAACTAATGGCTGACAAAAACACACAAAGTTTGAGAGAGAGAGTCAATCGATATTATTATTATATATAAGTCTAAACATTATATAACGTATCGTTCATTACAATGGGTTGGCTATAGAGGGGGTATAATACAAGTGCTCATAAAAATACAGTTATCGTCGTATGACAACCGCTTATGTAAGAGTTTAAGGGGAAGTGAGACGATAGTAGTGACGGCACTGGTATGTAATGCTTATGCGTTTATGTTATTATAAGAAGGCATATGACACGACTGCCCCAATGATTATGTCATATGACTGCTGAAAATCATACCATTTGTGTGTTGCAAATGCAATGCAATACTTAATTATATTATTTATTCAATTGAAAATGTTTTCATTAAAACTTCAATTAATGATACACTCTCTGCATAAACACTTGACAATCACTTACCATAATAGTAGTAGTGGTCATAATATTTGTAAGAATCGCTTAAGTGGTTGACAACTACTTTATACCTAAAAATTTTAGACTCACGTTATGACTTCCTCAGTGGTTTGTCCTAATAAATAACACAGAGATCTCATTATAAACAAACATAGACAGCACACACACACACACACAMACACACACACGAGTCAATTGTCTAATCATTTAATTATCGTATCATAATATTTGATTAGTTTTTTCAATTATTATATTAATAATTGTGAGGAACAGTTGTTTTATTAGGTAGTAGTACTTTGGTATAAATAGAAAAATTTCCATCCAGGCTAATTTTATTATTATTATCATCGAATTTTTCCTAAATACTATATATGATATATATTTAATATATACAATTACAGAAAATTTTAATCATGAAATGTATTTAATAAACTTGTCCAGGTAGTATAATTTTAAATATATATATATATATAAACAAGCTAGTATTTATAAATAAAATAAATTAAAACTATTTATTGTAATAAAATCATTTTTACATAACAATATCAGTCATCAACCTATAAACATGTTTTTATTGCAAAATGTAGTAAATTTTTCTACAATTAGTTAATTTAAATTTAATTTTGTTTTCATTAAAGTCATTGACAAAGAGGTCTATGTTTTTAATATTTAGATCTACGACTGGTTTAATAAACTGTTTGCCAAAAACTGATAAAACTGTTGAATCTTTTTTTAAAGGATTATATTAATGTTTTAGTTATTATTCAAATTCTATGATTCTGTGATATTCTGTATATACATTATATCTCTATATATCGATACAATACAAGGTTATTGTATGCTTTAAAGTTTTTTTTTTAAAATAACGATTAATGTAATAACATTTACATTGGAAAATCATTATCATATATATAATTAGATATATATTTTAATAGCATGTGTTTACGTAATTAAATTTTTATAAAGTAATGAAATATTTATTATTTTGATTAGAAATATTGCCATTAATGTTAGAAATTATGTTTTATAAATTAGTAATTTAAAAAATATGTTAATAGTTATTTTGAAAATATTATTAATACATATTGCAAAAATAATAGTAACTACTGTACTATAAAATATAATTGATAATAAAAAATTAAATTAAATATCTGTAATAATACTGTATTAATAACTAACTAAATAAAATTAAGTTAATTTCTGTTGTTATTTCATGTAAATAAAAAAATATTGTGAAATTTAAATGGAAATTTTTCCATTTCAATAATTATTTTACACATTAATAATCTGAGAAATGTTGAACACATTTAATTGAAAATATTTAAAATGAAAATAAAAATTACTTTATTTACTATATTTCTAATATATATATACATTATACGAATCGATTTCAGAATTTAGATAATGTAAAAAAATGTTTTGAAATAATCTAATATAAATATACAGATATCACTGAATATATTAAATAATTGATTAAATTTTTAGTTATATACTTAAACACTATTTTTAAGAATTTATAATTTTATTGATAGCAGTAATATATGAATCGTTTAAAATATTTAAAAAAAATAAAATATATTTAAAAATGATGAGCTTTTGAGATAAATTTAATGTATAAATATAAATATATTTATGTATTGACCTAAATTGTATTCAATATAAACTACTGTCCTTAACCCAGCTATAAATATATTCAATTAAAAATATATATACAAATAATTAAAAGTCAATATAATTGGAATATATTACTGTTAATTATTCAAATATCTACTATAAAGTCCTTAAATGTTTTATTAAATTGTTTAACAAATTTTAAATGCATTTTGTTATTAAAATAGCAAAATGAATGATATACTACTGTATATACAAAAAGTTTCAATCAATGAATGACAAAACAAACAATTTTTTGTGATTTAATAAATAGAGTTTCGATTTGTTAATCATATCGTCACAAGAGTTTGATTCAAAAAGTGAATGTATTTTAATGAAAAGTATTTAAAATAAAGATTATTATTATTTTTAGTGAATATGATATTATTGACATACAATGTGTTTTCAACAATATTATAAATATTGATTGAATTGATTAAAATATTATACTGTATTGATAAATGCAATGTACATACAGTAATTTATATTATGTTATGTATTATTAGTAATAATTTATTACTATACTATATTTTTTATTTTATTGTAATTAATAGATAACTTTTTATATTAAAGTATCCGTAAACAAAAATTAGCGATTAAAATAATTTTTATAAAATTATATTACGAAACTTAGAAGTTATTTATCTAAATTATTTACTAAATACTATTTATAGTGTATATTAAATGATAATTATTGTATACTGTATATAATTTCCAATAGAAATGTGTTTTATGTGTACTGTAATAACATTAAATTATTGTTGAATAAATTGGTTAAACAGTAAGTTAGCAAATGATGTGTTCAGTAAACAAACAATTTATAATTATAATTATTATTAAAGTAGAAAACCTATTATATAATTCTCAAATATTTCATATATTTATATCATTTTTCCTTTAGTGTATAGTACACTGTATAGAGTAATATGAAAATAATGATAAAAACTTACCGTAATATAAAACTATTATTACAATAAATTGTTTATGGGTTTACTATAAATAAAAAAATTAATTTAATTACCGTTAGAATAGTAATATTAATAATACTTTTATACCTGTAATTTATTATCATATAGTATATACAGTATATTGTATATAATAATACATAACATTATATGTAATGTATTTATGACAAACTTAATGAAAAAAATATGAATTCAATTTATGGGTAATAAATATTAGAGCAAACAATGCAATAAAAATTACAAATCGTTTATTTTTTTAATTATTTTAATATAATGTATAAATGATTTTTTGGAGTCAAGAATGGCTACATTATAAATTAATTAGTACAGTATATTTGACTGCAATTTTTTTATTAAATATTAATATAAACTTTATATTACGGTAATCAATGCAATATTAAATAAATTGTTTACAACAAATTAGTGTGAGATTGTAAACAAAATTATTCAAATATATTCATTTAAATTATTATTAAAACAATACCAACCGTTACTAAATAATAAAGTTAAGAATCTATAAACAACAGAAAACTATCGAAACAATCAATGAAATATTTCTCTCGTTTTTTTAATGTAAACATAAAATATAAAAAACCAATTCATTAGTAAACTTATATAATTGACTGCTTTAAGTCAGAAACCACTTATAAATTCATGACTGAATAACTCTATTAATAACTTTGAAATTAGAAAACCGATTTAAACTAAAGGTATTTCAATTTTAAAATTAATTCATTTATATACCTAAACATAATCAAAACAATTATCCATCAAAAAAAAAATCTTCGATTAAATACAAATTATACAAAACACAAAATTCCGTTTAATTATTATTATTACCGGTAATTACCGTAATTGAAAAACATTGTCTTATATTATTAATGGAAGCATAACAACATTCACATTACATGGCCTTAACCTTCAATTGTTTCATTTTCGGTGTTTTTCGTTTCAATTCTCGTTTGTATTCCTTTTCCTCCCATTTTCTTTGTTTTTCGGGATCCGATTCGTTCAACATTTTCTCCTTTTCAACCCTACGTTTCTCTTCTCTCTTAAGTTGTGCCACTTCTTGTCTCTGCGAGTGAGTAGTCTTAAGGAACATCTCCTGAACCCGTTGTCGGTTGCGTTCGGCTTTCAATTTGCCTTCACGTGACAGACGAAAACGTTTCACTTTGTCGATGGAGTAGAAGACCAGTTGAAGCAATGGCTTCATTGACTGGATATCATTGTAATTCTTGCTACTATTGCTGGGAACTAATTACAGAAACATATTAATAAGATAATCGCTATTATAATAGTATATACATATATATAATTTTTAAAAAACAAATCATACAATTAAAGGCAAATATAAGCTGTCGTTTAACTTCTGGAAGTTTTATCGATGGGGTGTCTCTGCAATTAACAACAATATTATCAAATATATTAACTGATAATAAAATCAATATCACATACTCTGATAATTTATATCCCGAATATTGATCAGTAAAATGTATAAAATCAATGCATTCTTCGTATTTCTTAAGTAGTGAAATGACTTTAGCGTCGAGCAAAACACCGGCCGCTTCTCCGATCTCATTGAGTAATACAAACTTATCGCCGGTTAGGCCATACTTGTCGGGAGTCTTTCTCTCGGGACAAAAGGTATTCTGAAGATTCAAATAATAAATAAATAAACTTAAAAACCAAAAAAAACTACTGAAGACATACAATATCATTCATTTCTTTGGCCAGTCGTTGGGCACTCTTTTTGCTGGCAATACAGAACACATAGCTATCCATTGTATCGGCATTTAATGTCACACGAATTTGCTATTAATTTAATGAAAATTTCATAAATAACTATTAAAGTGAATAACAATGACAACAAAAATATCTTACAATCTGATCGAGAGATGGCTTAAAATAATTGGTGATAACGTGAACTAAATCTTGTCGTTTGAGAAACATTAGCTCAACTAACATACCCTCAACACATACCCGTCCGCTGCACCATAAAGTGAATACACTTTCCGTTTCCTTAATAAGTCCGGGATTTTCAATTTCTTTTTTGCCGTCGTCACCGACCAGTGCAAAGTTGGCGGACAACATCTCCCGGTGAATATCAAACCACGTGTCGGCCATTTTCTGGTTCTTGTTTCTTCCGGCAATAAAGTTTACAAAATAGACGACTAGACCGGCAATCATAATAAACTCTAAATAATAACTTTCCCAATTGGTCTGCAAATGAAGTGGCACTTTAGTGATCTTGAGATCGGGTTTCTTATTGTGGTCACTGGCGGTCGGCTCTGTTCGCTCACTACTGTCTTCATTGTCTGAAACATTCTCAAACTCTTCGTCGTCTTCTTCATCCTCAACAGTAGACTCGCTTTCATCGGACGACTCTTTGTTAAAATTTCTTTTAAATGATGACTCATCCACTCCTGGACTGGCATTTGGATCTTTAGCACTGTTATCACGTATAGTATCAGTTGATATGATATCCAATTCGTCATCGATGTCCTCAAACTCAGCGAACTCATTGTCCTCGTAGTGTTGTTGTTCGGAGGCCAGTCGTGAGTGGACACCGACCACACATATCTTGAGAATGAGAGCCAATACTAGATTTGTGGCCAACACTCTGGTTACGGCGTTTGAATACTTTCGGCGATTCATTGACATTACGGTTGCCATTAATTTGGTGGTCAAACACAATAACTGGTTGTTTGTTTGGGTTCACAACTATACGGTCATTGACTGGTCAAACACCGAAAAACATTTATCACATGTTTGTCACTAATATATGAATTCAATGGGTATTATCATATAATTATTAATATCATTACACTATTCTACAGTACTGTATATTATATGACATAACAGTGCCATCACTTGATTGATATAAACAACAATTACTCTATTAATAAAACTTTGATATTTTTGTTAGAAATAAATTGATTGAAAAAAAAATTAAATTAAAACAATTGACATAATTGTTAATAACAACTATTGATTGATTAAAACTAAAAGCATATGAATTAATGTTACTATTGTTTAATAGAGACAATTGATGTCAAATATTTTGATATCAATTGTCTTTCTTTTGGATCATTAAAGTTGAGTCCATTGGGTGAATGCCAGACATAAACATCCAATGGATGTAATTGTTTAGTGCTATTGATTGACGAATGACGAAGTGATTTCATTTGATGTTCATTGATCTGAGCGCTGAAGAAATGCCAAAACATTGATCGAACCAAAACACCAAAGTATATACCATTTGTTTTGTCATTATTAGACAACGAAGACATGAGTAGCTGTGATATAGATTGTGCCAAATAGTTGTCTTTAAAACTATCCGATACTATAATATCCTTCACTTCAATGGTCATCAATGTCTTGTTGTTCTTAATAATAGACATATCAGTAAAACACATGCGATTTTCAGATAGGATTTTCGTATTATAGTAATAATTCTTTTCGATTGAACCCATTTGATCCAATGATATGTGATGAAGATATAAATACACGTACTCTGACACAAGCCATTCAAAGCCCTTTCGATTGTTTGTCAAATATCTTTCATTCACTCTATTGAATTGATCCAAAACTCCGTCTAATGTCCAAATGATATTTGCTTTCGGTTCTATTGATAAAAATTAAATTAAAATTAAAAATATAAAATAAATGCTTTTAACTGACCAACTAATTGAAAGTCAGTCAAATGTTTGTCACACTTTTTGTTAACATAATTAACTCTTATATTACAATAATGGGTTAATTGGTTTAATTTAACTGAAGGACTGATACTACAAATATATCTATAAGACTGATGTATATTTGTTTTACAAATGTTAACAAATGTGTTAAAAAACATTTCAAAAAAAATTGTAATTATATTATAAACTTAAATAAGACTTATATACCGGTTATTTGTGATTCATTTAAATGAAAACATGTATCACATGTTTTCATTGAAACGTTTATGAGTTTCAATGTATCCAAAGTCCAGTATTTTGTGTCCATCAATGAGTCCAATGACTTGCCGTCAAAATCTAATTATACATTCAGACAATAATTATGAATCAATCAATAGTTTATCAAATGATTCAATTAAAATACAAACCAATGCGTTGTTCATTGATATCATTTCTCCACATTTTAACGTCTAATGTCTTGAGTATTGTTGCCATCGATGGTTCTCTCAGATGTTTTTTCACTCTTTCGTAGTTGTCTTTCATGTCTTTATACGATTGTTTCAAATACTCTTCAAATACTGTCTCAACAATTGTTTTGTTGTCTTCCGTTTCATCACTTTTCATGTCATCACTCGATGTTATCTCTTGTTGTCTCAAATGTGTTGATTGTCTTCTGGTTGTCGTCAATGTTGTCATTAGTCGATGACTTTGTCGATCAATAGACGACAATGTCTTCAATGATCTCAACGATTGTCGAAACAATGATTGCATTGTGAATGTGATGACAATAACTTGTGGATTATCTTAAGTGACAGCAATTGATGTCCAAATCGTTGACAAAACAATAATTTATATATTAATTGATAATATATTACGAAATACTAATTGATTTAACGATAATTAACTCAAAAATTGTGATTCAAATTGCATTTGAAAATCATATGAAAACATTGGATTCAAAACAAACTGCAAATCACGTGATCACTGAAAATATTGTACAATTCGATACCTTTTTATTTTGCAAAACATATAGAGTACAGCTTTAAATAGTACTAAATAGTATTTGATGTAATGATTTAATATAAAAATTACTTAAAATGAAATTTAATGACAATTTTTTTGTGTCATTAGTATTATTATCGGTAAATGTTTTATTAGCGACCGTTGTGTTCATTAATGATATCCCGATCCCTGTCCTCCCTATCCCTTGATCCCCGTCTCCGATGTTCTCTATCCCGACTCCGACGACGCTCTTTATCCTTCTCCTTACTTCCCGAACGTTTAGGTTCTCGTTGTTCGCGTCTCTCTCGGGAAGCGCTTCGACGTTGTTTACGTTCACGGCTTCTGCTTCGGCGACGAGCAACTGGTGACAAACTTCGTGATCGCGATCGACCCGCATAACTGGCCAGACGTCGTTCTATAGCGGCTGCTCTTCGACGGCCATAAAGTTCGCGCCGCAATTCACGAGATATGGGCTTCAAATGCATAAAATTACAGAAACCACTTCTTGTACACTCTCTTTAAGAGACAAATCAGCAATTTTTTTATTAAATAGTTTAAACATATTTCCTAATAAAATATTACCCCATTTCGTATTGACGACAACAGGCCTCTCGAAAGTCGGTAACGGGTGAGAGTTCGGCATAAATGGGTCGACCGCCGAACCATCGGTTGTTGAGTTCCATTGCAGCCTTCTCTGCGTCTTCTTCGCGATGAAACTGTGTAAACAAATTGTCATAATTAGTGAAAAAAATGGTAATTAAATATCACTTTTAACTAACTATACCTTTACGTAGACATTACCGACCAAATGGTCGCCTAAATTGTCGCAAACATTCATCTCTTCAATCTCTCCGTACTTGTCCTCTAACTCGATAAATACGTCTTCAAAGAAATTATCGAAGTGCTCCTGAGCTTCTTCGTCGGTCAAGACTCGACCGGCGGCCACAATATCGTTGTCACCGCCGGCAATGTTTTGTGGATTTTGATACAAGTTTTGCAATAATAATGTCTATAAAATTCAAAAGATAACAACTATTAGAGTTACAGTTAATTGTGGCCACAAAGCATGTGGTGGCGGCAAACCTGACTAAAAGTAGGCTTATTGTGGATTCGGGAACAGCGGTCACCGTGACGACAGGCGCCGATCTTGAAGTAAAATGAACAGTTGACTCTATAAAACAAGTGGACAATCAATAAATAATTAATTTTTGTTTACTTCTTAGCCATTAATAAGACACCAACACATGTGTCGGACACTTATCATTCAGTCATTCATTCACTTACTTATCCTTTTCGGTGCCAAAAATTGAGGCCAAATATTCGGCCATTTTTATCGGTTAACTATTGAACAGTAGTACTAATTGTCAACAATTGGATAATTGACACCCAAATGGGTTGAACGGATCAATTAGTTGGTGATAATCAGCCAAAATCAATGATTACTGTATGTATGTATCAATTAATACAGTTTTTTGTTGTATTTTTGTTATGTTGTTTCAATGCATACAAGTCTATGGTATTATAGGTCTCAATTAGAGACTGAAAACTGACCTGATTTTTCAGGTCAGGTAAGGTCAGGTAAAAGTTAGGTCTCAGATCAGGTCAGGTACGGGTCCGAACACCTAAATTTTTGAGTCAGGTCAGGTCAGGTCCGAAAATTTTTTATTAACTATTTAAGCGACAATTATTAGAAAAATGTCACAATCAAACACAAAATTTATTAAATTTTTATTTATGAAAGGTTTGTATAAATTAAACAAAATATTACAAAAGATCATAGTTTGATCTAATAAATAATAGCATATTTACTTTATTAGTATCTAAATTAGATCTACGATCAGTTATCGTTAATCCCGCGTAATTAAAATTACGCTCACTGGACAAATTTGTTGCGGGTATAGTATGAATAAAATTAGCTAAATATGATAGTCTTGGATAAACAGTTGAATATTTGTCCCAAAACTTTATGACATCCATTTGATGATCTTCTTCAGACATTTTACATGAAATGTAACGCAAAAACTCATCTCTAATTGATTCTTCAGTATATGAATCGGAGGTTTCGGCAAATAATGAAACAAAATGTGATGTTTTAAGCTTTTTAACTGTATTATCAACTTGAGTGGCCATTATTGTTGAAGTTTTTGTATAATTTTCAATCATTGAAATTATTGTATCGTATTTTTCATTTATTTCGCAAACATTTGAAAACATTTTCAATTTTCTGTAAATTGGAGTCAATACAGTAGCGCAGATATGAAAATCAGTAACGATTAAATATTTGTCAATACATTCAATTAATTTAGTTTTAAGTAAATTAATCTCAGAATATTCTGATAAAAATGTCATTATATTAAGTTTTAAATTTTCTTTTTCTGGTAATACGTGAAATAGCGATGCAGTTGACTCACTACATAATTTTTTTCTTAGTGTCTTTAATGGTAACAAAAAATTAATCAATTCATTTAAAAGTTTTTCATCAATATTTTGAATAAAATGATATATTTTTTCATTTTCTTCACTGAGTTTTTGTAAATCATTAAAACTACATTTAATTGAATATAACATATCATATTTTGAATCCCAACGCACTTCAATAAATTGTTTTAATGTTATGTTAAGTTTTTGTTGAATTCCTGATTGCTTAACATATCGTACCAATTGTTTAGAGTTTTCAATTAAATTATCAATAATTTTAATATCATTGCATTCTATAAATGCATGTTTTTGCAAAAGATTCATGTTATGAGATGAACACCCTATCCATAGTATATCTTTGAATGCAGTTTTCATTGATCTTGCATTATCTGTAACCATAATAAAAGTTTTATTATTTAAACCAAATTCATTCAATATTTCGTTAACTTTATATTTTGTCAATAATGCTGTTTTATTATCGACTTCTTTGGTGCACAAAACTCTTGATTTTAATGAATTATTAGTAATATATTGAATTGTTATTGTAATATAACTGTCTTTAGTATTATCATTAACCCAATGATCACATGTTAAACCAAAATATTCAACATTTTCAATACTTGTTATAAGTTTAGATTTTAAATTGTCGTATATATTATTAACATAATTAGATACAGTTTTAGATGATGGCAATAGTTTATTAATGTCAATAAATTGGTTGTTTTGCTTATTAACTTTAATTAATTCATTTGCAAGTAATTTAAATCCATTTCCATCTATAAAACTGAACGGCAGGAGATCAACAGCACAACAAATTGCAGCTTTTTCTGACAATATTTTTTTAACAGAAGTATAATCTTTATACATATCCTTAATATTGCGAGACTTGACAGAGATTTTACATTTATCAATATGTCTTTTCAGGTGTGCATTACCTGTATTTGAATTATAGTTTAATAGTTTATCACATTTTATACATTTTACAAAACACGTGTCGTTACCATCACATAATACTTTTTCAAATAATGTCCAGACATTACTTTTCCCCTTTCCTATTGAATAACTAAGTCGATCACTTTTATCATTAACTAATTTTGTAATACTATTAATATTCATTTTAATTTAATTAATTTAAAATTACGATTTTATTAATTATTTTTACTTTTTTCACATTTAATCTAAAACTACTGCATGTTTTGTAGTATTTGTACAAAAAATTTTGTATTATTGTTTTTATTACAGTATTTTAAAATTTGAAATAAAAATAGAAAAAGTTTAAATATTTGAAATACAGCATACAGTTCATAGAATTTTTTTTTGTTAATAATTTTTTTTTGATAAAATAATTTCGGACCTACAAAGTGAGGTCAGGTCAGGTCAGGTATATTTGTACCCTATGTTAGGTCAGGTCCGAGTCCGAGATTTTAGGTATGAGATCAGGTACGGGTCAGGTACGGGTCCGAAACTTTTCACTCTCTAGTCTCAATAATAAACTACTGTATTATTATTATTAATAATATACTCTATTATATAGAGTTTCAAAATAAATTTAACTAATTAACTTTAATTTTATTTTTTTGAAAATAAAAAATATACTAAATTTACTAAAAATATAATTAAATATAATCTTAAATAAAATTAATTAAAAATTAACATTTAATTAAATTAATAATTAAAACTAATTTTGAATTTCAAATGTTGGACGTAATGTATGAATGAAATATATTTATGGATTGTTTTGTCATTTATTATCGATTTTCTCATTCATTGTGTTTACTATTCATTCATTCATTCATTCATTCATTGATTTCAGTGATTGTGAGTAAAAACTTTAAATACTTTGTTTTGACCACAAATTATTGACTTCATTGTCAAACCCGACGGTTCACTGACCACTACAAACACATTATGGGAGCACTGCTCAGTATTTTTACTGTTGGCCAGGTATGTGATGCCGACAATTGAATTAAATGATCACAAAGAAAGAGAGAGAGAGCTGTCAGTGATTGACTGCAATCTTTGTGACGCATTTGTCTTAAGCATTGATCCATCAATGAGTTAACCATTTTTTGTTTTCTTCAATCTGACAGTTGGCCTGTTGTTGTTCATCGGCCGCATGCGGTCTATTCGGTTGTTGTCCGTCGTGTCGCAACTCGACGGCCGCCCGAATAATGTACGCTTTGATGCTATTGTTGTCGACAATCGTCGGTTGGCTAATGACGACAACATGGATGCAGCAGAAGATGATGAGTATGCCGTTCTGTGGCAGTCATAGTAATGACAGTCCGAATGTGTGCGAGAATGCCGTCGGCTATCTGGCAGTCTATCGAGTGATGTTTGCGTTGACTATGTTTTTCATTGTCTTCTGCTTTATGATGATTGGCGTCAAGTCTTCACGCGATGGAAGAGCTGCCATTCAGAATGGGTTTGTCATTGTTTACCATTTGATAACTTATAGCATAATCGATGTCTATTATTAGTAATTTGTTAATTTTATTATAGTTTTTGGGGCATTAAGTATCTACTGTTAATTGGTCTAATAGTGGGCGCATTTTTTATACCTGAAGAAAGTTCATTTGGAGACGGTTTGGACCAATTTATTTGAATAACAAAAAAATATATTTTAATATATTTTCTTTTACTTAATAGTTTGGAAGGTGTTTGGACTCATCGGTGGTTTCTTATTCATATTGATTCAGTTGATTCTGATTATAGACTTTGCTCACAGTTGGGCTGAGAAATGGGTCGAACAGTTGGAAGAGACCGGATCCAAGTGGTATTACTTCGGTTAGTGACTATTTTCTTGAATATTAAATATTAACATTTATACCAATTATTATTATATTTGGTTTTATTGATTGACAGGATTGGTATTCTTTACAATTGTCAACTATTTGGCAGCACTGACAGCCATTGTCTTGTTTTACGTGTATTACACCCAATCAAGTGGTTGTGCTCTTCACAAGTTTTACATATCGTTTAATCTAATACTTTGTGTAGTTATGTCTGTTTTGTCGATTCTGCCCAAAGTTCAGGACCGTATGTTTTAATTCAACTATCGATGTCAAACACTTTCCGTATATTTAACAATATTATAAACCAATTTACAGATCAGCCGCGCTCTGGCCTACTTCAGTCGTCACTGATATCGCTATACATTTCATACCTGACTTGGTCTGCAATGAACAACAATGTGGATAATGATTGCAAGCCATCATTTTTCGTACACCAGGATAAAGGATCATTTGATTCATCATCTTTGGTATCTTTGGGCCTATTCTTTGCGTGCGTTCTTTACTCGAGTATTAGGACGTCGACCAATACTCAGGCCAGTAAACTCACCGGAGCTGATCAGATACTGATGAAAGATAACGGCGCCTCAGGAGGTCAGTAACCGCACTCTTAATGGCATTTATTTTTGCTATTTATTTAATTTTTTTTATTACCTTATATACCGGTATTATTATTTTATATTCTCTTAATATTTATTAAAAATTTAAATCAATTAAGTTATGAATTTAAAAATTCAAAATTTGGTTAAATTGAAAATTTGATCAAATTATGCATTTTTTAGTATTTATATGTATAATACCGGTAATTGTTATTTGCTTTTTGTGATGACATTGTACTGTATTATATAATATTAAAACTATAGGCGGATCTACTTCTCAACTGACATCAAATGAAGGTACAAATCTATTGATTGTGATGTCGTTATCATATAAATGTCTGAATAACTTTCCACTTCACTCAGCTATTAATATATGTTGTCTATTATTTTCCGTCACTAATATTATTATTTCATTTTTATTTGTTTTAAAGTTTTTTATTTAAATAATAAATTATAAATTAAATTGTATTTATTAATAGGTGGAGAGGATGGTGGTATCACTGGTGATAAACGAACCAATTCGTGGGACAATGAAGAAGATGCTGTTTCCTACAGTTGGTCTTTCTTTCACTTTATGTTTGCTTTGGCCACACTCTACGTTATGATGACTCTTACCAATTGGTATAAGTAAGTATACCATTAAAATAATTGAATTATCATTATTATCAGATATTTAATTATTATTTTTGCTATATTTATCTACCAGTCCTGAGAGACACACCAAGAATTTTAGCGAAAGTGTTGGCTCGATGTGGGTTAAGATAGTTTCGTCGTGGGTTTGCTGTTTGCTCTACACGTGGACACTTGTGGCACCCATACTACTACCCGATCGGGATTTTGCATAAATCTATTGCACTTATATTCCAACAAAATTAACATATTTTATAATCTTTTATTTATTATTCCAATTGATTACTATATGATTGATGTTATTCAAGTCACTTATTTTAGTTTTTTAGCTATAGCTATACACTTATAAATTATTATTTTTATTATAATACTTTTATTAATCTAAATATCTAATTTAAATTTTAAATACTGTATTATAATTTACCCTACAACTACTGTATATACCATATTAAAATACAATATTATAGTATCATCAATATGGTAATGATAATATATTTACGTGTATACACTAGGGTTTGTAAATAAATTGTCAATTTATTTTTTATTTTTATTTTATCTGTATATTGTTATCTTAATTATCGGTAAATTAATTTGTTAAATTTAATATAATGCTATTGATAATTATTACCGGTAATAAAAATAAAAAATATCTTAAAATTAAATGTTTTAATTTAATTTAGTTTATTTAGAGTTGAATTGAAAATTGAAACCAATATTATAAAAATTTAATATTAACTACAACTTTGTCTATAATATAGTAACTAATCCATTGTCACTATAATTGTTGATCACATAAAAGTATAAAAATTGAAAAAACATCAAATATTATTTGTTTATATAAAAAAAACATTCAAATAATATACTGTATAAAAATATAGATTTATACCATAAATATAAATAAATAATAATATGATATTATATTTTAGTTTATTGTATTACTAGTAGTTATATACTTAAATAACTATCAAATCATTTAATGTAAATCAAACAACATTTCTATAACTGTAATGAAAGTCAAGTCTCAGTTCATTAACACAAAACACTTGACTTTTGAAAACAATAATTATTATTGTTTTCAATGAGAAAACATATGAAATGTTTGCGCAAAACATGTGATGCAATGACTGATAACAACAAACAATTGATTTAACATTTGATTCATATATTACACACAAACATCTCTTGGAAAAAAAAATTACCTAGGTGGCATTGTTGGAAAAAATTTTCCAACAAACTAGACATTTTTTTAGCTATAAATTAGGAATTATTTTTCAATAAAATTTTAGACATAATTTGATGTATTTTTTGGAAAAAATTGTCATAAATTTTTAGAAATCAAAATACCATAAATTAGTTATAATAACTGAAAAACTTAGGATAAAAAATGTAATTTTTTTTGAATTTTTTTTCTAAATTTGTTGTAACTTTTTTTCTAAATTTTTTGCAATTATTTATCTTAATTCTTTGTAACTTAAATTCCTAATTTTTAGTTAATTATAATGAAAAAAAATTTTCCAAAAAATTAATTAATTAATAAAAAAGTATACTTTAATTAAATATTTTTTGCATTTTATTTAAAGTTAGATAATTTAATGTATTACTTAATATTTTAAACAAATTTTAAATTTTTGTTAATTATAAAGTTTACTTTACGTTGCGTATATATTTAATTATTAACAAACAATTAATTAAAGATATCTAATAAATCAAGATATTTAGCATTTTTATTGGCAACTTTAGTGAAACCATAATCCAATAATTGTCTTTCAAAAAACACCATCAAATTGTAATTAGTTGTATCGTATTTGATATTAAATGCAAATATCGATACCATAAGATAATAGAGGGCTTCAATCAAATTATAGATGCCAATGGTGTAGCCGATGCATAAAACTTGATATTGATTTTCATTTGTCTTCAATAGGCCAACAGTAGTGTGAGTAATATGTTTAACAAAAACTGTTTCATCAAATCTTGTTTCAATCATTTTAAGAAATTTTTCAAACTTAATGTTTGCTATAATTTTAAAATAAAGTAACTTTAATTAATCACATTTTAATTTAAAATTCTAATATAGTTTAGTTTATTTACCTTCAATGGTAATAGCATTAATAGGTATAATCGGGAATTCATCTAAATAGTAAAAATTAAAACATAATACTTAAATGTAGATTAATTTAAAGTATACTTTAAAGTTAAACTTATTTATTAATACCATTAGTTGTTATTTGTTTTGCTTTTTTAAGCCAATGTTGAATTCTTTGCAAATAACTTTCAGACATTCGTGGATGAAATTCGTAATCTTCATTCTGCATACTAATTGTGGTAATAATCTTAAAAAAATAAAAAAATAAATATTTTTAAAGTAAATAAATTTTAAAATAAATATTTTACTTGTAGTATCTTTAAGACTAGTGTAGTCGTGATCATCCATTTTGTTAGCGTACATCTAATGCATTAATGGTATATAAATTTTTGCTTGGTAACACAATTGTAAAATGATATTGAGTATTTATTTGTAAAGTTTAGACAATATGATTATGATTAATATTCAAAAATAATCAAATATTAAGTAAAATTAAATTAAATAAAGTATACTTTAAAACATTTAATTTATTTGTGTAGATATGGATTAATTAATGGATAAACAAATACTAAATAAAGTAGACTTTATATTATATATTATTAAAAATTAGTTAAAAACTAAGTTTTTAATCAATAATAAAGTTTTATACCTAAACTTATTGATACTAATATAAAACAAAACAATTGATTACTTACTTTACTTTATTTTAATAAACTTTGTTTACAAAAACACAATTATATAAACAAACAATAATATCAATAATTAAACCAATTGTTTATTAATTGTATTAAAAAAACATTTTATTAACATAACAATAGAATCGAACAATTAGTTAATATATTATAACAATAATATGTTTTAATATCTATATTTCAATAATAAAGTTTCAAATCTATTACGTATATAAAGTATACTTTAACTTAACGTAATATATGTGTGACTAATGTTCTCAAACTTTTGAGACTTTTCCATAAAAGTTCCAAACATTTACACAATTTATTGCTAACTTATGAGTGAAATAAAAGTCCATCAAAATTACCCAGAAGTTTGCAATAAAAATTCCCCAAATCGACTAAAAGATTTTGTGTGTAGACTGTATTTTGTAATCAAAAACTATGAGAATCTCGTTATGTGAAGACTTGTGTCCACTGTTGACCACCGAAGTCACAGATAAACTGATCGCCAATAAAGTGATTTCAGTCGAAGATCTTGTTTTATGCGATTTACCAAAAGTCCGCCAAATTAGTCGTCAAAGTGATGTCCACTTTCAGGTGATTTCTTCACACGACTAACCAGACGCTGGTTTTTGAAAATTTCTGTTGATTTACAGACACTTCTGGATATTAGAGATCAATTGTATACCCGATTTGTGGCCAAACCTTTCAACGCATTTAAATTATACAACAAAACCATTTCTTTAAAACCATTGAAAACCACAATCAAGAAGTAGTTTCAATCAACAAAAGCTTTACATTTGATTTAATAAATTTATTGATATTTTTTGTCTAAAGTTTGGATCAAATGTTACCGAAAGGTATCCCCAGAGGACAAGTGACACAGATATACGGTGAAAGTGGTTCAGGAAAGACACAGTTTTGTTACACTTTGATGGCATCGGTGGCTAAACTTTACGGTCAAAGAGTTCTCTATTTTGACACCGAATTATCGTTTGACTCGTCAAGACTTATCCAAATAATTAACAACAGATTCCCCGCTATTAATGAACAAAAGTTGGATCAACTTTTAGACTATATTCTTGTCACTCGAGTATTTGATTTGCGATCCATTTTAGATAATATTGAAGCCATTGATTGTGATTTACAGACAAATCCGTTATCGGAATACAAACAATTGAAACTAATTATCATTGACTCGATGTCATCGCCGGCTACTCTTGAGATGAAGAAAACTAATTACAAATCTAACATTCAAGACCAACGAGCAAATAGTTCGGGCGCACGAAAACTTCACCACCAATTGAAAGTACGAATGACACAAATGGTCACAAGTTTGAGGGCATTTGCTGTCAAACACTCGATGGCCATAATTGTTGTTAATTCCCAAGTGATGGCAAAGAAGTATTATTGGAATAACTCTTGTAATACTTGTTTGCAATTTGTTAGACATAATGAAGATATTAATTCAAAAGAGATAACAATTAGTTTAATGCAGTCATACGACACACGAGCCGACAATCACAAGTCAGACAATAAGTTTACCATTTCATTGAAAGGCATTAACTAAAATACATTGGATTTAATTTAGTAATAATTTATTTGTCAAATTTAATGGAAAATATGTAAAAATATAAATATAATATTTATAATAATTAATAATTGAATTACAAAATAATTAACAGAAGTATTAAATGATTGGATGATTATAATACAATTATTGTAATTGTTTTGAAAAAATAGTTAATGCATGCAATTTTTAGAGCCACGGGTGCCACGCGGGGTCCATACGGCACAGATTGTCGTGCGAGTTAGCGGCCGCTACCAGAGTGGCCACTTTGCTTTCGGTGCCCTCGAATACTGTTAAATCTGTTTATTTTTTGTGTTAAATAACGATACAATTATTATATTATATTATTATATTATATTATATTATTCAAGTGTTTATCATTATTTTCGTGACTTACTTTGAAGTCGTGACATAATAGCAGTGACCGCTTTGTTGACACCATTGATAAGTATCTCGCCGTCCACTACCATCTCTCCCGACGGGTTCGATGCCGTCACATCTTCTTGTGTCTGAATAATAATGTAAACATTAAAATCTATGACAACAACAACAACCTGTAGTCCACAATTAACAATACCTTTTTATGCCACATCATTATCTCATCCCTGAGTATGGCTCGCAATATAGATTGAACTTTAAAGTTAGGCATTACTAGACAACGGGCCGATGCTATCATTGAAGCGGTCAATGGACCCGACATTCCGATCCATGATATCAATTCTGATATATTATGAGTTAGTCTGAATGGAACCGGTCTATTGCCGTCCAATTCGCCTAAAAAATATATATAATTTTTATTATTACTTTATAAACAAATATTTCATTAATTAATTCATTTGCAATACCAGTGCTGTCGTCGATGTCGAATCGATAGTAAGCTATATTCATGAGCCCACTGTCCTGATGAATGTACATCATATCTGGATTAAGTCGAGTCAAATGCAGAACATATTCGGCAAATGAAGCCAAAGCCAGTTGGAGTGTAAACTAGAGGTGCAAAACGTAAATAACWATTTAATTAGTTTTATATTATTATTATTATTACTATACGGTAAGTCATTTCTATGGTCACAAACCTGTTTTCTAAAGGTCCACCAATCGGTAGCCGACGGGAAAGTCTGAATGGCCCACTCTTTAATTAAATTGTTTGGTACCATATTTGTCTGAATGTCTTTGAGAATATCACGTAACACTTGATGACTAGCAGCCGATCCTCGGGCCTGAACGCTGGCCAGTCGGTCATAAAACTTAGCGATGGGTGCGTCGGGTTCTATATTTCGCTTAGCGTTTCTCTGTTTATAGATGTCTAACAACGAGATTGAACTGTTGTTATCTTCGACTAACCGCATCTGTGGACTAACGGCAACCACTCGGGGAACCGTGAAATGCAGGAATCGTTTGGCGGTTTCTTTTTGTTTTCCCAAATAATGGTTAAGCAATCTCTGTAATTGAAGCACACGTTCCTCACGTCGAGCATCGCTAAGACACGAGTCGTTGACAACAAGATACGGATATATCTTTCCGTTGTGTCCGCGAATATATAATCTTCGGGCAGCGGTATTATGTTTGCTGACGATCTCAACTCTGGGCATAAATCGGGCGATTCGAACGTAATAATTGCTTTGTTTTGGTAACAGAAACTCTCCGGGAAGTTCCACATCAGCCGTTTGTTGTGAAAAATTACTCAATATTTTACATTTTTCTTCGATTAACATCGATTTTGGCAATAATTTGGTTTTTGCTTCTAATATTTTGATCCATTTCTTAAGTTTGGTGATTAAGTTATGTAATTTCATAGATCCCGGAGAATTGAAATCGAAATCAGTGGTAAACTGTCCCTTCATTTTTTGGAAAACCGGGTCCTGTTGTGTCGCCTGAGCTCTCTTTGCCAGTGATTCTGAAACGGCCGTAGTATTGGGTGCCGACTGAGAACTGGACACGTTTTCTATGCCAATACCAAACGTTGACACGAGTTTCTTCACAAAGTTTAGTGTATTTGGTGTAACCGAAGCTTCAGCCACATTGTTCCTACAATCAAACGCCACGGCATAACATTTGGCCAGTGCTTGACGTAACTGTCGTAAAACCTCTTCATACCAATTCTCGCGAAACCAAACCATTTGATCAACTATTCCTTCTAGTGATGATAGTATGGTTGGGTGCAGATCTCGTTGCATATGCATTATACGAGAGCATCTCCACATGGGTTGAGTTGCTCTATATTGCGGATCAGGAACTGTTGGTTGTGGTTGTTGTTGTTGTGGTTGTAATTGTTTTAGTCCTTCATTAGTTGGCGTATCAGCAGTTGTTGGAGTAGAAGGCATAGAAACGGGTGGTTTGTTAATTTGTGTCGTTGATGTAGAAGCGGCTGCCGCAGCGTTTTGGGCGGCAATCAAAGCTAATGTCTTAAGTTTCTCTCTTTGTTCCATTTTGAGGGTTAGATATAGAGTTCTGATGGGAAAATAGACCGCTTGTGGAAATACTCGGCCGACTTGTGAAACAATATTCATAATAAGTTTGCCCTCATTTCTGACCAGACATGTCATCAGCTGTGGAATCCACGGCAGCCAACTGTTTGGCGGAACACCGATATTGTATTTGTCAACGGCTTCGGCCAACGAGAACTTTTCGTCGTCGTAACACAAGAGCCACAACACTTTAGCCAAGTATTTGCGCGCTTTGCTCTCGTTTTGGTGACGACACGCGTGAAGATAACAAGTTAGAGCCGACACTCCGATATCCATTTGWCGACTGTCCCATCGGTCGCGCGTAAACATCGAATCGAGATAATCGCCCCAAAGAGCCCACGCTTTGACAAGTGTGTCGTGAAGTTGTGCGGCAGCGCTAAACGCTTTGTTCGCCTCATCTGATCTACCAATTTGTGCTAAAAACATACCTTTGAGTGCATAGAATTCTGCGGTCATCTCTTTGGCGAAATACTTCAAATTTGTTGATTCTATCACTTCTAGGCCCTCCTGGAGCTCATTCTTGCCCATTGTATTAGATAATTGTAAGTAACATTTCACTTGTTGTCTGATTTTTTGAAAACAGTCTACTATGGGAACGGACGGAATGGTATGTATCCTATTGAGTGAATCGAGACAAACGCTAATTAAATTGTGTTTTCGGGCTATTTTTCCGTAATGTATGATAGACTGGGCCGAGGCGTGCACTCCAAGCATCGCTTGTGAAGCCTGTTGATCGCTCTGAGGACTGACATTCAAAGCATTGGTCACCGCCTGAGCCGTAGCGTTGACAGCGTTTGTAATACTATTATTGGTGTCGTAATGTGTGACAATCGCTTGATAGTGATGTTGTCTCCACGTAAATATGTCGGACCAATGGTTCAGATCATCAGCGAGCACTGGAAGTCGATTGCGCCACGTCTTAACAATAGCTTTCATGTCATGAAGACTAGTACTGCGACCTAAGTTATTGGGAAGCAATCCCTGATGTATTTGTCCGGCTTCTTGCAACTCCATTATCTGTTGGGCTGCCTGTAGGAGAACAATGTGTACCTGAGAGACGATATGTGGCAAACGACGCCACTCTTTAATACACATTGTTGTCGACAAATCAACCATTTTGTCAACTGTTGCCAAACTATGATCTTCAGAATTACAAATAGCATTATATCCTTTATAAAGAGCCACTTTCCAAGTCATCTCTTTGGGACAGTTGGCTTCAACTTGAAACAGAGAGTCTTTCATCAGTGGCCAATTCGGTACTCTCCAAGCGCTCTCCAATACAAGCAAAGGATTGGCACAACCCTTTGAGTTTCCGTAGTCTAAAAGCAGATCCCATTGATTGAGTTCTTTGGAGCAGCGAATCCAATGTCTTTCCCAAAGACGGTACTCTCCTTGAAGTGAGACGGGAGCCGCTGTTGTATTGTAATCATTGCGCGCTTTAGTCATAGCTAATTCATATGCGCCCTGACTTTGCTCGAAATATCCCTGTTGTTCAAAAGATATCGCAATTAATGTTTCACTATATTTAGCTCTTTTCTGCCAAAGTCCAGACCAAAGATCTTCTTCTTTCAAGAGCTCATAAATATCAGCCAAAGAGTCTAACGCTTCTTGTGTTTGTGTCAATGCGGGCACTGAWATGGATTCGTCATATTCGGCATTATTTGTGGCTCGAGTTATCTTTGGTTGTGGTGTCTGTGCATTCAACGCATTCAGAGCACCGGCCTTATCGAAAGCATTCTCCAGAAGCAGTGCTGCTCTATGCCATAGATTATGCGATTTTCCCAAATACCTGAGCAAACAGGGTCTGATTGTTATGGCTGGAGAGCAAAGAGCTACGGCTTCCATAAAGGTTCCAATAGCACTGGGGTGGTTGTCTTTTTGGACTACATGACTACCGGAGCACAGAAACGGTACAATTTCGAGTGTCAGTAAATTTTGTTGCCTTTCGCTTAATATTTTAAAAGTTCGCGGAAACAGTTGAATCCAAATGTGTTGTGCGAGTGGTGTATCCATATGACACAGTTGTGACATTGACATTAGGAATGCATAGACACGAGTTTCACGTAAACTGTCCAAAAATTTTGTTTGTCTCAACAAAATTGATTGTAAATGTTGTTTCGGATCTAATGGAGTGGATGGACGGCGTACACCGCCAGCGGCCAATACACTAGTAGTTAGCGGATCATTAAGTGCTGATCCACGYGCTTCTTCGCTACCATTAAGTTCGATATCGACCATATCTTCGTCCTCTTTATCAGGCGGAGAGACATCCATTTCTATAGGTTCTTGTGATAGATTGGCAAACGAGGCTTTTTCATGCGAGTCGCCTAAACTTATAACAGACATCACCGATGGTAACATTGCTGATGGATTGGCTGATTGTATTGACATCGATGATACTGCTGTAACCATCAGTAGTTCGAGGCATTGTTTGATCCAAAAATGTTGTCCAATAGTCTCCCAATTTTGAGAGCAAACGATATACATTAGCCGTTCGTGAAGTCTGGATCTCATGGATGCGTTATAAACTTCAAAAAATTTGGCCCTAATATGGGGTTGAACACAGCGAAGACCAGCCATGAATGCCGGTTCCAGTTTAGGCGTCAGATCACTATTTTTGAGACTTTCCTCTCTGTATACATAATTGATTAGTTCGAGAAACAGTGCGTTCAGTTCGAGATCATCGGGAAATCTTTTTTCAATATTTTGCATCATTCGCACCAAAAGTATAGCCTTTTCTCTTAGTATTGGTGCCTGATTTGCACCAAACGGGCCCTTATTCTTAACCCAGTCCTCAACCATTTTGGTAATAGCTTTCATAACTTTAGAATCACTGGATTTCTCAATAAGGCTGACGAGTATGTTCTGAATAAATGATTTTCTCATTTCTTGACCCATAACTCCAATACGATTCTTAACCAAATCGAGACTCAATATAAGCAATTCGGTGCCCATCGGTGTGTTGAGTTCGGTCGGGTTCGGTGGTTGAATGTGGTCGCGGGACATCTTTTGCAGGACACGCATAAATGGTGTAATTAGTCGATCGATATAACAGGGATTGTTAAGACAGGCAGCTTTCAGTATCATTAATGTACTAAACAGTGTCGATGGAGAAGCGTTAGTACTTTTTTCATAATTATTGAGTCCGTCGTGAATTATTTTGTTCACTGATTGATACAATGAGTCCAACTCATCGTGTCTCGAGGCAACTGTTGAAGTGGTCGGTTCCGGCGGAAACATATTCATTAAGCGCGACAATAGATTATGTACGGAACGTATGACTTTTGAATTATTACAAGTCATACACAAAGCGATTCCTCTCTGCAATGGCTTAAAACTTGTCAAAACAGCTTCTTTGCGAAGAATAGTTAACAAAAAGCATAACAATTCAAGTGCTGTACAGATATTTCCATAATTTGGTTGTTGTTGTTCTACAGTCGCTAATAGTTTGTCGAACCACTGAAGTCTTAGGTCAGCGTTGGGCCAAACTTCTGGTTTGAGAGCATTCTTCAAAAGTGAAACACATCGACGAGATAAGAGTTCACCATTGGAACCGACTGTAGTAGAAGTTTCGTTCACATGACAGGCCAGTCGAAGTAAAAAGTTTACGACAGCGTCGGAATGTATTTTCTCGATAGGCTTATTGCTGTCGGCAGGCATCGGTCGAATACCCGGTACTGATGGTAATGGTGGCTGTCGTAGAGCTCTTTGAGCAGCCGTTGATGGACTGTCCACTGCCATCGGAGAACCACTTGTTTGATGGTCTTGTTCTTCGCGTATTCGAGTAAATTCCCAGCGAATTATGACTTCCACGAGATCAACGGCAATTTTCTTGTGTTCAATAGTTGCGTTCGGAGTAAATCCTAAACGTTGTACTGATGTTACCATATGTTGGATGAGGTGGTGACGAACGGGATAATACACTTTGTAGTGTCGTACCAATAGCTGCAACATATGTACCAATTGGGCCAATGTATGTCCCTCTTCAACGATGATCTTTTTGGTCCAATGAGTTAACATAATGTTTCCGTCTTCCATACGCTGAGGCATTGCTGGCGTCAGTATTTCTAAGGCCTGGCGGACAACAGTACGCGCTTCGACAGCATATGCTTTAAGTAAACTATGAAACACTTGAAGAACAATACGTTTGTGAATTGCAAATTTGGCAATAATATGGGCCAATAGTAAGTGTCCGTGATATTTAGTGGCCGGGTCGACACAATTTTTGGCCAACAAACACGGCCACGCAAATGTCATCAATCGGCGCAACTTATTTCCCTGCCGTTTGTTGGCCGCGTCATGAATATGAGGTGACGCCTGTTCTACTAATAAACATGAAAATTGAAGTAAAAGTATGCGAACCGAGTCCGACATTCCGAATGGATTTTCCGGATCGATGACCTGATTGATGAAAACACTGATTAGGTTGTCATGATTGTCATGTTCAGGAGCTGGTGGTCCTCCGATCAGTTTCTCGCCCTCTCCCCTCTCAAATGATATGCTAAAGGCAGGAACGATAATATATTGAAGTACTTTTGCCTTAAGTTCCTGAGGATAGGCCTTATTGTGAAAGATTTCAACAAACTTGAAGAATGCCTGTCTCTTCCATTCAATAGTATAATTATTGGCGACTGTATTCTCTAAGAAATCTCTTAAAAATTCAAAATCACATAAATATCTGCCCATAAAAGCCCTCAACAATTGGAAAATTAGTTCAATATCGCTGGGGTTTTGTTGGAAATAATTTAGTAAACATTTGGCCAATAATTTCGGTTCTTTCCAATGGACATAATCAGAACAATCAGTGTTAACATATTTCTTATGAAAAGCATCGCTACTCCAAACTTGTTTAATAGTATTCATAAGTTCTCGCTGTCCGGCCAACCATTGTTCGTCATGTTTGACCAAAATTGTTGTAATAGAAATGGCATGAAATTGCAGACCATAAGTAACATTAATGGTTTTAGTTTGTTGTGGTGATGGAGATACAGCCACTGGTGGTGTGGCAGCGCTTTCAGGTCCGGCCTGAGGTGATTGTGATGGTTGAGGTGACGGCTGTGGCTGTGGTGATGGTGGTACCGGAACTCTTTCCTGTATAACTACTGGTGCTTTGGCCATCTTTATTAGTTTGTTTGAATTCTGACCGACAATCTGTCTAAATAAAAGTCCTTCGGGGCCTTTCAATAAAAACTGCAATAAATAAAATAATTTTTCAATAATTAAACAAAAATAATAATAATTTCAAATTTATTGAYAATACCTTAACAAATCTGAAGATCTGGTTTTCATACATATTGCGCTCAATAAATAACAAATCAATGGTCTGTTCGGGATATCGTTGCAAGAATTTGCGTAATGGTTCCCGAAGTTTACTTCCCGGTTCAATCATAATTGCTTTTTCGGTTTTGAAAACACAAATTAATAGCTGTTCCACAAATTTAGAACTTGCCGAAGATATCTCATGAAAGAGACCAATAATAGCGGCGCATATTTTCAATTCTTCGACATTCTTTTGGCCACTTCGTTGAGCACGAATGGCTGCTTCGGCCCATTGTTTCAAATGGGCAATCATTTGGTCACAAAGTTTCTCATTGAATATATGGGGAAATAGTTGTGTCATAAATGAAATCTTTTGAATGACATTCAAGTTTAGAGCTCTGAAGTCACCCAAAGTGACTAAATGTGGTCTCAGATTCTGAGTGAGAATCTCTTGTTCAATAGGGACACGACTGATGAAACTCTTCATACATTCAAAGCCCGTACGCTGTAAATCAGTGTCTTTGGCGTTCAATGCTTTCATAAGTACTGCAAATATTTTTTCTTTCATTTGTATGATATAATGACAGGCAGACAGTGCTCTTAGCGCTGACTTTCTCAATGGCACCAAATTTGTCACATTCTTATAACAGGGATATTTAAGAAGCTGTGCGTCCTCTAAGTCGCACAATTGGAACAGTTCAGAGAAGAATACTTTGTGTTCTTGAATACTGATATCAATAGTGAACAATCGTGGCTCAAGTGTTGTACAAAATGTGTTGCCATCCATAAGACCAATCTGTGCGTTGACCGGTTGGTGTCTTAAGAGATGCTTTTTCGGTGGTATCATATCAGCCAATATGTCTCTATGCGGTTCCATTATTTCCGTAACATTTTTTTCATTGACTTTAGCCAACACTTTTAAAGAATGTATGGCCTGTTCTCTGACACAGGTATTCGGTGACGTCACCTGACGAACCAATTCTTGTGTCACTTCGTGAAGTGATTTGCGTTGGGCTTCAATGAGATCGGTATTTGTACCGTCCGATTGAATGGGAGTTCCACAATAAGTCAACATTTTCTCAAGATTTGATTTGGCCATATCTACGGCACCGGACGATACTTCACCGGTCAAATCCATCATAACAAACAACAGTGCTTTCAATAGAACGTATTGATGAGCGAAAACCCATTTGAGTGTCATTTTTTCAAACAAAAACTTGATGGCAATACAACCACCTAATTTTGCATACCAGGCCCTATCGTAGCACAGGGAGCACATACGTTCAACTAAATACTCGCATAATGGTAACTGACAGGCCCTCTCTTTATTGCCGAGAACAGCAACGGCTGTATCCAAAATAAATATGAGCGCCCAATGACCGGGTTTACACAGTTCCTTCTCTTCGTGGCCCATAATAGCAGCCACGGCGTCAATAAAAACTAATGGATCCATACCTTGAAGTCTATGCTGACGTCCGCCCAAATTGATTGGTCCGCATTGTTGACTAATGGCTACTAAAGTGTAGTGTCGCACAACTGATACCATAAATGGAAGTACCATTTGTCGCAATTCTTTGATGGCAACGGCCACAAACATACCCGTCAGTGCCATTTCGTGAACTTTTCTTAACTCATTATCCGTACACTTATAGAACGGGCCCTGAATTGGGGTGATGTCCGATAAAGTGAAACTTTGATGACTAAAAAAGTGTTGAATACGATATTTTTCTTCTTCGGCCTGTTGTTGGATGTGAGCGGCGAGAAAACCTTTAATGACTTCCCAACACTGTTTCCGATAAAACGGGTCAGTGCTCGACGACTTTAGCGCATTAAATGCCGTTTCGATGACTCTATCAATCGGTAAATTAATGGCCGTTCGGTGATCTTGATATTGAACAATAATAGTTGATCCACTCGTATTGAAGTTCTCTTTATTTTCCACATATTCTAACTTTTGTGGTTCAGTCATCATTTTTCTGTTGCCGCCACCAAACTTGCCTAACACTCTGAATGATACCTGTGCTATATTGTCAGCCGGATTACGAAGTGTTCGCCATAAGGCTTGCATAAGTTCAGCCCTAACGGGTTGTATGTGTTCGTAAAGAAAGTCTGGCTGAAGATTATCGACACAGAGCTCAAGTGTTCGTAAACCTTGACTGACCAACGTTTGAGATCCGTTCAGTGCTGATACTAATGGGTCCATTAACATTGGTAAATATGGTAGTAAACTGCTGAGTCTTACTGGAACTGTTAAACAAAGTTCAACAAATAAATCTTTCATATGTTGCTTATGAAGACCGCTTTGAAGACTATTAAGTCCCTGAAGTAGACTTGGAAGTAAAGGCAAAAATTCTTGATAGAGTAAGTCATGGCTACCGCCACCGATTGACCGAAATAATGCTCTGAGTAGTAGAAAGTAATTATATGGTTCTTTGGCTGTAAGTGCCAATTCCATCGATCGGTTAACAATTGAATGCAAATGAGGTTTAAGCATCTGTTCATTTTCAGCGGCAAACAGTGACACTGAACCAAACACAAGCTTAAAGAGTTTCAAATAAAGATTAGATTTTTCAACATTAGATCCCATCTCTTCCATTCTTTCCAATAAATATTCGACAAGAATTGTAGCAAATATTGGCGATGTTTGAGGATTGGCCAGAAAACTATTGGCCACTATTTGCAAAGCGTAATTCGAGTTAATTCGCTCGACTACATAGTCAATGGTAGTCGAAAAAACTTCGTGAAATGTTTGCGGACTCATTGTAGTGAAGACACCGGCGAAGTGTTCCAAAACTTCCTTTTCTTCTTTCGATCGAACGGTTTGCATAACTGGTGGTCTCATATTTGGCTGATTTATGCCAGCATTTGGAACAGTACTGGGAGTAGTGGTTCCGGTCAATGAATATATATCGAGTGCTTGCATTGCATACTTAACCAGTCGTATGAAAACAATTATTTCTTTTGGTTGAAATTGTCTGATATTTTGAGCGTTTGGTTGAATAGGTTCGTTAGCAAACTTAATGGATGGTATTCCCCATGTAATGGTCTTAACGCCGCAAACTAGTGTTTTAACAAGACTTCGACAATCAGTTACTGAATAGTTAACAGCTGGTGGTGTCGGGAAACCAAACTTTGGTTTATCCTCTTTACTCGCCGCCTCTCCAATAGTAGAGGGAAATCCTATGGCAAACTTTACGTCTTCAAATTTATTCGTCTCAATTAAGGATGATGTCAATGATTGTGTAGTACCACCAGTACTAGTGGTTACAATATTTGGTTTGGATTTAGCTGTAAGAGACGGTAGTTGTTGTGTCGCTATGTTTTTGAATTTAATAACAAACACCTCAAGCATTCTCATGAGTAGTTCTCTGGCGTTGGTATTCTCCTGTTCCGACTTAATGCGAATACATTCAACTAAATTGAGTAACAGTTTGCAAGACATGGTTTGAATTGATGTCGGAAGTGACTCGTCGTGAACATTCTTTGAGAATACATTGACCGCAGCGGCCAAGTCTTTCAGTGGTAACATATTTCTTATGTGATGAACTAAATCAGCGACTGTGCTATAGGCCAGTGGTCTTAACGAGTCATAAGCAGTCCATCCGTTGCCAATTAAAACATTTTCTTCAAATAATTTTTCGATATGTCCGACAAAATCTTTACAAATAAATCGTAATTGTTTTTATTAGAAATAATTTTTTAAATAAAATTTAATTTAAATTTTATTACTTATTCTTAATTCAGTGGCCAATATATGTCGGGCAGCAATGAGAAGCTCTTTTCTCAAATGTGCCACTTCTTGGGGACAGAATGTCAATAAACCTAACATTCCATTAGCCAGTTGTGCTGAATGAGCCTTTACGTGATCCTATAATTACCAAATTATTAATTTAGTTATCAATAATTTTATTTTCATTTATAAATATATTTATACAAATACCTGATATATGCGGACAATATATGCTAAAAACGATAATGTCTTGATTTGTGCGGCCATAAAGTCCACATAAACCTCTTTATTGAACGCGGGATTCATTCTAATAATAAAAAAAACAATTTTGTAATAAATATTTGTTACATAAAAATTATATTTAGTAGAAAAAAATACCTTTGGTGTGGTTGTGGTTGCATTGAAATGGTACACATTATCAATGGTATAAACTCAGCCACGTCTTGGTGGACATTGTTTTTATAAAGTTGATACATAAGCACCACTATTATAGGCAATTCCGCCAACACTTTGAGCGATAGAATAGCTTTAGGAATAAGATTTATTGATTGAACTGAATTGTCTGCATTGACACCGGTTTGTATGTTTGTTATAGTGAATGTCTCGCTTAGTAGGGCATCAATGTTTAGTTCAGACATATCCGACACTTTAATGACAGGTTTTGGCTCAAAAATCTTATTCAAATTAGACGGCAAATCCTGATAAATCTTTTTCACTGATTGCAGAAAATTCTTGATCTAAATTTCATAATTAAATCAAATGATAATACATTTTGAGTCAGTTATCAACAATTAATTAATTGTATTCAAACAAACAACAACAACAACAACAACAAAAATCTCAAAAGTATTGGTCACATATATTTAGGATCAGATCTTATCAGCCAATTTAGGCAATCATTGTACAAAATAGTGGCCAATGATGCCAAACGATAAACCACTAAATTGATACTCAAAGTGAGCTGGTTTGTCATCATCTCATAAATGGTGACCAAAATAATTAACTTTTTATAAGTTTTTATTTGTGTCTAAACAGTTAGTCAAATACAATACCTCATCGCTAAATGGCGGTCGATATTGTTTGTGGAGTTCAATGATAATCCTCAGACAGACCAATAYATTCTCTTCGTTTTCACTCTTTATGATGAAGAAGTAAATGACATTTTTAGTTATTACTTAAGACAATACTTATAATACAATAATCAAAAAAGTGATATTCAATCACTAAATTCAAACCTCTAATAGTTTGAACATAAGTGAAGTAATATTTTTCTGGTGTGTCTTCAACGCCTCATTAACCGGCAATCTATGGATTATTTCAAGTAATAGTTTACGCAATTGTTGTCCATTTTGTTCGGCAATAAAATGTGGTTCGCCTTCCAGTAGTAATTTGATGAATACATTCATTGCGTGATCCAAGAATTGAGGATATTGTGGTGAAGACACTATTGTCTACAATTTGGGATCACATAACCAATTGACAAATGTTTTCAATCAATTGTTTTCAAATATTAGTTAAAATATGACAGAAATCTATTTCAAGACAAGACATTACCTCCAAGTCTTCGCTCAATTCTTGAACGGCCTTCAGTTTGTTCTCTTCTCTGGCGTTTGGATCCAACAGAAGCGATACATACGACCGATAGGTATTCATTTGTGTCAACTGGTCGGCCGACATCTCGATGACCGCCGAAGCCATTGTCACCGCACGGGATGTGATGACAATTAAATTAATTAAAAATTAATTAAATGTTTATAACAAGCGATTAAAATAGCGGCGATTTTTTTGGGGGATAATCACTGCAAACATATCCCATACGTCTGGTCGCGTGACTTATACCGTCGATGTCACCGATTGACCACTCGTTGTGTCCGCAGTTGAGTCCACTATCACTGCAACCAATGATTTACAAAATTAATTACAACTAAATAGTAATTAATTTAATTTATAATTTTAATTACAATTTAATGCTTTAAATTCAATCATATTATATGCGCAAAACTAAACACAACTAAATGACAATTGAATGTCTTGTACTTATTRTTACTATCTTAAAGTAATAGTAAGTAATAGTAATTATGTTAGTTATAAAAGGTCTAAATGTTCGTAAGTTATTAAAAGGTTATTATTTGCAATCATTGGCAAAACCATTGAAATACAGCTATTTTTGTACAAAAATCTAATAGATGTCAGTATATGTAATAATACTAATAATATTCACAAACAACGTGACAAATGCATACAATTGTTATTTAATAAATTATATAAGTATTAATACATTTGTCACTTAAGTATTAATAATAAATCGGGTGATTATAAACTAATTTAAATGTAACGCTTTATATGATTACATAATATTGTTATATTTTTTTTAATAAATAATAATAATAAACAAATGTATTAACAAATGATTTGAATGCAATTGAAAGCAATAATTAAATAATAATTAAATCAAAAATAATTATTTAAATTTAAAATTCAATATAAATAGTGATGTCATTGATTAAGATTGATATCAATTGGTCGCCGATTGCCGACAGGTTAGTGACCACTTTCGTCTGTTTCGGTGATTGTATTTATTTMAATTATTTTTGTTGTATTGTGTCTCCAATAGATTCATCACATTTGGTAACGATCTGAAGCTCTTCCAGTGCGAGACAATAGCTAAAGAGTCACCAAAAAGTTTTGGTAATTATCAACATATCATATAATATTTGATTGAATATTAGTATCAGTAGTTGATTGACATTTGTTAACCATAATTGTTAGCCGGGACTCAATTGTCGGACAAAATATATGCAAATATTATCGCCACAAACAGCGAAATACAGTTTGTTAAAGTAATTTGTGTACCAATTGTGGTGATAGTTTAAGAGTGATATTTGTATTGTTAATATTATTACAAATGATTTACAGTGTATTGCAATAAATCCCAAACCGATTCACTCGGAAAACGATGTCCTGTTGGCCACCGGACACACGTCTGGCAAAGTACTGTTGACGAGCTTTCATTATAATCCCGACAATACGGGAGTCATTGGACGCGAGTTTGTGCCGAAACACGCGCGACAATGCAATTGTCTGGACTGGTCTCTGGCCGACACCAATTTGGTAATGAAATTAATTATTAAGATATGTTTACTATATTTGGTTTTATTAGTTAAGTGCCGGTTTCGACCGCATCCGCAATGATTACGCGGTACTTGTATGGGATGTCCAACGAAAAGCCAGTGTCATAGCTATGACTGAAAGCTATTCACCGAAACCATTACATGAGTTAGCTTTCGGCGAATTAACTCATTCACTGAAGTGGCTGTTGAGCCACAAACAGGCCATCATTTGCGGAATGAATAACAAACATTTGAAATTATTTGACTTAAGAGACTCCGGTAAACCATTGTCTACCATTACTAAAGCCGTCCACGGACTAGCATTGGATCCTATCTATGATAATAGATTTTCATCATATTTTGAAGTATTTGTTACATTGTGTTTGTAATTTACATTCAAATGTTTAAAATTGTTTTTATTTTTTTCGATATCAAAGAATTACATTTATGTTTGGGATATTCGCAACATTGAAAAACCGGTCACTACTATAGGACCCGAACCCAAACCTATTGTGAAAATAGAGTGGTCACCGACCAGATCTAATATGTTGGCCTCACTTATAAAAGATGGGACCGGTATTAAACTTTTTGATATAAAAGATTACGTGAATGCAAATAATGATTTAGAGCCGGCAATAATTGACAGAATAGTCAATCCATTTGACTGTAAGTTTTTTTTGTTATTTATTTGATTTACTTAACACTATTGGTGTCTGAATTTAGTATCAAATAAAAGCAAATTATCATCATTTTCATGGCATCCGACACATGAATCACGAATGATTTTTGTCACACCTTCGGGAACATTACGTGACTTTACTGTTGTCGATAGGATTACTTTGGTTTGTAATTTCCGTAAATCGGTATTTTTCACACAAAACGAATGCTTAATATTTGAAATATTACAGAACTGGTCACCAGTTTCGGAGATAATTTGGACACACGGCAAGAAGATTCTTCAATGTATTGATTCTAGAGATACTGTTTATGAGTCCATTGATGATATAGCCGTTAAAATGCGTAAATTAGCTTTAGATGGTTATGGACTCTCTGTAAGTCAATACTAAATGAAATATACTTTATATTTAATTGAAGATTAAATTAATGTTAATGTATTTAAATTCATTGAATTATTTGATAATTAATTGAAGAATGACAAGTTGTGGCAAATGTTTCCAAATGATACGACACTATATAATGTCTGGAAATGGATTGAATCACATTTAGTTGACAAAGAAAAGAATACATCACTATTGGCAAAGAATCTGATCACCAATGAAGAAGATCTTATCAATTCACAGGACGCCCAACGACTTTATGGCGTCCGATCTATTCTTATGGAAAGTGATACCAAATTGAAAATCCAAAGCGAAGTCGTTATCTTTCATAATGAAAGCAAATCATTTGATAAGAATCTCTCAAATAATATAATTAAAAAATATTATAAAAGTAACGATAGGTACGAACTCTCAGTCTTTAATAAATTTTTTGAGAAAATTAGTAATTTTTGCTAAAAATGTTTTTTAGACGCAAAGCCCTATTGCATTGCGGATGGGATACAAATTTTGATAGCGACTCACAAAATGCACGATTAGTCCAATCTTTGGTGACCAGTGGCCAATTTACCCGTGCGGCCGCTGTCTTAATATTTGGCGGCGGAAAAATTAAGAAAGCAATTAATACATTGAAAATGGGAGCTGAGGTCGGCAAAGATAAATCATTTAATGCCATTGCTTTGGCATTATCTGGATATACACGGGACAGGAATTCGTTGTGGTGTGAAATGTGTCACAGCATTCAAGTGCAATTGTCGGACCCATACTTAAGAGCTATTTTTACATTTTTAACCACCGATTCGGAAACTTATTCAGAAATATTGGTATGTTTTTGATATTATCGGTAAATTAATTTGCAATTTAATTATTTTTTCAACATTTCTAGTATAAAGACTCGTTAGAYATTGCAGACAGGATTGCTTTTGCCTGTATATATCTGTCCGATCAATCGGTGAGTGAAATGAAATTATTAATTATTAKTTGAAAAATTATAATATAATATTTTTTTTAAAAAAATTAATTCAAGTTATGTGAATATATTAATTATTTGACGCAAACAATGATTGAAAGCGGAAATCTAAGGGGAATAATAGTAACGGGTATTACAAATGAAGGACTTGACTTATTTGCCCGTTATATAGAGCTTACCACTGATGTCCAAACAATTAGTTTAATATTATTAAAAGCTCTTCCCAGTGCTATCAGTCAATCTCCCAGAGCTAAGATGTGGACAGAAAGYTACAGACAATTACTGGACTGTTGGCGTCTGTGGAACATAAGAGCCCAGTTTGATATCGATTGGTATAAAGGATTGTGTCATTTGAAAGAACCGAAACAACAGATATTTGTTTCATGCAATTACTGTGGTTTTCCAATCAGTTCATACATTAGTCAACCTAAGACAGTGAAAGCACAGGAACAGTATCAGCAACAGTTGTCACACCATCACCACAACCGAAGCAGTTCTACCACATCATCGATTCATAAGAATCGCATTCAAAGTTGTCCTCAATGCCGAAAACCATTACCCCGTTGTGCGCTTTGTTTGACACATTTAGGAACACCTGGCGGCCAATACTGGAGACCAGGTCTTACGTTCAATAAAAGTGAAAGAAAGTTAACACCTTTTAATTCATGGTTTACTTGGTGTCAAACGTGTAGACACGGAGGTCACGCCAACCATATAATACAATGGTTTAATGAACACATCAATTGTCCGGTTGCCGGTTGTGAATGCAAATGTATGTCATTGGATGCCAACTCGAAACTGTCATCAAATTTGCCGGTTTAATAACAAATATTCAATTTATTATTTATATTTTTATATTTTATTTACTTATATTATTTTATTTGATATACACCAAATTTCTTTTTTTAAAGTCATGCAATAATTATTTGATATACAATAATTATATTTGAATTTAATGGCAATAGATAATTTAGATTTTTAAAATAATAATGTAATCAGTACTCAAAATATTTATATTTATGACTTGTAAATATATAATATATATATATAAATTATTTGTCATATATTAATAAAAATAAGTTTATTATAAATTGAGCTTAATTTAATAAAATTGGATTTTATTTTTATACAATACAAGTATTGAAAAATTATTTATATAATTTATTTGTTTAGTTATTTATTTGTTTAGTAAATATTCAAAAAAGCCAATAAAAATGACTAAAAATTATTGTTAATATAGTGTATAATTAAATAATAAATTAAAAATGATTTATTTAGCAAATAAAACATTTGGTGTTTACTTTGTTAAATCATATCATTAAATGAAATATATCTATGGATTAGTTGTTTGATGACTGGAAACTAATAACCATAAAAATGTCACAAATAAAAACATTTTTGTTGTTGTTTTGGTTTTTAAAAACCAAACCATCACCACCACTACCACCACCACAACCACCAACATTCACAACAACTATCATCAACAGCAACAACAATAATAATAACACCACAAAACCTATAACAGGTTTCATAAGTTGTTATAATACTGTATATTGCAATCCATATAATCACTTAATCCTGAAGTGCACTCAAAATGTGTTTAAATTCAACAATTTTTCTATAATCGTAATAACGTGTCATATCTTTTATTTATGTTTTGCTTTCCAATGATCTCTGTTTTCTCATTTGTTATATATTTTTCAAGTTATACAATACAATGTACTTTCAAAATAAATAATAATAATATAAAATTGTATAAATTATTGTATATAACAAAAAAAACTTGGTATTGGCATTGCATTGGTATAATTAAAAAATTTAGATGATTGTATTAAAATTTATCATTTCATTAGAGTTATTATATAATAAAAGTTATTAAAAACAGTTATTAAAGAATATTCCGTTAAAACTATAATATAATTAATATATACTGTAGTCACACATTTTTAACAGAGTACTCAAAACAAACTAAAATACAGTTAATTGTCAATCAAATTATATTAAAAGTTTGATGTTTAAAAATARATAATAAAATTTATCATGCTAAAATTTTTGATGTTTGTTCCTGAATGTTTACTATAAAATTCATGTATTCAGCTTCAAATATATAAAATATATTCATTATATTATATAAAATTTATTTTAATATAAAATATTAATAAATATATGTTAAATATTATATTTTTTATTCCTATTATTATTATTATTCGTCGAATTTTAATGATTATAATAAAAATTTTGTAATTTATAAATACAAACACTGTAATAGTATTTATATACATTTTTAAATGTATATTTTAATAATACATTTTCATTATATATAATTTATATAATATTTTTGTTCATTTAACGACATCAATGTTTTCACATAATTTTCTTTATGGATAAAAACTAAGTATTAAGTAATTTAAGTAATAGTTTTTTTAGATACAATGAARACCTGCTTTTTTGCAATGACTTTCACTCAATGAAAGTCAATGATTGTGTTATCGGATTAAATATTTCTTTTGTGTCGCTTATTATTATTATTATTATTATTATTATATGAGAAGAAAATCAAGTCTATAGACTATAACTTATAGTCTATAAGTAATAAAAGTTATATTAGATATTATTCTAACATATTCTTCGTTATTAAACTTTTTTCCATTCATTGATGTACTTATTATTATTATTATTATTATTATTATTATTATTATTATTATTATTATTATTATTATTATTATTATTATTATTATTATTATTATTATTTATTATTATTATTATTATTATTATTATTACTTCTGAGAGTATATTTAGAGAAATTTATTATTTTCTTTAGTCTCTCCGGAAAAAAWTTTTGAATTGCAATTGAATTCAAAAAATTTCATTAAGAGATTATTAAATTGATAGTTGATTATTGATTTTTGACTTTGGGTTTTATACTGCAAGTATATTATTGTTTTTCTAAAATTAATTAATACAATAGGTTATGTTTTTTATATTTCTACAATAAAATTGTGTTATAAGTTAAATAGTATTATTTATTTATATACTTTGTATTTATATTATCAATCATTTATATTTTTATTAGCAAAAATGTTATCTTTTTTTAATGATGAAAATGATTAATTATTTCTGTTTGAAAACATATGAAGTTTTTTTCATGGATTGACACAACAAAAAAACAAATAATATATAAAAAAATTAGTTTAACTCTTTCAATAATCATAACGAAGTGTCGCCTTTGCGATAATGATAGCCATTCCTCGATTGTAACGGTTCCCTATCAGCCAAATCACTTGGCGGTCGTTTACGCTTAAAGAAGCCTAACTTCCATAAGGCTAGTGCCAGACCTCCCAATATTATAAGGCCTACAACAATGGCTAATATRATAATCCATAGTGGAATGGGTTCAGTCCTGTCAAGTCCCGTCACGTAGATCTTTGTGGTGACTGTCTGTACGTATGGCTCCAGTAATATGGGATCGACATCATAAGGCAGTGCTGTGACTAAAGCGACTAATTTCGATGAAATCTGGAAATCCTCCAAATTAATGAATTGTATGTTGTCTTTCCAAAAACGGGAACGTATGGTGAATAGGACGGTGTCATTGGTATCCAATTCATAAACAGTACATATTATTCKCGTGCAGTTAACGGCTCCACACGACTAAAACGTGAGACAAATAMATAAAAAAGATAAATAAAATAAAATAAAATAAAAGACTAATTACTAATTATTTTTAGTGTATTTTGAATACTATTCAAACAATAATTTAATGGTTTAAAAAACATTTTGTTTTAATTTTATGGCAATTTGTGTTAAATATATACACACTCTTACAAACAAACAAACAAATAAATACATTCATTCACAGAAATATATTATTGGTTATGAAATTAAAAAAAGTAGTGCTAAATGTTACTATTATAAGTCAAATCTATAATTATTTTGAAAAATATTGTGAAATAAGATGACATACTTTTGCCTGTTCTATGGTTTGTGGATCCGTCCGATGTTTTTTGGACCCATATATTGCTGGTCTGTTTGATGTTTGTGTGTCTCGTATATGTCTTGAGCTGATTAAATCCCTGCTATTGTCGTTGTTTGGTTGGGTTAAGTATCGAGTGTTCGGGTTCTGAACACTGGGCAGTGAATCAAATGGAAGTCGTCCTTCCGGTACTTTTCGGGACTATAGTTATTAATGTTAAATATTAGCCATATATTAAATATAACAAATAAATGTCAAAAAAATATTGAATTATCAAAATATTTGATATAACATAATGTTAATTGAATTGTTACGTTAATCAATCATAAACTAAGAAATGGGTATTAAATAATTGTTTTTATATACGTTATCAATATTTATCATGTTTTGTGAACAGTTAWCCTTACTCTAAGTCCCAATGGATTTAAGTCGTCGAGTGTAATGCTTTTGCAAAATCCTTTTCCCGGTTTACTCCTAACTATAGGCTGATCGACCAAATAAAGTAAATAATTTCCTTTAAGATCTCTAGTCGGCCACAGAATTGTAATGTCGGCCTTCTTGATAGTAGACGGCCCTCTGTTTTGTATTGTATATGAATGGCTAATTTCACGGCCAATATCTTCGAGCACTTGTTTTGGTGATACAAACGTTTCGGTTGAAACATTAAATGATAAGACATCAGGATCTGAGATTCTGTTTGATATAAAAACAATTTTTCATAAAATATCTTTTACTAAGGTTTCACTGAATAAATCAATCTTATAATTTAATAAAAAATAGTATAATTTAATAACAAAACAAAATAGCAGAATATTCTTATAGTTTGCATAAATTATTAACAAACAAACAAAATAAATAAAATATAAAATGTGATACAAAATAACAATATAAAAAACATGTTAAAACCATTAATTTTTCAGATTCACTTAATAGAGTAACAAAATAGATAAATAAAAAAACAAGAAAATAAAACAATATAAAACTCGTTAACCTAGTTGTTTATTGCAGAATTAGTTTATAATTAGTATATATTTAGAAAAAAGTAAATAAAACTAAAAAATGATTAATATGTTTGTACCCATAAATTGTTAGATTGACTTCAACGCGTAACGGTATCCCAACGGCAATATTATTGTCATCGGTGTCGATATCTTTTTCACTATTAGTACTGTTCACTTCAACAATAAATGTATAATCAGGAGAAGTGGCAGATATTTGTTTTGATGGCTCCATAATTATAGTAAATTCAATCTAAATAAAAATTGTATTTTTTAAAAAAAAGAAAAATTATTTAAGCTAAATATTATGTCAATTCATTTGAGTAATTTAATGTTAAAGTAATAAATATTTTGCAAAATTTTTTCTGCAAATTGAGTTTTGATGTAACATAATATATAGAAATATATAAATTCAATAAAGAATAACTCTTATATGTATTCTACTGTATATAATGTAATTTAATCGTAAAATTTTGTTTTTCATACTTTCCTTCCGGCTGGCAATGGATTTCCAATGTCACACTCAAGATTGTTAATACCTGTCCTATCGGGTTGGGCTCCATAACAGCTAACATCGCTCTGAAATTATTGAATATATATATATATATATATAAATAAAACATTGATATAATAATAATTAGGATAAAAATTGATTATTATTCAATAATAATAATACTTTATATGATATTGTATAGGACTTCACATATATTTTCTCAATCACTCTTATCTCAAATAACTATTATAATGTAGTAAATGTCATAAAACAAACTAAAACTCAATGAACTAATAGGAGTTCCTTTTGTTGTTAACCGCCTTCACATAAATTTTTATATTATAATTGAAATTCATTAGAAGTCAATTGATTACTAATTATATGAATTGTCTGATTTCTATTTGCAAAAAAACATATTTATTTTTATTTTAGTATCAAATTATACGGTAATATATTTTTATTTAAAATTTAATTAAATAAATTGGAAATTCTTGTGAATAATTTAACGGAAATTCTTAGTGAATCATTCATACCAAACACCTATCACTTAAACWAATTACTTATTTATTTTAGAGATTTAACAAAACAATAAGTAGCAAATAAAATATTATTATTATCATCAATTTGATCTACAAATTAGAAAATAAAATCAAACAAATATGACACAAATAAAACTAAAAAAATAAGTCAACTGTGACATAATTTTGCTGTAATTACTTAAAATAAACTGTTTTTTAAAATATATATATAGTCTAAACTGAAAATATAGAAAGTATAGAAATAGTGATGAAATAGAGATATATGTTGGGGTTAGGGATGCAAATCTAGATTATGATATTAGGTATGTGTGTGTGTGTTGTGTGTAAGTGTTTGTATGTCTCTTACGTTTTTAGTTTTGTTTATATTGACATAATTAACATCCGTTGGCATAAATAAGTAGAGCATCGACTCAAAGGCGTCCTCTCCTTTATTAACGACACTTATTTGCAACTCTATCTTCTTTCTGCTGCCAACTATGTATTCATCCGATGATCTGTGGGTTTGTCACCAGAAATAAATAGTTTTTAAAAAAATTAAATAAATATTATACACATTATATTAGATAATATGTCTGAATAGTAGCCGATTCTTAATAATAAAGTGTATATTTTTTTTATTGTACTATAGTTAATAGTAATTATAATTTTTATAACGTAAATAATCTAATGTGTTAAACATTTAGTATAAGCAATAATGTATAGATATATAGAATAGAAAAATGCATTATATAATAAAAAAAATAATTAATAATGTTATACATGTGTGTATTTTTTATATAACGTTATAAAGTTAGAAAAACAATAATTCATTTTATAAACAAAATAATATATTATTTCCCAAACGATAAATATAAGACCGTAGATTTATTTTGGAGGATTTAATGTATAAACAAAAAAACATAAAAATGCATATAAATAACAAATCTCTTTCTCCTAAATATCATTTGACGTAAATCTAAATTAATTTAAAAAAAGATCCATGAATTTCATACAAAAACTTTTATAAATGTAAGTATTTTTTATATAGTTTATATAATATATAAAATTATGCTATATTTTTCATTATGTCTATTTTAAACTTGATTATTTTCAACATTATTTTCAGAGTTTTTAATAGACATTAAGGGGTTTTTTAATCAATACATTTAAATTAAATTATAAACATATAATGGAATAAATAAAAATAYATATTTAAAAAATATTTGAATAAATAAATATAAAATATAATAATAAACATTTAAAATTTTACATTTGAATGTTGTGTCTGAACTATTATAATTTCACCCATAATTTAATTATTTAAATAATTGTGTAAATAATAAAATTAATACAACATTTTGAAATACTTTTGTGTATTTTATGTTTAATTATAAACAAATGAGTTAACTTATTTTACTGTACATAAAAAAAATAAAACTATGTGTCTAAAAATCTAAAATTAAGTATTTAATTGAAAATTTTAACGTTTTAAATAAAATACTTTCAACTTTTAAAATTAAATTTTTTTTATAATATAGATAAAACAAGTTATAAATTTATAAAGATATAAAATTACAACTTAGATATTTAATTGAAATAGCTTTTAATTAAATATATCTAATATTAGCTAATTAATATCATGATTGATCGATATGATTATCAATAAACAACAACAAAAATTAAAAAATAAAGTCAAAAATACATTTATTTGTTTAACTAAAGATTTCAACAACAAATTTACGGACAAATTGTTTGGACAAATAACTGTTGATAACTAAAATGATAGCAATTTATCAAATAATTCACTCTATAAAATCTAATGTTAACAAACAACTTGTAAGTGCTTTTTATAAACACACAAACATTTGGCTAAAATACAAATTAAAATTGTTTTTGAAATAGAATTGATATTTTTGAAAAATAAAGAGAAAGAGAGACAGAGACTGAGAGAGAGAGAGAGWGAGAGAGAGAGAGAGAGAGAGAGAGAGAGAGAGAGAGAGAGAGAGAGAGAGAGAGAGAGAGAGAGAGAGAGARAGAGAGAGAGAGAGAGATTTGTGATTTTAAAAGTAGTTTAAATTGAAAAGAAATTTACAGAAAAATAAACATAATATATAAAATAGTTTGATTGCAATAGATTTGAATAACATTTGCCAAAAAAGAGTTTTTTGTTATTTGCTTATTAGTTATACAAAAATTGCTGTGAAAAGCAAAATTCAAATTACAATTCATTTGAGAGATTAAAATATGTGTTAAATTACATAAACACACATTTATACCTAAGTATACAATATTTATGTTATACAGGTATATACTGTACTGTACTTTGTTAAAATAAAATCTATTGATTTTTATTGACAAAAACAGTWTAATATAATATATGAATTTATAATACCGTAAAACTTTGTTTATAATGCAAACACTTTGTATTTTATTCAAACAGTATATTTAAAACTACTAAACAAAACATTATTTCATGTTTTTTTCACTCACTATGCAATATTCAATTTATTATATAATAATTCTATTAAATACATAACATAAAGTTATTTTAGTTGTTTGCTAAATACTGTATTTTATATTTATTTACTATTATTACAATTATTAAAAAAAATTTTTAAGTATAAAATACTATACAATATGTATATAAAGTATTAAATTATATATATAAAAGAAATGCATTGATTGTTTAAAAAGTAGTTTTAATTCTCCGTAAATAACTAGTGTGTAATTGAGTGGGCCGTTAATACTACAGTAGGAGAAGCCCATTAGGAGTCGTAATCGTAAATTGTTTTCAATTTTATGACTGACTGGCATTTGATTTGTGTTTTACAATTTAGTTATCTATAAATTATATAACATAGTATTATATACAGCAGTACTGTATATTAAAAGCCATTATTCCCCGGGTTTTMTACTGTTAAAGGAAGTAATGGATAGACAGACACACGAAAAAATGCACTAAAATATTAAAGGGTTTGGGGTTTGTCTCTACATTTGATATTATATAATGTGACGCTTATTACACTATAATTTATAAATGGTTTGTGATTTTATACACAATAGTGTTAATTCACATAAACCGAGACAACAACAACACAAATAATAGTATCACAACAACAATAGTGTAAGAAATAACATAATAACTTAATGTARTAATAAATTATTAATAATTTTMTAGTATTATTATCCTTGAATTTGACAAATCTTTACAACATTTAGACGAAAGTCGAGTTTCATAATAATAATAATAACAGTATTTTTATCAATAACTTTTAAATTGTTAAAGTAATAAATTTTTCAAATAACTATTTTCATTATTTGAAAAAAAATTATACATGTATAAAAAATAACAATATCTTGATAATGTATTTTTAAAAATTAAAACTTAAATACATTAAATTCAAGCTTACAACTTTTATGAAATTTAGATTATTATTATAGACTCACTAAATATATAATTATAAGCACATAAAAGCATATTAATATATTATTCATAATAAAAGCAAAATGTATAAAACAAATTTTATAACAAAATGATAATATCATATTATAATATTATAATAAGTTGCATAATATTTAAAACACTACTAATGTAATCATTATATAAATTGTATGTAAGTATGTATAATGAGATGACACTTACGGTTTGACATTAAGGATCAAATTAGGGACACAGACGTTGTCTTTTCCACAATTTTTTCTGATGTTTATCTGACGGGTCAATACACTGCTAATGGCCTGATTGAGGACTGGCTTTAGTGTCCTCTCCATTGGCATTTGATGAAGACTGTACTCAACGTTCACTTTAATTGGTGTCAGTTTATCCCTCAGATTACTCTATAATTGCCAAATAAAAAAAATAATAAAACAAGAAATAGTAAAAGTTATTAAGAGGATAACATATTCACTGTTTATTAAGTTTAGGTAAATGTTTAATACGAAAGTAATTTTCTAATTTGTTTGATATTGATATTTATAGCCGACTGGTCGGGTATTTTAATTTTTATRACAATTATMTACTGACCGCTAGGTATGCCTGACGACTGGTGCAATAGTTGGAGCCTTTGCTAAGCTGTACAGTAATCCTCTCTTCACTTTCTCTTTCTTTGTGGAGGAAGAATATTCTGGGCGCTCGACGGGAGGCGGCATCCAGTTTAGTCTCATAAGTAAAATCTAATTATTTAAATCAATTTTCAGTTATGTCTAATATTATAAAATAGTTATTTAGGTTAAAATAATARAAGTCAAACCTAATTGATTGTCAACTCCGAGGCCATCATATTTAAGGCACAATTTGATGCTAAGACAGGCAACKCGTGAGTTATCAGATGGAAGAATACAGTCTCTATCATCTAAACTGATACTGTCTTTGGCTAAACTCAAACTAGCGGTCACATTGACGACAGGTCTGGATTTGAGGAATATGGCTCTATCGGAGGCATAGGCGCCRACCAGTAGATCCGGATATTGATTGTTATCTAAATCCAAACCACCGGCTAATGAAAACCCGAAAGTCTTGAGTCCCGGTTCGTAGATAGAGTCGGCGTATATCACTTGCGAGTACTTTGGTTGTAAACCTTTTCGCGAACCCAAATAAATATAGACAGCACCGGTACCCTTTTCACCATCATATGGTGCACCCACAGCAATGTCATCGTATCCATCTTTATTAATGTCAGATAACGAGGCCAATGACATACCGAATCTGGCCTTAGATTTGATGCCATCGATATGATCGTCTTCTTTGATTATAAATCGATGCTTTTTATTGACAAATAAAATACATTTAAYAATAAAATTTATAAAATAATTGGCAAAACAATAATATTTTTATTAGACTATTATTAGTATTTTAAATATAAACCATTAAAGATTAAACTAAATTTATTTTTAGATATATTTATAGTATATATATACAGTATATATATATATGTTAGAGAGTGTTAGTGTAGGAAATAAATTGTGTGATATTATGGCAAATACCTCACGGTTTTGGTATGCGATATAAATTCTTCCCTTTTCATAGCTTAGGTCCTTAACATTGGGCGATGAATATAGTGGAGCACCGATCACAACATCATCATAACTGACATCAAAAAAATATATATCATTTAGTTGTTGTGAAACTTTTATTAAAATATTTTTATTTATCTATAGTATGTACAGTAAATCGATCACTTGTAGACTGTTGTTGTCTGTTGACTATTATTTTTGTTAACAATATTCAATAAATCATATTAATATAAACCCATATGTATTTCGTAAAGTTTTTAATTCATTTATCATTATATTCTATACATTTGAGAGTTATGTCACTAATTAAATATTAGACTGACTAAAATCCATTGTGCATTAATGTATGTACTGTTTGTATATGTTTATAAATTTACATAATATCTATCTATGTGTGTGTGTGTGAGTGTGAGTGTGAGTGTGTTAAATTGTTTTTTGATAATTATTTAGGTATAAAAAATCTGTGATCAAGTATTAATTTAATATTAATATATATTTTCAAAATAGCCATACTAAATACTCATAAATGATAATTTATAAATATTGTTTAGTATTAATACCGTATTATCAACATAATGATATTTTTAAATAAATAATAACTTTATATAATATAATATTTTTTCAATGTGTTATCAGTAATTTTATGAATCATCAGGTTTACTATCACAGTCTGTGCATCATTTGATGGCATACATTACATACCCGTCCCCATTAAGATCAGCAGCAGTTAGACTGTAGCCAAAGTAAGCTCCCATTTGGTCGCCAGTAATGTTATAAATATTCTTCAGACTCGATGTATAGAGAATAACCTATTCATAAAAACAATATATATATATATATATATATATATACAGTATATATACTGTAAGATAATAATTGCATAAAGTTTTGGTGTTACAGTTAAACTACTTTAAGATTAATGACAATTATATACACTACTGTTTTGTAGAAAAAAATAAAAATATACAAAACATAAATATATATACCGTATATATTGCTGTTTTGTGTTATCTTAATAAAATTAAATCAAGAGCCAGTCATGTATTATCTATTTATGTGTTTACTATATCTTATATAATATTATACTATAAGGAAAATATGAATTTTATATTTTTATAAAAAAAACTGTTAGACCTCTTTTGAAAAGYCCTGAAAAAAAGAAATGGTATTTTTCAGCTAAAATATCTCAAACAAACAATTTTGTACTGAATATAGTGAACACAGAATTTATGCTAATTTTAGATTTTGTTTGAAAATTTATTTTAGGAAAAAATAGGAGATATATAGTCAAAGATAACATAAAATTTWAAAAATTAAAATAAATATAAAGAAAATGCTTTTTACTTAATGTTTTTAACGTTTTAAATGTTGTTTTTATGATAGAAATATAAGCAATATGTTTAAATATTTAGTTCAATAAATTTTAAATTATAGATGTTCAATTAATTTAATATAATAACTGGTAATTATTTATGTTTTACTAAAATATAAATTTTAATTTTGTTAGTTAAAAAATTAATTATTAAATCAATATATGAATTCTGCAACAAATTCATTAATTGTTCATTTAATGTGACATTTAGTAAATATTCCTATTATTCCATTAAAATGTTAAAATATTTTTTGAAAAACTTATTAATGTAAATGTAAAATTAAATTTTATATTTTAATAACACTAATACAAAATAAATATTAATATAATAATATGTAAAAGTTCAGTGATTTGTAAAAATATTGTTGACATTCAAATGATTGATATAATTAATTTGATAAACATCTGTTTAGTCAACATTTTTAATTTAAAAAGATGTACCAAAAATGATCAAAAGTTGTAAATTTGTTGAAAATTGAATAAAAATTGTATCAAAAAATTTACATATTATTAAACTTTCTAATTTATTATCTAAAACTTTTGCCTATTGTTTTGTCTAAAAATAGTCTAAAACTATTGTTTAATACAATAAATAAAACTTTTGTTGCAGTAGTTTTGCAATTAAGTGCAAATAAAACTTAACAAACGGCTCAATGCACTGAAATTCATTATAGTTTTATTTGATTGAAAACCAACAAAAATTTTCTCTCATTTAGACTTTTGGTGACATTTATATAATTAAATTCTGTGATTCATTTGATATATATTTATATATTTGTGAAACACTTTAAGTCTCTAACACTCGACTAAACAATAATATTTTGAAATTAGATTTTTGTCACTGAATAATATTTTTTAACTCTTAAATTTTGTCTTCAATAATATCACACAATATAAACTTGAAGGTATTATAAAAAAATGTATTAAATATATAAATAAATAAATATTGTCAAATAAATATCAGCCATAAGCCAAACATGAAAAAATTGTAAATATATTTTTTCAATTGAATATTTACTTAAAATATACAAATTTATATTTTTTTGATATATTGTATATACAGTATAAAGTGTTAGAAATGGATAATATTTTTCATACCTTTCCCGTTAAATTACTTCCTTTAGGCATTCCTATTGCTAAATCATAATCACTGTCACCCGTAAACTCTCCAATAGTTGTTGAATAACCTACATATATAATATATAAGTATTTTTATATTGAAAGATTAGATTGATTATTATCACAATAAATAATTGAATAATTTTGTTAAAACCATGTAAATACAGTACAGTATGTTAATAATGTATGAATAATTTTTTTTTACAATAATTATGAATGTCTATGAATATGAGTGAGTGCTAACAATAGACAACAAACAACTGTCTAAAACAATGTGTAAAAACTAATTATTCACGAGTGCTCTGCAAACTAAAAATAATACACAATTTATTATAAATATTTAATACTCTAATAACAAATGTTACGCTTTGGACAATGAGTTTGAGCTTATTATTGAAAATTTTGTGACAAAACAATGTTACTAACAAAACATTAGTTATATTAAATATTAATAATATTGTTTTTTATACCCTTATATACAGTATGACATGTATCTGTATATTATATAATGAGACCATTATTTGTTATAATACAATATGATGAGAGCACTGATTATCTATTGTTATACAGTATTTACAATTTTGTTATATTAAAATAGACCTCTTATAACATTGTAATTACAAATATGATAATAGAGACTATTATATTAAACATTGCATATGATATTCACCTAAATAGCTGTCGTCATCATAAGCCGGACTATCTTTAGTACTGTAAAGAGTTTGATTGTCCTGTAAGTCCTGTGAAAATGCCTGTCCCTGCCAGTACCAACTACCCGGTCCTCCTATATATAGACGCTTTCCATCCTATTTAACCAACAATATCATTAGTTAATTAATTAATTTTAAAATGTCAAAAAATGAAAAATAACAAAAKAGAGAGAGAGAGAGAGACATTAAATAAATATAACACATTTTTCTCAAAGTTGTAAATAATAAGTTTTCAAAAATAAAATTGATTTTCACTTTTGACTTTTTACTTTTAACTTGTTGTTGGCAACAGAAAAAATAGGTCTCATTTTAAAAGTAAAAAATAATAATAGAAAAGCCTTTTAATATTAAAGCAAAAAAATTGGACGCAAATAATAGATGACATTTGAAGTTGAAATATAGTATATATAAAATAATAATAATAATAGCAATAATAGTGATAAAAACCCAAACCTTTGAGACGCTGGCTGAGAAGCCTGCCTGACACGAGCCCTGTCGATGATAGCCCCAGGCATCTGAAATATAATATTAAATAAATAAAAATATCATATATGTATATATATTTATATCCTATTTTTTGTTATTATTGCTATTAATTTTATAAAAACATTTTTTCTAAAATTGATTAATATAGAAAAAAGTTTTTATTTGTTAATATAATTTTAAAATTTATGAAAAACTTAATTATTTAGACATTTTAGTGTTTTTAATAATATTTTAAATTAAATAATACAATATTTGWTTTTTTTAAAAGATTCAAAATATAATATATTATAAAATTAAAAAAAAAACTAATAATATTTTAGTTTACTTAATATATATTTAATAAATACTGGAAAATAAATGAGAAGATAATCTTTATGACAGTTAAGTTCTTATTAGGATTTGTTATGTCAAACAAATTATACATAATTTTCAAATACATACAAAAATGTTTTTAGTAACATATATACTGTATTTTTCATATTACTTATTAAAAAGCTTAATGTTTTTGTTATTATTATTTTGTATAACGGATTGAAGTCATACATAAGTTCTGCAAATTTTAGTTAATAATATAATATCTTATTTTAAACTAACTTTATTTCATACGAAATACTAAAATAAAACAAAAACACAAAAATCGTTTACTTGTTAATACTTTGCTAATATTTTGAACAAATAATAATTATTTTATATTTTTGTAGTTTAATATTATTCTAAGCCTTGTAAATCTGACTGTTAAGTTATAATTAAATAATAATAATAATTTTTCCAAGAAAAAATAAATAACTTTTTAAAACATTATTGTAATTATTTTTATGCATTTAATTGTTACCATAATAGGTATGAATAGATTATATAAAGTAGTAAAATAAATAATGCAAAATAATTAACAATAATTCTCATTACTTGTCATCACCTTTKAAGCAATAAATTTCAAACTATTGATTATACTTATGTAAATAAATTAATTTTTTTTAGTTAACATAATAACAAAAGTACTGTAAGTATTAATGTTTTTTAAATTAAAAATCTTAATACAATGTTAATGTAGTTAATTGTAAATATAGTTTGTAAAACTAAACTTTATTGTAAAATCATGATATAAATTATATTTATCACTCACAAGGTGTCCGACAGGGAGAGTATTCAAAAAATCCCTGAAATGAACCCCTGGATATCCAACAGGTGCCCACCGGGTCCCTTCTCTTGAGTGATGTTGAATAATAGACATAACGGGGCGCACATGCCTTGAATTTTATATTTAAAAAATAAGTTTTTTGTGTATACAATATATCAATAGATAATATCTATTGAAACCAATACATACAACAATCATTCCGTTTTCACCGCCGCTATGGACGGTCGCACCAAACCATTGGTGTGATTTATCGTCGGCCTGTTTGTTGGCATTATTTAGTAGTATTTGAGCCGAACCTAAATTCCGGTGTTTTCAATAAAAATCAAAACATTGCATCAAAAAAAACACATCATTAGTTTTTATGTTTATAATTTATATATATATTCTTCAGCGCCGGGATTAGTGGTGTTATGATAACATGATTAGCGAACAATTGGAAAGCATTCAAATATATAGTTTATATTTAGAAACTGCTATTATTATACATAAGTCATATATATATGTCGTTTAGTGTCCTATTTATCGATTGATTGACTTTTTTTAGACTCGTATAGACTAAAAGCATTATATAATACTGTAGTTTCACACCATTACCTGATCTATCGAAAGCAATTTGTTGACAGGAGTCGGAACTGTCGACATTGCACTTATAGACAGCACCACCTCTTTCAACGCCAGGTTGATCTGTATGAGCTAACGGCGCTCCAACTAATAACCTATCAATTGAATTAAAATAAAAAATGATAGATTACAATATTATATAACTTCAAAATTATATAAAAATATMTGTATTGATAATAATACAAATGACATTATAATGAATTACTTATATAATACATTATTTAAAAATATATTATTTACTTAATTTAATAAATACTATAGATTAAAAAACACTACTAATTTTAATACAAATTTTATAAAAATTCACGAATTAGTTATTAAAATAATAAAATGTATAATTTACATACTTTTTTATAGTTATACATTGTTTAACATATGATAAAAACGATTTATTTGAAATGAATAAATTTCAAATATAAATTTATATTTTCAATTTGCATTAAAATCATTATTAATGTTTTATGTTGAAAACTCTAATCTGATAATCTGATGTAAATATATGTTATATAAAATACAAACGTTTTGAAATTTCTACTATTTATTATAAATCATTTACGGTATAAAAACAAAAATATTAATTTTAATTTACTGGTATATCTTTTTTTAAAAAAAATCTAATCTAGAAAATTTAGTTTTATACTATAAATAAATTAAATAAATATATATATTTTCTAATAAAATAAAATAAAACTATATTTTTTAATAAATATTTTTCTATCATCATAAATTTCAAATTTACTAAATTAATCCATAAGTAAAAAGTATTTTAAATTATTAAATACTTAACTAAAACTACATAATAAACTAAATAATAATGAAGTTTACATTATAGCAAAAAGTAAACATTTAATATAAATTGTTGATGCAAGCAATTTTTATAATAAACTAATTTATTAAAAATGTTTATTTTCATTATTATAATTTAATTAACTTTATATATTTGACATTTTAATGAATAATTTTAATATACAATGTATTCACATGTTAGCTGAAATAATTGTGTAATTATTTATATTTCACATAAAATTGTAAAAATATTTAATAAAATTTAAATTTGTTACAATAAATATTTGCCAAAAATTTCTTTATTTACAAATAAATATGTTTAACATTTTTAAAAGTTATTTTTATAACAAAAAATACGTTTAAAATTTTAATATAAAATATAACTTTTGATTTCAATTGCATAGAAAATACTTTTTAAAAATTATGATCTTAACTTTAAAAATGTTTCATATATTTGAAAAATATGAACTTTTGATATTTAATAAAAATATTGAAAATATTTTTCATTAAAATTCAATTTTATTGATAAAACTACCGTATGTTTGAAAATGTGGTTTAAAAATTTAATATATCAAAAATATATATTTACATCTGAATAATATCTTTTATCCCTAGCATAGAGTAAATTAAATTTTGTATATAAGTTTTGCACTAAATATTTATATATTTTTTACTGTGTTATTATACATGACTGAAAAATGCCAAACCAACCGATACCATAGGTTAGGACTATAAGGAAAAAGGGCTCAAAAGTATAACAATTTCAAGGACAGGGATCTCTCAAACTCTAACTTCTCTTTCTTTTTTCTGATGTTTGTCTAAACAAACATCATTTCATCTTATAATATGTTATTTTAAAAATTGTTGTAATGTTTGTAATGTCTGTTAATATAAAGCAGAGCCAAACACTTTTGAAGGCTAGTAAAGGAAATTATTTAGCGATCTTTAACATCAAATATATTATATGTTGACAAAACTACATCARTAGTTYATATACAATGTATTACTGTATTGAGAAAGCATTTAATGTATGGTATTTGTTATATACTGTACTATATTTATGAACTTAAAATAAGATAAATCTAAGGAAAATTTATTAATAAAATAAAAATCTTTTGTTGGTTTAATGCTAAACAATATTATTATCAAATGTAATTAATTTGAGTGCATATCTCATATTTATATAAAAGTGATATATGATAGTTACTGTGGTCTACAAATTGGTTAGAAAAATAATCATTAAAATTATTTTTTGTTTGTTTCAAATTTACTATAATACTGTATATCTACAGTATATACTGTACAGTGTATATTATACACAGTGTATACACAGTGTATATCTATTTTATATGAAAGAAAAAAAGTGCGATAAATATAATCTTAAAATGATATGTTGTATCACTCGAGACCGTAATTAAAGTAATGGAGTGCATAGAAAATGTAAGCACTAGTAATTCATTGCTAAAAGAGCTCAATAATGACATTTTGCGCTAATTTTGAACACATTTCCTATTACTAAATACTTGTTGGGGACATATTTCAAGGGAAAGGGTGGTTGTGTAGGTGGTGGCGATCAGCGTTTAGAGACATAGCTCTGGCGCTACTTGTTATGGTCAGTGCTTGCAGTGAATCTCAACTGTCTTTATATTTGACTTGACTTCACAAATGAGAGCATCATATCCTGTGTCTCATCACAACAACTCTAACTGTTTGCCAGCAATGATGTCAAGTGAGTCGTGGATGACGACGACGACCGGCTTAATGCCAGTGCTTTAGGGGAAGACATGAATAGGGAAAGACATATAAGATATAGAGAGAGAAAAGCATTTCTAAAAATATTTTCACTTCATTTTCTCTTTTATCTCATTTACTCGTTTTACGATAAAAATAGTTTTATATCTTTTATTTCTTTTTCTGTCTTTTCCCTAAACTTTTTGTCACTTCAATCAAAGCTAATGTAACAATGATTTGTATTTTACAGTTAAAATCAATGAATACATTAATTTATTTTTAGTTTTTTTTAAAAAATATGTGTTTATTGTCTCATTAAATAAGAAAAAAATGATATACAAAATATGTATTTTTAGTTTTTTTACATAAATTWTAGAACAAAGCATATTAATAATTAATTCAATTAATATATGATTATAAAAAATCAAACCATTAAAATTTTTGTTGTTTAAATTGATTAAAATTTTTATAATTTACATAAATGATTGAAAAAATATTTAAGTAATTTATGTTTCAAAAAAACAAAAATATTTTCAATTAATCCAATGGCTCACTAACTCATTGAACATTAAACTGACACTTCAATTATAATAATTGTTTATCATTTTGTTTGCTCATTTGAGATATAAGTTATTTGTTTTATTTATTATTTTGAACTTTAAATTGAAAAATACTGAAATTAATAGTAAATTACTAATCTTATAAAAATATTTATTTTTTTGCTATTTAAAAATTATTTGAAAATATCATATGATTGACCATAAATTATTATTTATGATATTATAAATTAGAATAATACTGTATTACACAAAACATAAATGTAATGTTAAGCATAATATATTATTATATAATAAAATATTAATAATGTAAAAATTAAATGATTTATAAGTTTAAATACGTGTTTATATGATATAATACTTCCTAAATATTAACACAATTTTTAATAAATTATTTACTATAATATACATTATTATGATATTCATTCAATTATATTAATTGGTTAGTTAATTATTATTGATTGATACCAGAAAAAATGTATAATGTAAATTTACTAATATTATTATATAGAAATGTATTTTATTTAATTAAAGTTAATTGTTATATATATATATATATTTATATAAAATTTTGGTCATTTTGCACTTTAATTGTTTAGTGACATATTTATCAAATTTAATATAATGTATGTATAATGACATTATATAATATATAAAAATAAATTTATTTTCAAGTATAAAATTTATTTCATTTTAAAGTATTTATTTTTACATTTTCATAACATGCTGTATATGGTATTAGAAAAATGCTATATTTGTAATTATTGCCAATTGATTGATGTAATTACTATAATTGATAAAATTATAGCTTTTATTTATGTTATTTGATGTATAATATATTATAGACTACTGGTATATACAATTTATATATAACAAAACAAGATTTTATATATTAATGTATATATGTATACTATATATAAATGCTATATATATTTGCCAAACACAATGATAAACAGCAAACAAAAAGCAAAACAAAACAACAATAAGGGGAACAAATTATTTCTTGCTTTACATATAAACAATTGCTAAATATAAGTATGTTTTTTTTGAGTGCCAAACAACACATTTCACACATAATCGCTGGTATAACATATAAATATAAAAGTTTAGGAAACTTAAATTTAAAATATAAACAAATTTTATCGATTTAGTTTTTGACTTAAATAATGCATGTTGTGTTAAATGGTGTGATTCAAATATAATGGCACAGAAAAAAAATTTGTTATTTCACATTTATAAAACTTTTCATAATGAGTGTCAATGGATTCATGTGTTTATTTTTATTTCAATTGATGATCGACTAATCGTTTGCATTATATTATTATTATTATAATAGTTGCAATGTATGAATCAATTTTTGGTGAAATTTWTATTTAACCAAAACATTAAACCAAAAGAGTTATTTCATTATATAATAAACACATGTGACGGAAATATAATTTTATGGGTGCATATATATGTATATATGTTATACATGTTACATAATATATATATATATATAGATATAAAATGATTAATATTTCACTGGTAATACTATATAATCGCACTGTTATTATTAGAGGCACTTAAAGTAGATTACCATATATTAAACTAAATAAATGTCGAGCAAAAAAAGTGCTAAAAATTTTGTTTTTTAATTTATATATAATCATATATTTATGAAATAATTTTTATATACAAAAATTAATTTACAATAAATCAATACAACAATTTAAAAGATAAATAAACGAAATATTTTACTTAATAATGTAATTCCTGGTTAACAAATAAATAAAAATTGTTTAAATAAATATATATTTATTAATTTTATTATGGTATAGAAAATAAATTATTTTAGTGTGYATTCGTAAAAATATAAAAATTAAATAAATATTATTTGTAATACTGACCAACTCTTTCCCCGATCCTTGTGTTGAGACACAGAAAAGCCAAAGTGTGTACCGGAAGGACCCCTTTGAACCAGAGGTGTAATAGTGTCCACATTGAAGGCATTGGCAGGTAATCCGCATAATAACATACAA